CATGTGCTGTCATATTCAGCTCTGGCCTTCATGTCAAAAGGGGGAAGGGTAACCCCCACACTGAATAAATTCAAAGTTCGCGCACCCTTCTTTTTCATTGATGATAGAACAGTTTACGATAAAAGGCCGAACGCAGAAAACATTGAAATTACGAACGCGGTACGTTCGGGGTATTTCTCTCGGCCTTGGAATTATTTAAGAAAAATAGACCATCCATAGACGACATGGCAACGACATCTAATTTTCGTCGAGTGAATCATTTCCAAAGATAATCAATTTTAAGAGAAAATTGCACATAATAGTTTTGCGAGACGACCTCTATCTAACACAAGTAAAATTCTACTAAAGAGATCGCTCAAAAATATTGAAAAAATGTAACCATTTTTCTCATCAATTTTAAGACATACTTCTCATGAATCGAATCACGATTTCTTTACAGAAAATAAGACTTTGCTTTATTATGTGGTTACGATATATGTTATTTTGCTGCTTAAAAAACGTTAAGTCATTCTATTTATGCACTGAAAAACGGTACAAAATATAAGATGGAATTTCATCGCTTCGCCAAAAAAGTTCTACAAAATGCGTTTTTCATAATTCAACAATAATATTTTAGAATATATAAATTCATCACACCTCCGATATTGTCTGAAAATTCCATAATGATCGTGTAGAAAATAAAAAAGTTGTACTCATCTAAAAAGCTCTCTCTATCGAGCCTCTTCTTTTAATATTTAGCTCTATTTTAGTAATTAGATTTTTGGGAAATAAACGTGTTTTTGTATATTATATTCATCAGTTTACTCTCTATATAAATATGTTCATTCTAAATATATATTTTAATTTGATTAATAAATAATGCTGTAATGTCAAACTTGAATTTAAAGATATGATTACATTTTATCACAAAATTACTGCTTTTATCTATGTAACGTTATTTGGACATTGTAGCTGATATTGCTTATTGCTTAATAAAATAACATAATGTAATCGACCATCACCATTCCATTACGCCAGTCCATATAAAATGTCCATGATTTAGTCATTACATATGTGATAGAACATACGTGGGCAGCGAACTATTTACCCTTGAACATAACTATATATTCTTGAGTTTGGTAACTCTGACTATTATCGTTGCATAGCGTGGTAAAGCCTTCGGATTTTCAATAGGTCGGAAATAAATGACAAAAGACTCTTCTGACATCACTTTTAAAACTTGAACAAGCCTTTATATGTACCACATGGACCGATGATGATGTCGGGTGTTTCCAAGCCTTTGGAGAGGGGTGTACGAAGACCCATATCCAGGGGCGTAGGAAGGTGTAAATTCAACACTACGCCAAAAGTCCCGCCAAAAAAATATGAAACAATTGTGTCAATATTCTATATCAAAACGCCTATATTATGCCTGGGTCACATATGGTCCGATCCATCGGCCGGCGCCCGGCCGATTGAGTGTTTTGTTCAATATTGCATTCAATTTTGAACAAAATACTCAATCGGCCGGGCGCCGTTGTGAAAATCGGAGAAAATGTGACCAAGGCATTATGCTCGTAAAACGTCATTTTATGGTAACAGAGATTTAAGCTTGCAATATTCACAACCTAAATGTGAACGGAAATACTTAAGCGATGCAGTTGTATGGACGATTGGTCATACGTATAGGTTGGCGTTTCGATTTCATATGCAAGCTTTAAATCCCCGATACCTTTTTAATGTGCTTTAAAATGTTCGAATGATTTCCATCATTTAAAATCACCTTGGAAAGCCTATCTTTTAAATCTCGACACAAATCATTCTCACTTTGCTAATGTCTCGAGCGATTGAGACCACCAATTTCCAAAAAACAATTAGAGATTTTTTAATCATTTTCGAATAATTGAATTAAGATATATAGTATTGTCGGATTCCATCGTGTACCGTGCAATACAATACGTACAGATTAAAGAAACTAGTTTGATCAATTGATATAAAGAAACGCATTCGTGATCAATGAAACAAATAAACACACCCACCACAAAGGTCAAATCGAGGTCAACGTGACTTAAGGGATGCCAAAAAATGTTATAAAACAAGAATCTATTATTTTTCAAATGAAAAAAACTAGGTTATCGCTTTTCTAGAACTGAAATCAATGGAACGTGTAATTGAATAATCAGCATTTTCAAGTTGTTTTTGTCTTTAACATCCATATTTCAAAAAGTACTACCAATAACAATTAGTGATTTAGTAAGAAAATAGATAATTGTTGACTTAACTATAATTTCGTGTCTATGATTTTGCATAGCAACGGAATATAAATCGATAGTGAAATTGAAAAATTGGGGTAGGGGAGAATAAAAAAATATACATCTAAATTTAAAGAGGTTCATCATTATAATTATATGAAACCATAGTTAGCATAAGCATTACGGAATGCAGAAAAAATGTCAAAGGTATTCATCAAGTAGTTTTTGAAAAAAAAACAGTTTTCCTCTCAAATTCGTGAAGAGAACGCGATTCACGAATATTTGGCAAAATTGTATTTATAAGACAGTCAACAGTGGCTCGATTTTCATGAAATAAAGCATGTTGGTAAGGGAATTCAATCTGTTAAATGATATTTGCCAGACAGACCAATAATGATATGGTATCCACAAAACATTTCTTTAGGCTAGTGTGCTCGAGATTACTTTTACAATTTAAACAATGAGAAAATATGACTAAAGAACATAGGAAAATTAAAAAGTCTTTTTTATTCTCACTTTTCAACACTACGCACTGGCGTTTTGGCGTACATTGTTCCTACGCCACTGCATATCAACCCATAATGCTTCGCGATGAACACCTTTCAAATGAAGTTCTTTTCAACGACTGCACTAGTTAAATATTACCTTTTACATTCGTTCGACTTCACTTCTTAAAAGAGAGTTTCGTCTAGTTTATAACTAGACTCTGAATGCAGGGTAGTTTAATATGGTCATAATGCATTAATGTCCTACAAATTGATTGAGTGACGTTCTTTGGCAGTGAATTATTTATCATATAAGTAATAAAATGATAACCGGATGTGGCAACCCACAAAGGATTGCATATTTACTCGTTTCACGTTTCTTTATTTATTTAACATCGGCAATGAAGTTAATGGATAATACGCATAAAGAGAAAATAGTTCGTATTGTCTAAGTACGGTTGGTATGAAAGTGGTAGCAAATAATAAAACAATTTTCAGAAACTATGCCAATGTTTCCCTCAGGATATCTGATCAAATATGAAAAGCCTAGTCTCGGTTTTGAGATTTGATTTGGATGCCATTTCTACAATTTTCATAAAAAAAATATTGGTCCAGTAGACTGATGTGAACTTCGTTCTCCAAACTGAGACTTGTCTTTTAACAACAAAGGAGTTCATTATCATGAAATGAAGCTTCTTGAACATTTCGACCTGCGTTCTTTTGAGGCTTCGACTTTCGATATTTTTTTATTATTCTAATTGACAAAATAAGAAAATACTTTCGAATAATATAAAACTTCATTAATTGTATACACAGAATGATATCATTTTTGTTGTAAATGTAAGGTTGTAACTTTTACAAAGGACAATTCAAGTAAACGGTTTAAGTTAATTGTAAAACGAATTAATTTTCCAGTTCATGGTATAAACAATAGAATTGGGTAGTTTCAATAAGGTAAGGTCGCTTTAATATTCAACATAAGTAAAAAAGAAAAAACATAAGTAGTTCTAGTTACTTACACTCTTCTAAAGAGTCTGACACACCTTACTGAAAATTGAAGGTCGGAAATGACAACTTTAATTCTTGAATTAAAATTGGATTTTAATCATAAATGCTATTTGTTTCATAACACAAATAATTGCATCTATTTACTTTAGAATCGCCAAATATTAAATATCGTCACCTTTCCACGTGGTCGAATAAAATCAAGTGTTTATTTTGCCAGTTGCATATATTTGAATGGGAGTGTATTTCTGGTGTAAATAAATTATAAATATCACTGGCAGGGTGAATGAAGATTTTATGTCGAGGTATGTTTCTTATCCCGTTCCCGGACTATAGTCCTGCACTGATCGCATTCATTTGCCTGTACGATTACAACTTGGGAGAATTATCTACGCCCCTTACACTTAAGATACCTACCTCAATGCATTATAGAACTCAAGATGTAACTTCTAATATATTGGAACCGCCGATTGTCTGGGTATATCGGTAGAACGAGAACATTTTCTCTTTTTCATCGAGAGAGATTCCATCACTTTTCAAAATGGCGGTTGGATTTAAACGGGGAATCCCCCGTTTGGCTGTCCCGGATGTAGCCCGGAAGTACCAATAAGAATTTGACGGTTGAAAAAGGTTAAATGTTACACGCAAATATTGCGATCAAAAACGAAAATGTCTTCGTTCTGCCGATAAACCCAGACAATTGTGGATTCAACTACACGAAAAGAATGCTAAATTACCAAGGAATCTATTGAAGTAGGTATCTGAAGTGTAAGATCAGTAAAAAATTCTCCCATGTTGTAATCGTACAGGCAAATGTATGGGCTCCGTACAGGACCATAGTCCGGGAACGGGATAATATGTTTCTACACCTTGAAAATAAGAAATCGTGTGTCCAAAAATGAAAAATATATTGGTAGCAGATTTGTAGTATACAATGAAAAATTACATTCTTAGAGTGCTATGCAAACAATTAAGAAAGCAATATTTAATGTCGCTTGTCCGTTAGCCAAACAAAGCGAATAGGTCTTTATTAATAAAGAAAATTGCCTCGAGAATTGGAAAAAGTTGCTTTGTAATTCTATGATCGCTGTGAAAATATTTAAAGGGTGATATCTTAAAGTGTAATACAATTTGTGAATACTTAAAGTCATTGTTTTCATACACGTAACCTTGATCGAAAAATATTTTAACTATTGTAAAAGTTTAGAGGCGGAAATAGAGATCCTGGACTGAGGTTAGCGGAGGAAATGACCATAAGTGACACAAGGTATTATGTTACTTTTAGCATTGTTTGTCATTTGGATTGAAATTAAATGCAAAACAATCTCGGAAATCAAGTAAATATCTATTGTTAATGTACCCTTAGAATTGAACGTACGTTGAATATGTTAAAACTGATTTTGGAATTAGATCCTGTAGCAATTGGATGATAAGGCCTTCAGAAAAACATTTATTCTAGCTCATCTTGGACATGCAGAAATATGGAATTTGAAGATGGTGAATCGCAATCGGGAACAGCCAAAGCAAATGAAAGTTTAGTTGATATACAACAACTCGAAGCTAGAAAGGATGCGATTAAACGTATCATATCGACTCATACCAGTGATAACGAATTGCGAGCATTTATGACCAATCGCGCTATGGAAACAAAATTGGAACGCCGCATTAAGTTGTTGGACCGTGAAGAAAAACTAATCGAGCAACGATTTATTCACAATGAGCGCTTGGTTAAAGCGAGGTCCAAAGAGTTAATGGGGGCACCTCGAGCTAAATCTGCAGTGGTATTACCACGAAAAGAAATATCTACAACTAACGGTCGCCAACAAAAACGTCGTTATTCAGTAACATTCCCATTGGATGCAAAAACGTTTACACTCACCTCTTTGCCGAAACAGTTTGAGGATAACCAAACGCGTGACAAAAGCACACCAACCGAACGTATTGATAAAGTCCTCCAACAAAAGAAGATCAATAAAGTCAAAAGAACAAAGACGTCAGTGTACCTTCATCACCAGCATAATGCAATGTTTCCTACGGTAAATGCCAAAAATGGATCAAATGACATTCAAGACCTCGTTAAACATTTTGTGGAACATCAAATTGACTTCAATACTACGTGTCCTGTCCCTGATAAGATCAAAACTCAATCGGAGGAATCTCGCTTCCAACAGAGTGTACTTATGAAAGAAACTAAAAGTGTTCGCCTCTCAAAGTGTAAATCGTACGCATTAAGATCGCTCAATCGTCAAAAATTAACGGATCGAGATTTGCCTGATACAAAATCTAAAGAAGGTCATATTTTGAAAGATAAATCTCTCCGATCAAAGGATCTGAGAAAACAAGGCACGACAGATTTACCAAACAACATTGGGCGTAGTATTTTATCAAAAATAGTTCCTAATGAAGAGAAAAATCTAGAGCCAATGAGAGATCTATCTAAATATCAAATCTTATTGGACGCCAATCGCCCTAGGGAAATATACCTCAAAGATTTGTACATAGATGGCTCTACATACAGTCGGGGTAGCAGTGCCTGCGATAGGTCAAGGTCGAGTTCAGGTCGGATGTCAAGGACGGTCCAGTGGGCTAATAAATGTATGGCTAAGTTCGATGATACAAAAGAATAGCCTCCTGTGACAATACTACACCCACCTAAATAAGTTTGGCCACCAGAAGTCCCTACTTGAAATCGTGTTCAATCTATTCATATTGGACAAAATATGCAAAACATAGTAAAAACCACGTGCTTCCTGTTTCGACCATCTTGAGAATTTCACATTTACCATAGACCTTTTAGACCCCACCTTTACCACCATATAATTCATTATTCAATTCCATGCATGAATAAGTTATGCTATGATGCACATGATACGTATGGGTTTTATGGTTAGTTAGGTAATGCATTGGGATGTTGGGTCAAACGATCCAAAAGTCGGGCATTATTGTTTCATAGTGCATTGAATCTGAATAAACCATATTTGGATTTTTACCTTTTCTTCGAAATTTTAGTCGTTGTGTTTTTAATTTTAGAAACATAAAATATTCTAGACCCGATGACTCTTCTAGGTTTTTGATAACTACGTTTCATCAGACATTTTACTATACATCCAATGGGGCTCTATTTTTATGAAGTTATATGGAGTCCCTAATATATATCGAATTGTTTAGCGAATTTAACCTAAGGATGGCGAACTCAGCGCTTTGGTCCAGTGACAGGGATTTTTACGTAAATATTTACAATAGTTCAACAATAACCCCGATTAGAGAATTAAAAATACGACCATTTTGCCCAATGGCCAATATTATCTACTCTGTGATACACGAGATTGATTGTTGCTAAGAGCAATATTAAACAACAAAGAATTGCTTTATCATAACAGTAAAATCTTGTCGTGTAAACATGCCAATGTAGCCCTCGGTCACTTTTGAGAATATCGACAAGGAAGTTTGCATCTAACGCTGCTACAGATCCCAATAACATTCCGGGAATATATAACAACCCAGCCAGCCGGCCAGACTGACCCCCGGGACTGACCCTCTGATTACTAAGAAACGATACGATATATTATATTTGTTCAAAAACGCAAATAATGAATATGGAAATCTGACTCAACTTTTTTTAAGCTTTGAGTTCCTCTTTTAAAGAATACAAATATCTCGAAAAAATAAGATTCATTTTTTTTAATTTTTGGTCGAAATTATATTTAAAATGCCTTAGAGAGGCGATCCTCTTCCGCTATACTGTATAGATAAATGAAAAAAGTATCCCAAGACAAATCTTGGTGACAAAGGTTTAGATGATTGTTTAGTAGTACAAAAACTATGTCGATCTTGCTAAAAGGACTAAAGGATGAAATTCCATACGTAAATGGAACGTTGCTTAAAGACATTGTGTATGTTAACACAACAGTTTTATCACGAAAATCAATTCAGGAAAAAAGACACATGATAATTCACAATCTCAAGAAAGTACACAATGTAAGGTGACCTCCGATGTTTATTAGTTAAAGGCCCCATGCAAGGCTTCACAATATTTTAAGTTTGCCAAAAAACAATATGGAGCATACATGTATTTCGAAAAAGTTTTGAAAAAATGAGTTGCCTTTTAATTTTCGATTATATGAATTTTCCGCCAGCTGAGTAACAATAGTCACGTGTTCAGATTATAAAATAAGTAAAGTCCTTTGGATATCTTGGGTTTAAATAATTTTTCAGAACTAATTTTGCACATAATTGTGGCTCATTTTTCAACGAATTGTATTTATTTTTCAGTGCAAATTAGCGTATGATATATGCTGAACGCCATGGAATAACGTGTAGACACAGTAAAATATTGGATGCGTGTGATTCTTGAATTTTCAAAATAAAGCAACAATTCATTATTTTGGATGAAATAATTGTTCAAAAACAGCTTTGTGAAATTCTAAGCAAAAGTTGATAATATCGGATATACTACAATACCAAAAGCGGTTTAAACTTTTCACAGGGCCTTTAATATATTAGTGAGGCTTTACGCATGTCTTCATATATTCAGTATTCGCTTTTCGAGGTTTCGAGTTGCCGAAAGGTAGACCATGAGCATAAGACCTTGTAAGAGAGAAAACACTACAAAAGAGTGGGAATGAAATCCACCTTTTCCGATTGTATTATTGAATATGCCCATGAGAAGCACATATTGATACGAAAATGAAAACTATGCTGTGAATAATAATAACGCCTTTTTAGGCCCATTAATTTAGACCCAATCTGCAATCTGCGCAGGGTCCGGTTTTTACTTGGTTCGGTTTTTCGAGTAGGTGCAAAGATGATAGTACTTCGATTTTGGATTATACCAAACGAAAGCTGTATTGTCAAGGAATAGAAGAGAATAAGCTTTTGATTTCTAAAACACTAAACGAAACAGGATTTTCCATTGTAATGTGGACGACGCCCTCAATGTAATCCAATGAGACGGAAAGAATTGTCGACGGACCAGTTTAAACCCGTTATCCGATTTTTTCGAAAAATATCAGTAAACTCCCAGCACCATTTGTAACCCCGTCTTTTTTATATGTAATCTATTTATTTAATAAAAATTTAACTCTCCAACGTAAGAGCTTGTCAATCCCCCAATGACATTATAGTTATAGGCCAAGCTATAAAGGGCCGTTGTTGTGATCTGACAACATTCTTGAAAATAAAACACCTTAAGTGTACGAGTATTTATTATTGTTATATTTCAACTTCTTTGGTTGTGATTGTGACAGGCTTCAACATAATGGGAAATATTATTACCAAATTGTTCCATGATAGACGACAGAAGATCGAGTTTGATCAAATTATGGCTGCCAATCATCCTCTTTGGTTTATGGTATGAGTTTTATTTGCATTCATTAATCTTAAAATATCTCATCAAAAACGGCCTGTAATTGGCACCTTAGATAAAAACTTTCTTTCCTTATAAATGCTAAAGCTGGAATCAATCGCTTATCTAGTATTAGGAATGACTAGTGCAAATTCTAAGAGGTGAATCCACTCTTGAAAATCCCTAAAAAACGATATATTCACTAACAACTGAAGCACGAGCAATTTACCTTAAATTGTAATTAAAGAGGGTTTGTAACTTTGTATGCAGTGAAAGTGCAAGACTATGATACTTTAATTGTCTGATTGCTCTTTCTACTGCGTAAACTATTTTCTGCTCGACTTAGATTTACACATATAAGTTACAATGGTGCATTATCAATGTCATAAAATCAATGCCATAAAATAGCAGCTCACGGTGGATACAACGTTTAGTTGAGACCAAGGAGGATTGGCTCCCAGAGTGCAACATCGATATTCTGTCCCAAAAATGGGCATGTCGTAATACAAAATTCGAATTCAAACAGCCGTCATTTTGTTCACTTCAACATTTGAATCGTGAAATTTGGTCTTATTTCCTAACGAAAAATTCCAAAACCCACAAGAAATGATCGAAATATTTGTTCGAATGTTTGAACTGTTTATTTTGAATTTATAGTCGGTTATAATTTCAGAAAATAACGACAATTCGACGTTTTCATTGTTGGAAATTATCGAGTTTCGATCCTAGGAGCCAATACTCCTTGGTTGAGACGGTGAAGATGAGGAACAACAATGTCAGTTGTAATTAATTTCATTTGATAAACAATACGAATACACACTCCTCTACTTAGGTTTGGAAACACAGGAACTCCCCTATTGCCCCATGTGGTAGAGTCTGTTCGTATACAACGATTTTTATAGCATGGTCAAAATTGTTCACATTTTGTTGACAATCGTGTTTTACGATCTCTTTTATGATCAGAAGTGAAACAATTTGTCTTTCAATTATATGTCAGCCAGCCCTTAGGAATTATTTATTTGAAACTCTCTAATCTTTGAGTATTAACTTTGATCAAGATATCCATTACCCGTCGACATCGGATAAAAAGGATTCTGGGAATCGATCCTCCAAACGAAGTGTCGTCTGCTGCTAAATGCTTCGCGGAGCTGAGAATCAATCGAAGCAAGAGCAAAAGTGTGGAAAGGACGTTGATGGATAGATAACGAACAAGCTAACACATTGTTGTTATACATTATTTTCATTGCACTATAACATAAGCCTATGAATAAGAGAGCCAAAGAGATGATTGCGGATTATGAGTTCATTGCTCTTCCTATAGGCCTATCCCTTTTAGATATAAACAAAACTGCGAGAAAATAATTTGTTTGTGATAACCATAAGTAACATGAGAAAGGATAACTACATAACTGTAGTAACGGAAATTAAAACTTAGAAACAATCTGATACATTGATGAATGTAGCGACAACAAAATGCAGTTTCCCGATCTTCAAATTGTGCATACGAAGCTGTAAATGAAAAACAAAAAGATATCAAACATTTTCGTACAATTTGTAAGATAACAAAAGGCCGTTGTGACAAGATGGAAAAGGTTGAGGGATTATCCCGGGCGGAGAATATAGATTTTGGAAAAATTGTTATAATGGATGCCGTACAACTTTAATAAGATGCCGAGCACAACATGGTCGTTAATATTCCCATTGTACACATATATCATATCAACCTATGTACAATGTTCAGGTAAACTAAATAAAATCAAAACTTTTGGAATAAACATTTAAATTAGGTCAGAAACAAGTCAAATTCTTTACTTCAGAGAATTTTTTTTTTTTTTTTTTTTTTTTTTTAAATTAAAAATATTCTCTGAAGTAAAGAATTTGACTTGTTTCTGATATATTAACCAGAGAGATGAACTTACATAGAACTATTTAAATTAGGGTTTGTTTTTGTGGAATAATTTTTAATTAGAACCAAATCGCGGAAACCTTATCAAAATTATTAAATGAATCAGTTAGCATTTACTACATTTAAAAAGGAAAATGAAATCACAAATATTAAATGGATTTAGAATGATTCACGTATCCTGCATTTTCTAAGAATCAACTGCAAATTCAATAGATTGTTACAAAAAAGCAAAATAAAATAAATCCATTTTGATATCCGCCAGTATCTCTAAAACTGATACGCAATATGTGATTACAAATAAATAGATTGCTATTTTAACTTATAATTAATAAAATTGAAATGAACAAAGTTGATAACCTACGTGGAAAATTATTTAAATCGGAAGTGAAACTACACATAATCAGTTTCAACAAAGGACAGGTAGATTTATAGTTTAAATATAAAAGCATAGTCACAGATAGAGTGATAGTTGAACGTAGAAATCAATTTGTTGGAATATTTATTCCAATATCTTTATTTGATTTACATTCTGATACATATTTAAAGCGCCATGAAGTATCAATTACATAATATTTGAAGTACATTTTAAGCAATTAATGATAATATACAGGGTGACACAAAAAGTACAAAGGACGAATGAAATATTCAAAACTTCGATTGACGTTGTGAGACTTGGCTTGAGAAAGTTACCTAAATACCAGTTACTGTCTGGTCTGGTGTATCTTAAGGTGCCATTAATTCATTTTGTCTATGGTAAAAAATAAATCCTATGTTGTATTTTGAAAATTTGGAATCTTTAATTGAATAATGTTAGGGAGTATGGAGTATTTCTGGAATACTTTAATGTAATTCAAGAACTTAAAAACATAGTACTTATTTTTATTTTTACTTATTTATTTATTTATTTCATGATAATATAACAATAAAATGTACAAAGCATGTGCACTCGACACCCTTAGTAATTGGGCGTATCAGTGCATATATCAAAAATTATTGCAGAGCAATCAAAAAACATATAATATATAACATAAGTTATCTAAATTGTCCAGATGCAATACAGAAACTTTGAAGTCTTGATATAAATAATTAATTCAAATGTTCAAATGTGATCTTATATAATATGTTCATTCGTCTTTTCGAAAAGGTCCTTTTTAATGTTGTGTTTAAAAGAATTCAAAGTTTTGCATGTTCGAAATACAATTGGTAAAGAATTCCATAAAATAGCTCCAGAATATGCAACTGATCTTTTTGTCAATTCAGTTTTCATTTTACTATATAAACTATATAAACTGAACCATATTATGAAACTGTCTCGTAGTACGATTACCAACATTATGATTGTACATGAATGTAAAGCAATTTTTGAAAAGATAAGCAGGAAATTTTGATGATTCCTTGACACAATTATACATAAATTTTGATTTCTCTAACCTGTGAATGTCAAAAATTGTTAAGAATTTCATTTCCCTAAATAAGGGTACACTAGGTTGTTGATAATCTGCATTACAAATCAGCCCTATATCTACTTTAAGACTTTTTCTCAGAAATTCCCAGGTACTCGTCCCTTGTAACAAAGTGAACTTAAAAGTTATTTAAAATAAGCGGGTTACCTTATTCTTAGAACAATGTCAAGAGCACTTGTTTAATATGAGACACTGAACTCACAATTCCTTCGATTTTTACTAGTATTACAGAGTACTCTTTGCCTCAACACTCCATGATTGCAGTTCAAACAACATTATAAAAGCGATGCTTATTACATCATTGTACCATTGTGTAATAATACATTTGGAAGATAATGAGCCCAGGGATGGATCTGAAAGTTTACAAACTGGCAGGCCAATTCTTCTTGAAAAATGGGTCTTCTTGAGGCCCATATTTGGAATTTTTTTAGAAATCGGGGAACATTTTTTCGAAAAATCCAATTATCTAAAAATTTAATATGAAACCCAAAATTCCATTTAAGGCCGGAGATAAAAGAAAGACCTTCTAAGTTGAGGTTAGAATCGATTGTGCAGAGGAATCATAAATAATTCTGTATGATATATACATGTACTATTTCACTATATGTGTTGTTATGCCATGTGCACTTATAATTGAAGGAAAATGGTTTGATTTTATATAAGAATTATACTGTTACCTAGCTATGAGATATTAGTTTCATCGGGTTAATAGTGGGCTGTATAGCAAGGTTGGTCGGGGTCGGGAGCTGGGGATAATTTTATTGCTTAAATATAACCATATCATCATCCTACATTAGAATCCACTCAGTCTAACATCAATTTCTGGTGCGAAAGTTGTCATTTTTGAGTTTTACCCGCCTTGAAGACAAATTCTTGGGGGTACTATGACAAATGCTTATAACTAAATAAGTATTTATTTGATCATCTTCATTTTTGGCATGGGTAATTAACAGGTATGTAAAAGTTAAATTTGAAAAATTCATACAAATCGGGTGATTGATCCATTCTAGAGATAATAATTCAGGTATCTTCAAGGGTCAATTTCAACATTTTCTGAATGTCGGCATGTAGTAAAAAATATATTATGACCCAATGACATATTTATTGAATGTTTTTAGGCTTTAGAAAATAATTTGACTATATTAGCTAAAATAATAATATAAGAATTGTACCATATTGATAATTCTTCATCGCCATCCAGGCACAAATAAACCCGACCCCCTCCCCATTTTCGAATATGAAGGTATATACCTGAAACTTCCTCAAATAGCTATATTTCAGAAACTATTACAGCCTACATTCCAAAATTTCTCATGGTGATTATACACATCATACTGTGCATAATAGACATATAATTAAGATTTAATCATTCTATAGCTAATAATTAAGGTATTTTCAAGGTTCAATTTCAGCATTTTCGGAATGTCGCCATGAAGTAAAAATTACATGACCCAATGACATATTTATTAAATGTTTTTAGTTAGAAAATAATTTGACTATATAAGCTAAGATAGTAACATAAGAATTGTACGATATTGATAATTCTTCATCGCCATCCAGGGATAAATACACCCCCCCCCCCCCATTTGCGAAAATAAAGGTTTTTACCTGAAACTTTCTCAAATGGCTATATTTCAGAAACTATTAAAGCCTCCATTCTAAATTTTTTCTTGTTGATTATACACATCATACTCTGAATATTATACATATACTAATTGACTACAAGAGAGATATTTTGGATTGTCATCATTTTTGAGAATATTACAAAAACATATTTATATTATGCAATAATCACCTATTTTCATTTAACATAATTGAAATATATTATCTAGCTAGTCTTAATGATTTCAATATATGCATTTAATCCTGAGATGCACTAAGGTTTGATATCCATGAAGTTATTGTTTCTTTTTTGTTTGTAATTTAGTCTCTAAGCATAAAACTATAAGCATTAAATCTGTATGCTTTAGGACATACATAATCTATACCGATGACTAAACATTCAATTGACAACATCCAGTCAATATGCTTGACAAAATTCAATAATGATTAATATGTTCGACCTATATGTTTTTGAATAACTTCACCAATACTATTTGCTTGAGTATTCATTTCAACATTTGCTTCAAGCAGTTGAACATTGTTAGTTATCAACATCACCTGAAAAGATTTCATCTATGAAATTGTTGACTTCATTATCTGTCATATCATCATCAATTTTGTCATCTGATTCTTCATTTGAGCTTTGTGAGACTGCTTCCATATGTAACCTTGGTAGTTACATATTTTACAATGTTGAACAAGGGATGACCTGCATGGAGGAAGAGACTGATGTCTATCCCATCATAGTTGTTGATAGAGGCTTGAGGTTGAAATCTGATGGCAAAATTTATGTATCGTACATGATTGATGTCTGTTTCTTTCTTTTCCCCGTACATGATGCACAGAAATCTTTCAAGTTTTTGAAGATGCCTTTGGTCAGTTCTTGAAAGATTGCATGCATGTCCTCCCTCTTGATCAGCTGTTTCAGAGGGTTTATTTTTCCCTTCCTCATGAAGGCACTGGTGGTATCACACCCTGTAAAACAGTGGATACCGATCAGGGTGGCTGTGATTGGATCACCCAAACCTGCTGCAACTGTCTTCACATCAATGAGGCACCTCTTGTTTGAAACTTCAGTGTCAAACAGTACTTGAGAAGTGTTGAGAAGTAGGTGTATGCTGTAAATAAGCAGAAGTATGAGAACATCTGTGTCTGGAGATCTGACAAGTATGATCTGGGCCTCAGCCCCCACTTGCCTTGATGCATATAAAGCATGGAGAATAATTGCACCTTAGGTCTAGGACTTCCTCACTAACAACATGTGACCCATCACTTGTGAGTAAGAAGCACTTGAAAGACAAAGTAAATTGGCGTGTTCTGAATTTTTTTGCATATTTGTCCTTCTTCCATTCTGCGAGGATAAGTTGGACAAGCTGTTCCATTTTTGGGACTTTAGTTTTGGGACCTTTCACTTTAGGACCTTTAACCAGCAGTGGCTGCATTTTACCTGTACACCTTCTCTTAAATTCAGAACAAGCCAATTTAGTCAGGTGGGGGCTGAGGCCAGGACCATACTTGTCAGATCTCCAGACAGATGTTATCATACTCCTGCTTATTTACAGCAAACACCTACTTCTCAAAGTACTGTTTGACACTGGAGTTTCAAACAAGAGGCGCCTCATTGATCTGAAGACAGTTGCAGCGGGTTTGGGTGATCCAATCACAGCCACCCTGATCGGTATCCACTGTTTTACAGGGTGTGATACCACCAGTGCCTTCATGAGAAAGGGAAAAATAAACCCTCTGAAACAGCTGATCAAGAGGGAGGACATTCATGCAATCTTTCAAGAACTTGGAAAATTAATAGACCAAAGGCATCTTCAAAAGCTGGAAAGATTTGTGTGCATCATGTACGGGGAAAAGAAAAAAACAGACATCAATCATGTACGATACATAAATTTTGCCATCAGATTTCAACCTCAAGCCTCTATCAACAACTATGATGGGATAGACATCAGTCTCTTCCTCCATGCAGGTCATCCCTTGTTCAACATTGTAAAATATGTAACTACCAAGGTTACATTTGGAAGCAGTCTCACAAAGCCCAAATGGATATACCTTCTCCAGCAGAAAATGGATGGATCCTAGATGATGGCGAACTTGATATACAATGGGCTGAAAATCCAAATGCTATTCTTACACAAGAGTTGGTAGACATTTATAACGAAGAATCAGATGACTAAATTGATGATGATATGACAGATAATGAAGTCAACAATTTCATAGATGAACTCTTTTCAGGTGATGTTGATAACTAACAATGTTCAACTGCTTGAAGCAAATGTTGAAGTAAATACTCAAGCAAATTGTATTGGTGAAGTTATTCAAAAACATACTGGTCGAACATATTAATCATTTTTAAATGTTGTCAAGCATATTGACTGAATGTGTCAATTGAATGTTTAGTCATCGGTATTGATTATGTATATCCTAAAGCATACAGATTTAATGCTTATAGTTTTATGCTTAGGAACTTAATTACAAACAAAAAAGAAACGATTACTTCATGGATATCAAACTTTATTGCATCTCAGGATTAAATGCATATACTGAAATCATTGAAACTAGCTGGATAATATATTTCAATCATGTTAAATGAAAATAGGTGATTATTGCATAAAATAAGTATGTTTTTGTAATATTCTCAAAAATGATGACAATCCAAATATCTCTCTTGTAGTGTTGTGACAACCTTCTAAAACATTTCTAAGATGTCTAATAAATATACTATTATTATTAGCTACACCCTCAAAAAGTGTTAAGACTTCAATTATATGTATAATATGCAGTGTATGATGTGTATAATCAACAAGAGAAATTTTGGAATGGAGGCTGTAACAGTTTCTGAAATATAACTATTTTAGAAAGTTTCAGATAAAAACCTTTATTTTCGCAAATGGGGGGGGGTATTTATCCCTGGATGGCGATGAAGAATTATCAATATCGTACAGTTCTTATGTTATTATCTTAGCTTATATAGTCAAATTATTTTCTAAAGCCCAAAAATATTTAATAAATATGTCATTGGGTCATGAAATTTTTACTTCATGGCAACATTCTGAAAATGCTGAAATTGAACCTTGAAAATACCTTAATTATTAGCTATAGAATGGATAAATCTCAATTATATGTCTATTATGCATAGTATGATGTGTATAATCACCATGAGAAATTTTGGAATGTAGGCGGTAATAGTTTCTGAAATATAGCTATTTGAGGAAGTTTCAGGTATAGACCTTTATAATCGAAAATGGGGAGGGGGTGGGGTTTATTAGTGCCTGGATGGCGATGAAGAATTATCAATATGGTACAATTCTTATGTTATTATTTTAGCTTATATAGTCAAATTATTTTCTAAAGCCTAAAAACATTCAATAAATATGTCATTGGGTCATAATGTAATTTTTACTTCATGTCGACATTCAGAAAATGTTGAAATTGACCCTTGAAAATACCTGAATTATTATCTTTAGAATGGATTAATCACCCGATTTGTATGAATTTTTCAAATTTTACTTTTACATACCTGTTAATTACCCATGCCAGAAATGAAGATGATCAAATAAATACTTATTTAGTTATAAGCATTTGTCATAGTACCCCCAAGAATTTGTCTTCAAGGGGGGTAAAACTCAAAAATGACAACTTTCGCACCAGAAATTGATGTTAGACTGAGTGGATTCTAATGTAGGATGATGATATGGTTATATTTAAGCAATAAAATTATCCCCAGCTCCCGACCCCGACCAACCTTGTTATACAGCCCACTATAACGAGAATGACGGTACGTGCAGAATACAGGTAATTCCAAAATTATGAAATTGGAAATGGGTTAATTATCTATCTTTTTCATATTTTGCACAAGTCCATATTTGTGGACTTTGCTACAATTATTCAGTTGCTCTTTCAGAAAGGAATTCTGTTCTTTCATTGTCTTGATCTTTTTGCGACTTACCTTAAAGTAGATGTTGATATAATTATATAGTGATTTAAGCATAAATGAAGTCCTTTGAGGAAGGATGCAGAGGTCCCTCTTTAACTATAGCCTGTTTGTATCTAGTGGCTTTCAAAATGTCCAGCAACTTAACGTTATCCAATCCAATATCACACCGGAATACCCTGACGACGGTAAAGTCAGACACCGTTGTCACAAAAATGGCGGACACAGGTTCGTTTTTGATTCGTATTTGAAGCGGTAGTTACCACGACAGCGACAGACATTTGACTTTACCGTTGTCAGGGCATTCCGGTGTGCTAATACAATATGTTAGAAACACATTTTTATGATGATCTCAGCATAAACAGGCTTCAATAACGTACATGTATTTATTGGAGATCCAATGAACCAACCAAGATTTGAAGTAGAATATCAACAAAATGCCTCTAGGTTCTGGCAAAAGTTCATCCTAACAATGAAAGATATTTTTATATTGAACATTGTGTGACTTTCGAAAACATGGCAAGAGCTTAAGAATCGATTTGACTGGTCTCCTAAGCCTTGCACTGAGACATATCTCAGTCAATGAGATTATTGCCAAGGTATCTTCATTCTTGAATCAATAAAAGTTCTAACCTTTTTACTTTTTTTACTTTTTCTATTTGACCATACACCGACACTTCTTAGAAATCCGATCAATGATATATTCTTAAAGTTATGATAACCGCTTCTTGGATATTCCCCGCGCATTTTCACAAACTTTGGATAGGTTTGTCATGCATCATCTTTATAATTTGACATCGAATGAAACAGAGGGAGTTAACAACACCAGTGAAATTGATGATCCTTGAAATTCTAAAGGTGACGTTGCGCCTTTAAGATAGACCTCGCACCTAGAAGGATATCAATTATACTGAGTTTACCATACCATGTACCTATTCAATAGCGATAATGGACATATGAAGCGTCACAATGCCGTTTCATAAACGGCCCGTTCTTGTAACTTAGATGTCGACCAATGAGACTGTAAAGATTTTCAAATTCTGTTTGATCTCGCTTGTGTTTCTGTTTTAATACTATGCATTTTTATTTCAGCGTCTTTTTGTGACGGCACAAACGATGGCGACTTTTTCCAGCACGAATCATCTTGCTTCCTGTACTACCGATGCAGTCACGGTGACGCCGTGGAGTATCAATGCGCCCCACATACCGCCTGGGATCAGTCAGAGTTGACCTGTGTCGGTCTGTCGGGCTACACATGTACGTTACCCGCACCTACGACCCCAAATGCAGTGACGACACCAGATGACGATTCATTGACGTCGTCGACTACAACTATACTGATTGAGTCAACAAGGAGTCACGTGCCATTTAGTACAGACATTTCACAAACAGTTTCATTGTCTATATCTGAACGTCCACTATATCATACGTCAACTATCACACATGTAGATATGACATCATCAATATCAGACATGTTGAGTGACGTGACAAGTGTTACGAGTGAAATGTCAAGTGTTACAAGTGAAACTATAAGTGTTACAAGTAACACGTTGGATGTAACAAGTATAACTGAATCTGTTACAAGTACTAGTTATCCGATTCAAGCCAGTACCACAGTAGAACCTCTGTCATCACTTTCATTATCTGCTGATATGATGTATTCCACATCTTCAACATTTAGTTTATACTCGACGCAAACAACTGTCGCAGCGTTGAGTTCAGCACAATCAATGTCATTGTTTAGCTCAGCACAGTCAACGCCCCCGTTGAGTTCAGCACATTCGACGCCATCGTGTAGATCAGCACAATTGACATCCTCGTTTAGTTCAGGGCAAGTCATTATCACAAGTGAGACTGCAAGTGAGTATATTATATCAGCCAGTACGTTTCATCAGTCAGTACGTAATCAGTTTATGTTAAATCAGTCAGAACGTATATTCAGTCTAGACGTTTTATCAGACCGTTTGTTTCATCAGTTAGAACGTTCGCCAGTTGGTGTTTAATCAGCCAGCACATTCAATCAGTAAGTACGTTTCATCAGTTAAAGCATTAGTCTTATAAGTAAGTACGTTTCATCAGTCAGCCACTCAACACGTCGTATAAGTAAGTACGTTTCATCAGTCAGCATTTGTTCAAACACTCAACACGTCTTATAAGTAAGTACGTTTCATCAGTTAGTATGTTCAAACATTCAACATGTCTTATAAGTAAGTAAGTTTCATCAGTCAGCCACTCAACACGTCGTATAAGTAAGTAAGTAAGTTTCATCAGTCAGCCACTCAACACGTCGTATAAGTAAGTACGTTTCATCAGTCAGCATTTGTTCAAACACTCAACACGTCTTATAAGTAAGTACGTTTCATCAGTCAGAATGTTCAAACACTCAACACGTCTTATAAGTAAGTAAGTTTCATCAGTCAGCCACTCAACACGTCGTATAAGTAAGTACGTTTCATCAGTCAGCCTCTCAACACGTCGTATAAGTAAGTACGTTTCATCAGTCAGTATATTCAAAGACTCGACACGTCTTATAATTAAGTACGTTTCATCAGTCAGTATATTCAAACACTCAACATGTTCAATAAATAAGTACTTTATTCAGTTTATGTTCAATCAGTGCGATTAAACGATTGAATTAAGGATCTTATTAAATCGGCCAGCTTTTCATCAGGTTCTATGTCAAATGAGTATCATGAAGGTCAAGTAACGATTTACCTGATTATTTATAAATCATTGCGGGAAATCCCACACCTGCTTTACGCCGTGTTAATCATAAAGCCGCTTACGGTCAGTTTTATGGCTACCCTGGGGTTGATCGGCAAGTACAATAAATCAACTACCCTCCGACTAATGCTGATTCTGCAGCGGGTCATTCAACCAATATAAGAGAGCATCGAACAGCCACGTTCACGTAATGGCCCTCGGTAGCAACTTGCACTTCAGCAAAGTTGTAGTGGCTCGCCCTTATGGCTCAGCAGTAGAGCATCGGACTTTGGAGCGAGAGGTTCGATTCCCGCATGGGGCACTGAATTTAGCACACTCTCTTTCAATTTCATGCCCAGTATCTGGTTTGTTCCACTACAGCTCCCCGAGGTCGCCTTGGGTCGTTACAATACGTCCTCATTTCATAAAAGACGTATTACAGGTCCAACAAACCATCCAACATGCTTTGATTGGCTAATCGTGTTACGATGCTTACCGGTAGTCTGAAGAGGGAGGTAGAGTTATTATTATCACAAAGGGTATTTAATGTACGATGTCCTTTTCATAATCGGATGAGCAATTGTTAGATATAAATTAATTAGATCCATCTTATCATCCTTAGAAATCGATTTGATAATAGTTTACAATTGTTATGCAAACAACTGGTGAAAAGTGTTGGTGTATTCTTAATCGCGCTGTTACGTCTTCACAATACGTAATTTAATGGATTAGCTGTATATCTAAATGCGCTTTAAAGAAGATAAATGGCAATCATAGCTAATATTTTGTGAGATGTTTGCTCGTGTAAATATAACGTGACATATACGATGTATTCAAGAATCGTATTGCATCTGAGCGTAAGGAGATGATGTATTTCATCGAAATAAGAGGCGTGATCGCACACCTTTCGAGTGATAATCAGTTCACCCCATTGTGGAATCAACAGTCTGTTCTATCCAGCTTGGAATAGACAGACTCTCACTATGTAGCTTCAGATAGAGAGAGGCTCTGATAAATCAGGATGATTTTATCTGTAGTTTTCCACAACACCATTTTGTAGTTATCGAAGAGTGAACTCAGTCAGGTATTGTCTGAATGCGCTCGTGGATTTGCAATGTCTAAATAAATTGTCTGACAGAACTAATAACACAGTCAATCGTCACAAATGATAACCATCACCACAACAAGTCGCCTGTCACAGTTAATATCACATTAAGTCACAATAAGTCGCATTTCAAAGCCAATAGCACATTACGTCATTCTTCACAGTCAATAGTACAATAAGTCGCATTTCAATTGTCTCAGCCAATAAATTAGTCGTCCCATAATATTCTATTAAAGTACTTTAAGAGACAACGTTAATACACTAGATAAATCAAAACACGGACATAAATAAAATTGATCTGGTGATAATATCGATGCCATGTAGTTACAATAGTAATTAAAAGGTGGACAAACACTAGAAGATACTTGGAGTATCTAAGGACGGGTACTCATAGTAAAAAGCTATCACTCATTATAAATCTTTCAATTTGATTAGATAAATCCCATGTTGTAATCGCTTATATGCGTGATTGAATGAAGATTATGGATCGCGTAAATCGAGTTTTCAAAAATTCATGTCGATGTTCGATAATAAAAAAGTATGATTGATGATATATGTCATTTTCCAACCTGTCGTAATTTAGCTACAGAATTTAGATTGGAAAATAATTAGGGTTTAACCACGGAGTTAGTGGAAATCTAGTTCAACTAAGAGGGGGAAGCCACAGAGCTTTAGCGATGACTGACATGTTATGTCTCTTGCGTTCCACCTTCGTTTGCGCAAATTCTCACCGGTTAGTTTTCGAATATAACGCGTCGTCGTGATGTTTTAATCGATGTTTAAGCATACTACTTACATCTCTCTTTGTCTTGATGTGAAATAACAAGCTATGATGTTGGTTAACACGCCAACAATATTAATTTATAATATAACATAATATTTTTCGAAGCGCTATTAGAAAATTTTGAATCCACCATTTTCGATTATCGATTTGGACCAGAACATTATAAGTGTACATCATCTTTGAACGCTGGGGTTCCTCCCCCTGGTTCAACTATAAGTTGATTATATAGCACCAGGTTATGAAAGTAAAATTCCTCTTCAATTTATCTTCATGGTTATTGCGCATGCGTCTCGCGATCTGATTGGTCCATTTGCGAAAATAGGGCGAGTAGCGCATCCGACTTTACGAATTTTGCATTGGTCTTACATTTGCATTGTTGCCTGACCAGAATAGCAAGATTGAGGAATGAATTATCTCTAATTCCCAAAGCTGGATAATGATGACAAAGATGTGTATTCTTTTTAAATATCAATATTTTTTCTGAAATTACTTTCATGACCTCTGAATCTTTGGGTTTAACACACTAGCCAAAGCCAATGACCAAGAAATTTCTGGTTCAACAATGTTTCTGGACGACTGGACTGGCTCAATTGTTATGTTACTAAAATTACCTATCATTATGGGCAATTTTACATGACAAGGGGGCAATTGAAACATTCTTTATGGGCCAAACTGCCCCTTATGAACCATCAATTGCTAAAGCTAATGAATACTGCTGTATTTAATGCTGTATAATCCGTTGGAAGTGGGGACAACGCTCGAGGGACAACTATAGAAATTAAGATAAAGGAAACAGAGACTTATTGCGAATAACATTTCCTTATTACGCAAAACTTGTTTATCACTCAGCACAACAAAACATTTTTGTACGGGCTAAGTCTAAAATATACCTTTTCAGCCTTATATCTTTCTAGCAACCGTTTTAGTCTAAATTAACCTTTTTAACCCAGCTTTACCTCTTTAGCCTAAAATTACCTCTTTTCAGGGTAAAACCTTTTTAGCCTGAAGTTAGCTTTTTAGCCAAATATTGCTTCGCCCAATTTAGCATTTGACTGCCCGCTTGTTTTCCAAGCACTTTATGAATTATTAAGATTAGGTCAAGCATACACCCCCAGGTGTCGTGGCCTCAAAGTTTGTATTAATGTTATCGTTTTATTGACATAAAAATATATAAAAATAAAATCATCTCTTTTAAAACTGATCAAAATATATGAACTTTAATATTTGTTTTCCAGCCTCATCTACAACTTCGGAACAATCAGCACCATCTATATTCATCCAATCATCAAGCACATCATCGATCGCAACTGGATTAATAACAACAGTTGTGTCTGACTTAAACACTACAGATGTGGCTGACTTTAACACCACAGATGTGACTGACTTTAACACCACAGATGTTGCTGACTTAAACACAATATCTGAAGTCATTACAGATGTTACCATAATAGAGGTTAATAACACTAAAAAGGAGGAGCTGCGTTTTTTCCCTTTGGACCCTGATGAACGTGTCTCCGCTCAAGCTATCGGATGGACCGCTTGGATTATCATATTTTTGCTGCTAGGGGTCATTTTAGTTCTCGATGCCTCAACTTTATATAAACATCTATTGATGCTGAAGAGGAATATATTTGGATCTTAATGTGATTAGAAAGAAAATAGTGTAAAATGTTGAAATTTTTTTTTAAATCATACCGGTGTTTTTCTTGCAAACCTAATTTCTTTTTTAAGAATTGAGATACACGATGTAACATAGAATTTATTTAAAATCTAAGAGATAGAAATATACAAATATTAATTCATTATAATTGAAAAAAGTGCGTACTCTATTGTCTTGGGTTTCTATGAATATAAACATGGAAATGAATGATAGTAGAGAAATAGACTGCAAAAGTGTGACATTTTTTCGAAAGTCACTCTTCCGGGGTCACTCTGCACTCGCCGTTATCCCTTCGCGTCTCATTAACGGAATAAATTGAGGCGTCTTCCCGGGGGCGTCTTAAGCCACCAGAACAGTGCAAAGCAGCAATTAATCGTCAACCATGATTTACTAATTCGGGGGCAAATGTTAGAATGAAACATCATTTTTAGAAGAATAGCCGTGGGAGTCTTTATGAGAAATCTCAGCGTTTGTTTAATACTTGGGTCTTAGTATTTACAATCCAATGAGAGTGGTTATCATCGATTGTTTTAAAGGTGTTATTTTACACCGACTGTGCATAGATTTTTTGTAGTTTATGAATCTGAAACAGATTGCATGAGTTGACGCTAAAGAGTTAGAATGGTAGATGGTGTCAACAACTCTTATTTTAAATAGTGTATCATTAATATACCCAGATTTGGGTGACGAAGTAAAATTTAATTACATGGTAACGAATATTTTTTTTATCTTATTCAGTTATCATATGTGTTTAATGTCATTTGCATTGGTTATTGAAAGTTTTTAATAAATTTTCTTCTGATGAGTACTGTAGTGTTTATTCATTATATTATCATTATATACTGTATATTCAGGGTTATGTAATGGTAGTCACATCCATGAGTAAATAAAAATCATATCACTCTGGTGCTTGTTAGTGGTATTTTCGGCAAACTATGATCGGCCATTCTTACTGTAAGCGTCGTTATAATCAAGTAATCAAAATCCGTAAACCATCAAATACGGCGCCGTATATCATGGTTAGTGCAAAATTGTCAAAAAAGTATTTTTCCACTGGCTACAAAAATATTGTTTTATTTGAAAAGACTTCATTGAATATCAAAGTGACCATGGAATAAAAGTTATCTGTATCGTTTATCTCCCTGAAACATTACTATGTTATCGATTATCCCGGAGAAAATTTGATATTGTCTGGCGATTTCAAAATTCCATCAAAGAAAGGAAGTTCCGACTATCGTATTTGAAAATTCACGCTTAAATAGGCGTTAACACGTTATCCAATGGGAAATGGGGGTCGCCATACTTCTGAAGATGGTGAAACTTATTTATAAATAGATGATCTATTTTTATAATCGATGCAGACATCCAAAGAGAGAGAATGCACCAGAATTCATAGATGAACATAATCTCCATGAAATATGAACATCTAGAGATTTTATAGGTTCATCCAGGAATTCTGGGATATTTCCTCTACAGGCATCCCAGATCATCGAACCGGAAACTGCTTTGAATATTGATCATCAAGTTCCGTATGGGAAGTGCACAATTATGTTAGGTATACTGTGTACTTATCGTATAGTTATTTTAAAATGGGCATTTTCTACATTCCATTGTTTGATCTAGCCTGACACCAAGTGGATATGTACATGTATGTGTAGTAGCAAAAAAACTAAAGAAACTGATATGCTATCATCGCATTGTCATCTGCCTATTTACATAAACAATTATAGTTACTGTATAAGTGGTAATTTTGCCCATTATTTAATTTGCCCATTACCTAATTTTTGCCAGGTTCGGAAAATCAAATTTCGGAAATATCATTTTGATCATGTTATCCAATGGGAAGTTTCGTGTCATTACGAAAATTACAAAATTAGGAAAATTAAAATTAGGAAAACGATAAAAGTCTACGATTCGGCAAAACTCCATATTCTAACTGTAACAAAAGGCTATAAAAGCAAAAACTGTGGATTCATTTGGGTTACTCAGAGTTTCGGGTGTTACTAATTTCGACTTGGTCTGTGGTATATTGTTAAAGGGTTCCGATAAGCTTCCCGTATAAAAACAATATGGCGGCTCCTGGATCAGTCCATTTTTAAGAAATAAGGGGAGTTCTGTAAAATCCAGTTTATTGAAATTGTCTTTGAGATAAAGTAATCCGTTTATAATGATTTTGAAAACGTTATCCATAGAGTGATTGCGTTCAAAGAATATGTACAACAGCCAATATAAATCCTTGTATTAGAACTGCTTTGTTTCATTTGTAGGATATTTCATATGCCAAGCTGTGTGCTATTACGTTATGGGGAAATTTAGATGTCAATTTTTCCTTATTATACACAATAGACGATCCTGAAACTTCACCCATAAATGTGGAATTGATTTGTCAAAATAAAAATCACCCTTTTATAAATGTGTGACGATCTATAATATACTTATGCTATATAACAGTAAGAGGTGTTGACACAACGACCTCGAGCCTGTGAACCCTTGAGTATTATTCCGGGATCGGGCCTTTTATACTAAACGGTGAGCAACACCAGAAACGAGCGTTCGATTTGCTAAACGATATGCGTCACCCTTTAACAGATAGTAATATGGTAAGAAAACATTGATTGATTTTTGCCTCTTGGCACACTTTGGACCAAATAGTAACGTTTGGACTTTTCAAACGTCCGAACAGATATAACAGAACGGTATCTGCAATTTTTGTCTCGTCCCTATATACCTATGACACAGGCTGGTATCGAAGAAATGGTACAATTTTTAGTATGATACTCCGGCGCCATTTTCAATAGCTTTTACTCTTAGCGTTGTTGGACAAACAGAAGTTACCGGCAAATGATATACCCATTGCATGGAATAGGTTCTTTGATTTAGCGAAACATATGAGTAAAAAATAAATCGTGTGGATTTCCTAGTGTTTCAATGCAAAATATCACGCTCCGTCACAGCGGACAGATTTTTCGATACCAGCCTGTGTATGAGTACTCAATAATGTATAATTGAAAGATTTGCCTAAAATAAGGAAACATAAAGTTGCAGCACAAATGTACTATTAAAGTGAATGTGAACATTGCAACAGATAACGGACACACAATCACTTATAGCGAATCAGCAGCTGGTATTTTACCAAAGTGCGATGTTATATATTTCAGTATTTACTTTGTGAGATATCAAATCCTACAAATTCAGTCCTTTTATAACATAAAGTACACTTGAACATGACCTTGTTTGACAGCCAATATGTTGACATTCATTTGCATTCAACGGAGTTCATTTTATAGGTCTAGCTAGAATAGAAAATTGTTTTCACGAACAAGTTTTTTATATAGAAGAATACGCTGATTTGTGTACATGTACATACGTAAATCATTGCTTGTGAGTTTTATATTATCAAATTAAACTGGTAAAACTTGGACAGATAAAATAAGGTCACTTTAAGTGACCAGGTGACGGACCAAAGTCCTCGATTCTGTCATACGTTGAGGATGCCTGGATGTCTAATTTTGTTTTGCTCACATGACACGGATCTTTAAAAGAAAAGGACAATGGCTAAATGAGGACAAATCTCAAATAAAACCTACAGCCTATTGTTACGCACAATCTTGCAATGTTGGACATGGAAATACCTGCGATGAACATTAAGTTAATACGGTTAAATCGTGTTTAGATTTATGCTGAACATCGCTCAATACACAGGTAAGCAAGTTGGAATTAATAATGAACAGGGTATGACTTGCAATATTCAATAACATATGCACTGAATGTTATCCTACATGCTACGTGCTTATGAACAAAGGGCAGCATTGAAAAATTAAGAAATATAGACCTCAGGTGTTATATCGACGAATAAAAACCGCAGCCCTAAAGTATGTATTCATCGATATAACACATGCTCTGATGTCTATATTACGGTTCGAACATGAAAACTAACCAAAGTTTTTTCGAATATTTCTGATTGCCCGCCATTACTAAGACCCTCCGTTATGACGTCACACATTATTCATATTACCAGGAGCTATGTCGACGAATATATACCGGGTGAAATATTGACTTTGTTCACAGTTTATAAAAGGCGTGAATACAGTCATGTTCGAATACTAGATCAAGATCTACGCTAAATTGCAGATCAAAGCCTCAAGATAAAGGATATTTTATGACTCTTCATATATGCACTACTACCTATCAGCTTATTCTTCGTTTTTGTCTACAGGTCCTTTCTTCCATTAACAGTTGGGATCAACTTTAAATCGACAATGATGCCGCTGTTCAATTGACATTGAAGAATGAGTTCTGAATACTGTGTGATAGCAAACAGAGTAAGATAAACCAACCAACACCTTTTAATTTTTGTCACACTTTCGGAAATATTTCGGAAAACTGAGTTTTCTCGCATTCGTAGTGTGTCATTGAAATATTTAAAGTGTGTGCTCAATAAATAAAAGGAATGGCGCTTGATGAAGAAAAGAAACGTCTGTTGGAGGAGGACGATGACCCGACACAAACGGAGAGTGACAGTCACATCAAGATTCCAAAGCGGACCATCATTATTGAACCGGTCCTCATCCTCTTTGCACTGTCCATGCCTACATCAATAATAAACAAACAGTTTATGTACTCCAAGATCGGAGCAGGGTATAATTATACATATCTAGGAAATGGATCCGCCTGTGATAGTGTAAATCAAACTGGTCCGGGATACTTGATGGAGCAGAAGGTCCAGGCAGAAACGTCCCAATGGGAAATGTACATATCGCTTGCATATACAATCCCGGCGCTTCTGTCCAGTTTGTTCATTGGAGCGTTGAGTGACAAAGTTGGCCGAAAACCTACGCTCCTATTAGCCATTTTCGGAGGGCTTTTCAATCACATCAACTATACCATTGTTATTTATTTCAATTTGGATATACCCTGGTTGTTCGTGGGTAGCTTTGTTAATGGGTTGTCTGGCGGATTTATACTCATCATCGCCAATACTTTTTCTTATATCAGTGATGTAATCGAAAAGAAGAACCGCTCATTTAGAATCACGGCGCTCGCAAGTTGTATGGGAATTGCTGCGGCTGCCTCAACTACGGCGTCTGGATATATGATAGACGCCCTCGGATTCACGTGGCCCTACGTCATTGTTTTGTGCATTGATGTCGTCAACTTACTGTACATCCACTTCGGAGTACCTGAGACAGTCATTAAGAAAAAAGGTGTAAAAATCATATCATGTGACCATATAAAAAATACATTAGCTCCGTATTTGGTCAAAACCAAAGATGGCCGCCAATGGAAATTATTCCTTCTTCTAGGTGTATTAATCCTTCATGTTTTTTCATACACCGACAGTGACGTATTTACACTAAAAATCATGAAGTCGCCCATCTGTTTCGATCCGGTGATCCTTGGCTACTTTTTCAGCATTGATATACTCGCTGGGGAGATCTTTAACGTTATCGTTGTCAAACTCTTCCAAAACAGGGTCCCCGATAGTGTCCTGGCGTTGGTCGGCTGTATCTCCTGCTTAGCTAAGTTCATCTACATTCCCTTCACTGACAATGAACTGATGGTTTTTTTTCGGTGAGTATATCAGTAATACACTCCCCTCCAAAGTTTTGGTAACTAGATATCTTATTTTAGATAACGCGTTATCCACGTGTTTGACAATATTAACAAATTTTCAGCAAACTAAGATTTAATTTACATAAACGTAATGAACAGACTGTTTTAATATGCCGTGAGAAAAATTCTTCCAACGAATCTTCATCTCTTCGGTATGATCAGAGACATATAAAACATGCCTCTGGTATGGTCTTCATCTTGATAACCGAAAAGATTTTCTCGTACAGCACGTTATAAACTATCGCTGAGAAAAATAGGTTAATTTCAGAACAATTTGTTTATTCTATTTGTGTTTATCTTTGTTCTTTACAGTGCCATTAATAAGTATTGGAAGTGGACTAGTGATCCTGATGTGCAGATCTAACATGTCTAAGATCATACATCCAAACGAAATGGGTAAGCCTCACGAATACACCCCCCTCCCACCTCTAAAAAGTTGGTTACACTATTGGACGATGTACCTGTTTGTGCTTGGCGATTTATAAATCATGCACTGGCGGATCTAGAAGCTAACAAGGTGGGGGGCAAATTTTGAGTCAGTAAAAAATGTGAGCCCCTAAAACCAAAAATTGGGCACATATTTTGATAATTTAAGCCCGGGGGTGTACTCTTAATAATTTGGGTAGGTATGTGCAGCACGGGAAATTTTGGCTTAGGGCATAAACCATGGAACCTGGCCAATCTCAGGGGAAAAAAACATGGAAAATTTGTCGAAGAGAGAGCCTTTTTAAGTCAAAAATCAGTTTTCCTTCAAAATTTCAATATAATAATAATAATTTCAATAAATTGGTGAAATAAGTTGGCGAAGTCAGGGACAAATCATCTAAAACGTGGATTTTGGAGTTAATATACCTATGTTTCAGGAAATTTACTCCCTTTTATAAGTGTGAGAGGAAATATACATGGAAACTTTCAATCTTGAGAGGAAATTGACATGGAAAAATGCTCAAAAATGGGGTCTTTGGCGCGGCACATAGGTATTAAGAGGTATATTGGAGTGAACCCCCGGGAATTTAAGAGCCATTTTTGGCTTTTAGGGGCCCAAAAAGGCTCAAAATCCGCCAGTGATATAGTATGCTTTCCCGTCACTTTCCTGATGACTACGGGTAAAAGATATCACCTGCAGTTAGTTAGTTGCTTATGAAACAATAACAAAAACTTCAAAAAAATAATACATTTTCATTCTCTTTTTATTCAACATAACTGCTTATTCTCATCATATTTTAGGTGGTAAAATTCAAAATTATTTTTCCCAAAGACATTCAAATCCCGTGATTATCATTTCCTGAGACTAGCATAAAATATATATGTTAGTCTCAGTCATTTCCAAACTTTAATTTGAAAAACAGTGGGAATATTTTAATTTCCTGCACATCATGTCTGACTGGTTCGGAAAGATAGGGTTCGACGATTGAAAATGATCGATTCCTGTATTGCACTTTATCAACTGGCATGGTTTACTGAGATCGTTTCGTATTATCGGTTAAACCTAGTTCTTCATCCTAGGTTAACTGTGGATCGTATAAAACCCTGGTGAAATAATGATATATCAATGAAATATGTATGTATAATGAGCACAATTTTCTAGGGGCTGTATTCGCTGGGATTGCGTGTGCTGAGAACCTGGCTGAAGTAGTGGGCAGTTCTTCCTTCAACGCCATCTATTCGGCCACACTACAGATATTTGACGGAATCGTCTTCATCGTAATGGCTGTCATCAGTCTTTTCGCACTCATCCTAAATGTGTAAGTTTGAACTGGGATTAGTTATAAGATGCTCGTTTTACGTGTTTGAATTTTTATTAAATGTAAAATCTGGGTAAGTCACAAGGGACTAGGTCGACAGTTAGATGGTTGTAGAAGTCTGCAAAAACATTGGAAATCACTGCTCTACAGGCCAAGAATAATTTCTGCAATTAAACGGCTCTATTGGGTTTGCATCGAATAGTTTATTGATAGTCGTGATGGAATATGATTTTTTTCGAAAAAATATGATATTGGCCACGGAAAATATCATATTGACTGAGAGCAACAGCCCGAGTGTAAATACCATATTTTCCCTCGGAATAAAGTTCATATTCCATCCCTCCCATTACATAACCTCTATATACACACTAACATATTATATTTGCTTTTTGTTAGGGTTTATATTGTTGCACTGAGACTGCAAACGAGGCGGACGCAAATGGGACATGCATCTATCAATTAGGGTTATATGCAACTGAACCCGGAGCTGAACTATGTTTCGTTGATACCCGGGGATTGTGTACTAAACGAAACACTGGCATCCTAATACCCGAGGGTGCACTAGACGAAATGCTTTGAAAGAAATAGGAGTACCGGGAGACACAGTTGGACCTTTACATGTATATATAGAGCTGTGATCATGAACCATACACAGTGCCAAAAAAAATCATGATCAAGCGAGTATCAATTATAAACTTAAATGCCATCCATCTCCTGATTAAGGATCCAAGTTTGCTCAATTTTAACCAAGGAGAGTAACCCCCCCTAACATTCTCTATATTAGGCTACAGAATATAAGAGGGGGGTGACTTACTCCCCATGATTTTAACCAACCTAGTCACAAGCAGTAGAGGTGGATGCTGTCTGTGTCATGTTGTTACCTTTGAATTGAACCAATTCGACTAGTAGGGGTGTTTGACTTACAGGACTGATTGTCTTACAGAGGTGCTTGACTAAACATAGGTGTTTGACTTACATGTAGAGAAATGCTTGACTGGCTGAATTGTTTGACTTGCTTGAGTATCTAAAAAGATATTTCATTTACAATCCATCCTCATTGTACATAAATAAAAATAACATGAAAGCAGTGTTTAGTTTTCCAACCACATTGTGTAGTATTTGTTGTATTATTTAGTGTTTACCACATGCACTATGAAATGTATCCCTGTAGAATTGCCAACACTCCTGGCTCTTCATAATGTCACAAGAAAAATAATTGATTTACATAATGGTAAAATAATAACTTAACCTTCTTTCACATTCTTTTATGTGCCATAATTAATTCTGGGTAATTTTTGCTGTAGCTCTGCCATTATGACCCAGTTACAGAATTGACTCGTTATTGTACTTCACTGAAAAATTGAATGATTTCATGATAGCAAAATGACAGGACTTCACGATAACACAAAATCATGACTCCGTGAAAATTTGATGACATTACTTCATGATAACATGACCTTATTATTACATGATTGGTTAAAATGTACTTAAATTGGCAATCAGTGTTGGTGGCAAATATAATATGGTATGGGACATGCCAGATTAAATGAAATATTTTTTGGGGTTTAAAAATAAAATATATGCCACTCCTTTTATGCTGACATTTTGCCAAATGGATGTACCACACTTACTAAAATCCCAGTTCTCCCCATAATTGTGTAATATACACGTGTATATTCTTAATTATATGTATTTACAGCATATTTATATTATACAATATACATACATGTACAAAATGTTTTACTGTTTACACCAGCCCCAGTTGCTATGAAACAGTGCAATACAAAGATACACTCCCTCAAAAAGTTCGGAAAACTCATCTCCTTCCATTGGACTACATGTTTAAGGTATCCAATGGGAAGCCTGTGTTTCCAAACTTTTGGAGGGGAGTGTAAGACCACATGCAGTTTTAATATCTTCCAGATTGAAATCTAAGTGAAGTTAATACTTTTTATAATTTAGCAAAGGTCAGTAAAAGTCTAAAAACATGAATATTCAAGCATATTTTTGCAATATTGGAAACAAAATTTAAGAAAACATGAATATGCTTTTCATTTTACAACACCTCCAGTAAAACGTAATAATGCTGAAATTCTGTTGCAGTAGAGGTGCACAATTTATCCAGTCCACCTTCGGAAAGGTCAACAGTCGGATACTATACAACTAACAAGATGAGAAATTGTGGCAAATATTAGTAAAATTATAAAATACACTGTAGAAAAATGGAAATACATTTTTTTTTATTCCTTTTTTTATCAAAACATACAACATCAATCGCTGTTTTTGGTTTGTTTTTTAAAGAGAAAAATCAGCTTTATACATGATCAGGGTGATTTAAGGGCGTTGTCAAGTTGTCAACAATTGTTGGAGAATGAAGTTAATATTGAAATGAGGAGAGGGTAGATGATTGTTGCGTTAGCGAAAAAATTTGGCTTTCAAATGGAATCCAAGTGGTTTTCAAATCAACATTTTAAAATTTCATTACCTGATTATTATTCAATAGCTATTGGGCAATAACTTTAAGCCATCTTTTACAGAAAACTAATTTTCACCAAATATTGTATTTTTTATCCCAGACAGATACATTGTTTTCAATGCAATTCATGATTAAAAGCACCTTTAGAAAATTTTGTGTAGATGTAGTGTACAGTAGTAATGTAGTTACTAAAATGTGTACACTTATTATAAAATATTGCGTTGTACTTTTCAGTTATAGTACATCGAGCCATCAGAACTGCACAATCGCAGAATTGATACAAAATCTTTTTCTTCCAAAGTCTTATATTATACCCCCACACATAATAGCAAATGTTCAGCTGATCTGCCTAATTCCAAAAATCTATGGTGATCTAGGGATCTATACCATATACTTCTTGGTGCAAAAGAGTCACTAAAACTTACATTTTTCATATACATACTCATATTTCATATGCATACTCAAATCTTATATGATGCATACTCAAATTTCAAATGCATACTCAAATTTACATGCTCTAAACTAAATTAGAGAATTCACAGTCAACACTTATGTCCTGGTTTTAATACATACAGCCATACAACTAAATAACTTGACTTAAATAACAAGTATTTACATGATGTGTGTCCTATTTGGTTTGTTATTCAAATAGGCTAAGGCAAATAAATAAAATTTTATTATATGACATTATTATATGACAAGCTATACATGATCCTAGCAGATTTCATCTATTTTAAGAGGAATATGTGTTTTATTATTCATAGGCCATTAAAAGTTAATCATTTGTTTAACATCCTGTTGAGGGTCAGAAGTTAGACCATATATTGAACTTGATGTCCTCAATTGCCAAACGAGATTATAATGAAAAGAAAAAATGTTATTCTCTAATCTTTTTAAAAAACAAAATACTGGTAAACAAAGAATTTAATTACTCCAGCTTTACCCTATTGGAATCACATTTAATATTTGGCGACAAAATATCAAGTTTTCTTTATAACAGAACTATGGCACTGAGCAGACCCGCGACAACAGATACAACCGGAATGCAGATTAAGGTAGCGAGATTTGAAGAAAGTAGTATGGTATATGCTTGAGCCTTTTTACGTGCCACCGCGTCATTTGGGTTACTCCCGTTATAGTCTTTTGGGTCAAACCAGAGTTTGAAACAATTATCGTCACCATCTGGTACAACTTTGTACGAGAAGTCCCACACTTGTTCACAAAATCTCCGATGATCTTTAAACATGTCCTTAAAAGGTTGACATTTCATGTCATCTGGGCAAGTATTTGTACCTGGAAGTGTAAACAAATAATAAGTTTCTATGGCAACCTTAAATGATTGCTTCTATGGCAACTATAAAAGGTTGACACTTCATGTCATCTGGGCAAGTATTTGTACCTGGAAGTGTAAACAAATAATAAGTTTCTATGGTAACCTTAAATGATTATTTCAATAACAACTTGATACCAAAAAATTTGATATAAATGATTGACACTTTTTGTTTACTCGAGTCTCTAGCTTACAGATAGATGTGACTTACTGTTCTCCTTTCATCAAGTTGTCAAAGCTGATCAATTCTTCCTTACAATTTTTTCCAGTAATTTTCCTTACAATTTTTCCCATTAACTTTCCTTACAATTTTTCCAGTAATTTTCCTTACAATTTTTTCTAGTAATTTTCCTTACAATTTTTCCCATTGATTTTCTTAACATTTTTTTCCAGTGATTTTCCTTTCAATCTTTCCAGTAATTTTCTCCCCGAGTTTATCGTATAATGAATTCATAAAGAGTTCAAAGGAATAAAAGGGTGTGCACCTGTTGTCCAATCAAATTTAAAGGAGAGTACCTGTTGTCCAATTAAATTTAAGGGTGTGTGTCTGTTATCCAATTAAATTTAAGGGCATGTACCTGTTGTCCAATTAAATCCTCTCATCCAGTTATCAAGGCAGGTCATCTCTTCTTTGCAATCATCCCACCAAGTTAGGCACTCACTCTCGCAAAGTGGGACTTCAAACATACGCTCCTTCCTCCACTCTCTATCGCTGTCCTGAAATAGTATAACATAAGTAGAGGATAGACTTGTGGCATGAAAGTGCATGTAGATACCAAATCCATAAATTGTATTCATTAATTTAAAAAAAATCAATATTTACCATTAACATTATTTTCTGTAAATATTACAGTTAGAAAAAATATCACTCACATTGTGAGTTATTGCCTTTTAAAAATGTTAAGGGTTGAGTGTACAACTTAGAATTGGAACTCTACTTGCCTCTTACTAGACAAGCCATCTTTCCTAGCTTTTTTATAGAAAAGAAGATTTGTATCAATCTCAACTGACAGTGCAAAGTGCATGCTGTAGCGATTTTTGTGAGGTATTTTAGTATGAGAGTTAGGGACTAATGCCTCAGTCACATTTGATCTACAGCAAACATACATCAACGGTAGCTTCCCAAAATCAAGAGAAATATGCAGCATAAAATATAGGAAAATATAGGAATATGCGGCACAATGTATATTTTCTCTAGAGCAAATGTGACAGAAACTTAAGGCATCTTGGTCTCTATGGTCTCAAATCGTGTCTCATTTTGCGATATGTCACTACATATACTCATATCACTCACCTTAACTAACCATGGACCAACATTTGGTGAGCACTCATAGAAACATAAATCTTGTATAAAATGTTTTCTGCATTTCTCCGTCATACCACCACAGTGATTCCATTCAAAGCCAAGCCATTTAGTGACACCTGGTGACTGAAACTCAGCAGTGACATCTTTTGAGCAACAAGCTCGATCTTTCCAGGGGAAACACTGAAATAAATAGAGAAAGAGTCAGTCGAAAAATTGTTTGAGATTACAAAAACCGATGAAACACTTATTGACATAATACAGGTGTTTGACAGATATTGTTTTGTTGCGTTGTCTTGTGGATAGAGAGGTTTGATAGGTACAGCCATGTACCAATTTTGAAAAATAAAAATAACAAATCATATGAAAAAATCAGTTATATTTCCCTTCAAAATTGTCAAAGAATATGATACTCAATTAGTCAGTGTTCTCTCAAGTAGGTGCAAAATTCTCATTCCGACTAAAATTGCTATTGTCACGCGGTACTAACTTCAACGGTTAATTTGAATTTTTGACCTACCAGATGTTTGAAAATCAAGGATTGCGAGTCTCATACTGCACCGTTTTTCTTCAAACTTGATCTTTCAAAGCAAAACAAAATTGCCTTTCTGTTGGTACATTGCTTTATTGTAAAGAGTCCCTCGTTTTAGCAGCGTTTTGGTCTCCAGCTGTGAGAAGCCCTTCTCACAGCTGGGGACCCAAATGCTGCTGAAAGTAGGGACTCTGTATAGCAGAATAATGTACCAACAGAAAGGCATTTTTGTTTTGCTTTGAATGGAACAAGTTTGAAGAAAAACGGTGCAGTATGAGACTCGCAATCCTTGATTTTTCAGTGTTCTCTCAAGTAGGTGCAAAATTCTCATTCCGACTAAAATTGCTATTGTCACGCGGTACTAACTTCAATGGTTAATTTGAATTTTTGACCTACCAGATGTTTGAAAATCAAGGATTGCGAGTCTCATACTGCACCGTTTTTCTTCAAACTTGATCTTTCAAAGGAAAACAAAATTGCCTTTCTGTTGGTACATTGCTTTATTGTAAAGAGTCCCTCGTTTTAGCAGCGTTTTGGTCTCCAGCTGTGAGAAGCCCTTCTCACAGCTGGGGACCCAAATGCTGCTGAAAGTAGGGACTCTGTATAGCAGAATAATGTACCAACAGAAAGGCATTTTTGTTTTGCTTTGAATGGAACAAGTTTGAAGAAAAACGGTGCAGTATGAGACTCGCAATCCTTGATTTTTCAGTGTTCTCTCAAGTAGGTGCAAAATTCTCATTCCGACTAAAATTGCTATTGTCACGTGGTACTAACTTCAATGGTTAATTTGAATTTTTGACCTACCAGATGTTTGAAAATCAAGGATTGCGAGTCTCATACTGCACCGTTTTTCTTCAAACTTGATCTTTCAAAGCAAAACAAAATTGCCTTTCTGTTGGTACATTGCTTTATTGTAAAGAGTCCCTCGTTTTAGCAGCGTTTTGGTCTCCAGCTGTGAGAAGCCCTTCTCACAGCTGGGGACCCAAATGCTGCTGAAAGTAGGGACTCTGAATAGCAGAATAATGTACCAACAGAAAGGCATTTTTGTTTTGCTTTGAATGGAACAAGTTTGAAGAAAAACGGTGCAGTATGAGACTCGCAATCCTTGATTTTCAAACATCTGGTAGGTCAAAAATTCAAATTAACGGTCGAAGTTAGTACCACGTGATTGTGCCTATTTTTATCATTCATCTCATTTTCAAGCAGCTGCAAATGGAAATCATGAGGATGTTTTAGAATACTGAACTCAACTATTAGACTTAAATCAACGTTTAGTACTGTGAAATACTTGAGATACTGCAAGATTGACAACATGATAAAAGTTTTTATAACATGGGAAACAGTGTAAAGAAATATAAATTCTGAACAAATAAAATATTTATCACTAGAAAAATAAAATTGAAAATTTTTTTAGTGACAGTTCAGGTAAAATCAAAAGTAATTGAATCTCTCGATACTTAGATATATCACTGAAATAAATGCCTTGGGTAAAACATGCCAGGCTTTTTTCAAGGGGGTTCACTTTTCAAAAAATTCCATAAGGGATTTACATGAGGCAATTCTTGCCCAAAATCACTTCAAAAGTGTTCAAAATTATGAAAAACTGCAGGATTTTGGGCAAGGAAGGGGGGGGCAGGATGCACCTGCGTGCCTTCAGTCACTTACTGTTTGAAACTGCAGTTCCTCTGGCCCTGGCTGAAGCTTGTGATTTTGCCCATCCATGCATGTATTCATGAAGTCATCTACATTCTTTAGAAGGCTGAGTCTATTGGCAGTGACTGTGGAGAAACAGATCAAAACCAGGGAGGTCCAAACTTCATGTAACTTCATCTTGCATCTGAAATATGTATGTACAATAATACATTAATAATTCTGAATATGGGCTAAGTAAATGAAAAATTGTTGAATTGGCCATTTTGTTTCCAATAGCGATGTCATCAATGAATGTTCTTTGAAAAATAAGTGATGATGAGTGATGCGTGGTCTAGTCTATATCCCATAGACTGAATTTCCTGAGAATTCAGTCTATTGATCATTATGTCCCTCCTGTGGGAAAAAAAACAGGAAAGGAGTGGTATCGATATGGTGAACTTTTTGAACACATGTTTCTCTTAAACCAGTCACCAAAACATTCTGAAACTTTTACACATCGTTAATTTAATGGTCATCTTTTGGATGGTAACATTATATATCCTTTTCTCTATTTTGTTTTAAAAAACACATCAGACACTTCTTTTGTTCTTGGTATCATATGTTCGGAATGAAATGAAACATCTATCCGAACCTCATTGGAACAAAATGACATAAACAAAATGTGTTTAGGTCTCTCAATATTGTAATTATACAAAGGAAAGTTTGGTTGATTTTAAAAAAGTATCTTGTTAATGAAATAAAATGTTTGTCTTAATTTTTATATATTTTGGGGGGTTTTGTTTTAAGTTTTTGCAAACTTTTTGTAAAATCAACCAAAATTTCCTTTGTATAACTGTAATAATGAGAGGTCTAAGAAAATGTTGTATATGCTATTTTATTCCAACAAGGTTCAGAAAGACATTTTATTTCATTCTCAAGAATTGGTAGAAAGGAACAAAAAACAATTGCACTATAACGCAAAAAATGTTAACAAAAACAGTTATGTAAAATATATATAACGAATTTTTGCATTAAATTGTTGCCAATCAGTCAACATTACATAAAGGACGTGTTTTTTTACAGAATGTTTTCAATAATTAGTTTCAGAGAAAAACATTGTTGAATTCAGTTCACCCTATCGATACCTATCCTTTCCTGCACACAATTACTGGACTTTCAATAGCAGGGGGCGAGTGTCCTAAATCGCCGTTTGTTTTCGATAATTCGCTGTTTGTTAGAAGTCAAATATTTTGGGGGAAAATTAAAAGTCTTCTATCTGTCTGTAGACTATCCTTTATTTTATTCAGCGATCTTGATTTGCACTTCCTTGTCTAAGATTTGTACCTCAGTTTCGAACTGCAATGTAACTCTAAACAGTGGGTGTGTTTTATTTTTCTAGAATTTTTCGTATATCTATATGTAACATTGTAATTGAAAGCGGACATAAAATGCCAGAAGGCGATTTGCCGCATGATTGTGTATTATGCTATGAAAAATAAATCAATGAAATAAACCTACTATTGTTTTAAAAAAAAAACTTTGGCTTATATTGTTGTCTTATCCAATGTTATCAAAGTGTGAAATGTGAAACTTTTTATTAATTTCAAAAATGTTTTTGAAGGACTTTTGTTCAAAATATTGTGAATTTATTTAAAACTAACTTTAAAAGGTCACACTTATCCTTTAAAGCAATAATTCACACTGATGGATAGCAATCATCCTCACTTGGGTTTTTTTGCCGACAAAATCAAGAAAATTGATAGATAAGCAAACCAAACAAGCGCGGAAATATATTGTACCCCTACCTTATCATCCTTGTGTCTCGTTTATAACACCCTTGTCATTACAATGCAAAGTTACTTAAGCATGATAAAAAGTGTATGTGTGGAGAGGGGGGAGGTTTGACCCCCCACTTACCAAAACCTGGGACATGTATACCTTTAAATACTCAACCGGCCAAGTATTAACAGTAACAAAATGAAGAAACAAGGCACAGACATGAACAATATCGTACCTAAAACACAGCATTGTGGTCTTGTTGACCAAGAAAGCAAGATGGCCGCAGAAAAGTTAATCAGCTCTAGAACTTATCACTGTGTAACATATGTAAAAATTTGAACGGTTTGGCTGGAAACCTGTAGACAAGCCTCGATAGACAAGATTTTAGGACGAAAAACTAAAATGGCAGCCTTAACATTTACCCAGAATGCCCAAAAACTAATCAGTTCTTGACGTTGATATGTAGAAACATCCCTGAAAATTTCAGATGAATCCCTCAAATGGTTTGGCTGGAAACCTGTAGACAAGTCTTGAAAGTCAAGATTTTAGGACGGAAAATCCAAAATGGCCACCTTAAAATTTACCCAGAATGCCCAAAAACCAATCAGTTCTTGACGTTGATATGTAGAAACATCCCTGAAAATTTAAGATGAATCCCTCAAATGGTTTGGCTGAAAATCTGTAGACAAGTCTTGAAAGTGAAGATTTTAGGACAGAAAATCCAAAATGGCCACCTTAAAATTTAACCAGAATGCCCAAAAACTAATCAGTTCTTGACGTTGATATGTAGAAACATCCCTGAAAATTTCAGATGAATCCCTCTAAAGGTTTGGCTGGAAACCTGTAGACAAGTCTTGAAAGTAAAGATTTTAGGACGGAAAATCCAAAATGGCCACCTTAAAATTTACCAAGAATGCCCAAAAACTAATCAGTTCTTGACGTTGATATGTAGAAACATCCCTGAAAATTTCAGATGAATCCCTCAAACGGTTTGGCTGAAAACCTGTAGACAAGTCTTGAAAGTGAAGATTTTAGGACGGAAAATCCAAAATGGCCACCTTAAAATTTACCCAGAATGCCCAAAAACTAATCAGTTCTTGAGTTTGATATGTAGAAACATCCCTGAAAATTTCAGATGAATCCCTCAAATGGTTTGGCTGGAAACCTGTAGACAAGCTGAAAAGTGAGACGCCGCCCGCCGCCCGTCAAGCTGACTACAATATCATACCTCTTGTTAGGTACGATAAAAATCCATCAGGTCCATAATTCTACACGTTCACGTACAAGTTTAAAAAATGTGTATCTTAAATTGATTTACAACTACTCCTTTGTACCAGCGACACACTTTCACAGGTGCGTCTTTACAATGAAACAAAATAACGAAAATTGCAACTTTAGCATCTTGAAAAAAGTTGCAATATCCTTCCTTGTTAGAATAGGTTTCCACGTACAACTAAAAACACTATATAAAATAATAACTATCTGTACATCATCAATGCAAATATATGCTTTCTTCCATTCTGATACTCAAAGCATCTTTCTGTTTCACCTGAAACACAGGGCTGATAAGAAATGAGATGTAATGGTTTATCATGATGGCTTTCTTCGAGAATACATAATGCGGGCCTGGGAATGCGGAGTGTCACATTCATTGCAACAATGTCTTATGAGGGTAATTTTTTATATCGAGAAGTTCATCATCTATTGAAATTAAATACTTGTAGCTACAAAAAGCGAATTTGTTTGAGCAGTCCTAGCTCGACATATTATAAAGAAAACAATATTTACAACATGGTATTCTTAGTAGACTGTTCAATTTGGAATTTCTAAGCTTATAGCCAAACATCAGCTTTCTAACAAAAATCATCAAAAAAGGATTTTATCAAAGTCTTCCATGCAAATGAAGGTGCGAATTCACATTAACAAATTAAGATAAGATCCACAATATGTTATCAAATGGTTAAATGCACAAAATGCGTAGATATGTTTTCCTTAATAACGTGTGAGGAGGCCTTTCAGGCAATTTTCGAAAACATAGTGATACGACGTCAGATACTGTACATCATGGCGTAACATTGTAATTGTTCATTTTACCGACGAAAATGCTAAGATTTCCGCGATAAATACGTGCAATGCTCCTCCAAGTTATTGCAAAAGTTTTAATATTCGTGGAATATCTTCTTAAATATTTCAAGTTTTGTTCAGATTAATGTGCGCTTCAATACAATTTTATATTCAAAAAGGTTGTGTCACGATTTACAGATTTAGAATCACCAGAAAGCAGACATTTCAAACACTACCTGTTTTCTTTTTTGTCGCACTTTTCGGCCCTGCACTCTCGTTGTCGCACCATCATTCTAGACTCTGTCACAGAGCCCCTTGTCATATTCAACTGATATACACAGACGGGAAAATATTAAGGATTGTTAAATGTATTATTTGTTATTTATTTTAACTCGAATATTTAGTTTTATTTAGTTAAAGCAATGAATAATAAAGGAGAACATATAATACACTAACGGCGTAACGTCTTATTTTGTAAAGGCTTCACCTGGGCTTGCGATAATAAAGTGATGTCTATCTCAATATACAGGGTGGTCCAAAAAAGTGAACCCCTGCAACTGGCCATATTTCCTTTATTACTTGCAGGAATTCTTTTATATTTTCACATGTTGTAGAGGAATGTCTTAAATTTATGTTGGTGCCATACATTTTTCTTAGTCTTGAAATTTGCAGAAATTATAAGCCCTAACCAAACATTACTGAAAATGGACAAATTGTGATTTTCAATATCTGCGATTCTTCAACCCTTTAACACCTTTCCCCTGAGAATATTTTAAGCTGCAGTCTTAAAGAACTAATATTTTCTGACTTTGTTCAATTTTAAATCCTGCACATTATGGCTTAAAACTAGCATCGTACATTTGTTAGTTGCAAAGTTATTGTGATCCAAAGAGATGTGCTAAGCTTCCACAGACAAAAACATTTTCCAGTGAAATCATGGACATACCCCTATATGATCTTGAAATGTCAATATCTTCATAAATCATGGACCAATTCTAATGATATATGGCTCAAAACATTGAATATTAGATTTTCTTTTGATTTTTTAAAGATATTTGATGAAGGGGTCATCAGATTCCTGGTCACAGGGGGCAACTTTCTTCCATAAGAGGCCCCCCTCTAACTGTTGGTGTAGGTTACATACCCCTGAACTGTTGAACAGTTAAAAATGCTTCAAAATGATCAATGAAAGTGTGAAATGTGTTTTCTGCTTGAATAATGTCCCTTTTGTCATATGGTAGGCTTTCAAACTTGTATCTCTAACTGAAAGCTGTTTAAGATCATCCAATGTGTTTCAACAATTTCCGAGAATCACATTTGTAAAATTTTGTACAATATCTAATTTCCAGGCATGTTTGTTAAATGCTTGTAATTTCTTCAAAATTTAAGACTGAGAATAAATTATGGCATCAACCAAAATTTTAGACCTTTCTCTACAACATGTGATAATATGAGCCAATTCATGCATGTATTAAGAAAAATGTAGCCTGTTGCAGGGGTTCACTTTTTTTGGACCACCCTGTATACTGGTTCAAATTGAATGAAATTAATTGTATATAGTAAGGGGTATAGTTAAAAGAACATGTTGAAACATTGGAATGTTTTGAATGTTTATCACTCAATTAGAGATATTTAAACATAAAAAATGAATTTTTCACATGGCTTCACTTCATATTTCTTTCAATTTATACTTCTTACAGATTGAATTTTAATTGAAATGATCACGCCCGGTGATCATACAAAATGGATGGACGGGGATTAGGCGATTTCTGCAAGAAAACTCAACAAATTTGGAAGATTTATTTTTTTAAGAGAAAATTTACAACTGAATTGCCAAATGAATAGGCGCAGTGAATGGCAAAACATGTTAGGTCATCTAGTATTTCTTTTTTGAAGTGATACCCTTCTAAGATATGAGATCTATTAGAAAAGGCGCATCATCACCAACGTGCAAAAGTCAATGTTTTCGCTATAAATCGGGCAACAATGGTCTACACGACCTGTAATAAATAGGTATAAGGGACGTTATTATCACAATACTAATGACATTGCTCACTTTTTAAAATTAGTTTCCATGCGTTATACAAAAATAATCTAAATAAATTAATATTGGATGGAGGGGGGATCGGATGGAGGGGGGATCGGATGGAGGGGGGATCACGTGTATATAAGACATGATAAGACATGCTACTTGAATTTATTCTTATGACTCCAAATTTTCCCATTTTTTATTCTCCAGAGATATAATATCCAGTTTATTACTGGGGTTCTGAGTTTAGTTTTTTCAAGTACACGAGTTATTGTGAATTTGTTCCATCGTAAAGACATATAAATCCCCCCCTCTATCTGATCCCCCAAAGATACTATTGGTGTAAAGTAACATTATGTTGATTAGAGCATTGGTTTAGTTCCTAGAGACTCTTGTAATAAGGTAAAAGAGACACTCAAAGCAAAGTGCGACAGTTTTATAGAGATACTCATATGGCAATTGACACTGTGTTTATTATATTGATATAATTACTAGAAACTATAATTGATAGAGAAACGGAGACAATCGTTAGATTGACAGTATTACATCAGTTGGTTTCAGAGACACTCTTATGAAAGGTATTACACAGTATTATTGGAAGTTGAATGTTCTAAATATTTCATGTCCACATTTTGTTTGCCGGAACTACTTCTAGACTTCCTGATTAATCCTCATGCAAGTTTTGTGACTACACCAAGTGGCATGGATTATCACTTGTATGTTTTATCTATTACAGTGTAATTATCATGATAGATACATGATAGAGGCTTTATGAATGATAAACAATGGAAACATGAATGAAGATAACTCTGGACTAAAAAATAGTTCCAGGAAACAAAATGGTAGACATGAAATATTTAGAATTCACAATGGTTTGAGCTTTATTATACTCTAACAATGCAAGAAGTACACATTTTCGTGCTCCTTCGTTGTTCCTTGGTAAGGTAAGACTATATCTGGAAATTTTGAATTCTTGCAAATGTGTGTCTGTTGCAAGGCTACTCCTTGAAACTTTAAAAAAATAGCCTCACTTCGCACTCTTCATGCTAGCTTTTGGGAGCCGTACACCTCCAATTCATAGTTATGAAAAATGCGTTTAAATGTGAGGTTTTCTTTTATGTGTCTCTTTAGTCAGGATATGCATTCACATACAAGGAAAACAGTATACAAAATCTTCTGACTTTATCAAAAAAATATGGCTCCCATGTTTTTGTACTTTTGATTAACTTAAGGTCAGGGTGCATGATGGGAAATTTTCTGTATTCCTCAATTGAGTCACATGTTATTTTTCAAACAAGAATCACTCCTTCCCCACATTGCCTATATGTTCCAGTTTTGCACAAAGAGTGCACTTATGTGCCTAGAAAAGATTTGTGAGAAGAATGTTTTGATGAAGTGTATAAAAAACAAGAAAATACGGTGAAAAAAATCAGAAAATTTTCAGAAATTTTTTTCACTGAATTTTTTCATTTTTTATACATTTTACAAAACAAACCTTCTCACAAGGCTTTTCTAGGCACATAAGTGCACTCTTTGTGCAAATTTGGAAGATGTAGACAATGTGGGGAAGGAGTTATTCTTGCTTGAAAAATAACATGTGACTCAATTGAGGAATGCAGAAAATTTCCCAACATGCACCCTGTCCTTAAATGTCACCTTAAGGTTCAGCTGGAAAGTAACATTTTGGTAAAAAATTGCTATACCTGCACATGTTATTTTCTGGTACAAGATTAAGTATGAAGGCATGTGTGTATTTCCTTGCTTTTTTCAGGAAAGTATCATTACACTGTCTTCTTTTAGAATATCTAGAAACAGGTCAATGGTAGCTCCTGTGTTGTCTGGAAACTTTGAAAGAAAATTTGGAAAAATAGAAAGTGTGAAATATCAGAATTTCCTGGAGGTCCCATTGAACGCCTACCAGATATTCTAAAGGAAGACAATGTAATGATATTTTCCTGAAAAAAGCAAGGAAATTGACACATGCCTTCATACTTTATTTTGTACCAGAAAATAACATGTGCAGGTATAGCAATTTATTACCAAAATGTTACTTTCCAGCTGAATCAAATAAAAAATAAAAAAATCTACAAGCCAGCATCGAAACAGACAATTTCTATCAATTAATGTTGAGTGTTGTTTATCTAAATAATACTCACTTGTCTTATGCAATGATTTCACCCTTTTAGAGACCTAAATTGCGAAAAAGTGGAAGTTCGGATTTTATTTTTCTCGTGACGGAAGTGGTTTGAAACGCGCCCTCTTGCGACGAAAAAGTCAAGGTCAACGTTTCCAGGTACGCCAAAATTTTACATTATTCTTCTTGCCTGCTTGTTTTATGAATCAATCACAAACAAACAGCCATTTAAACATATTGTTAAATACATCTAAGATGATCTTATTCAATATACCAAACAAAATAATGACAATGCAACGCTATTTTATGTTCACTTTTCATGGTTGAAAAAGAACATTCAAGTTCAACATTTCTCATCTGTCACTCAGGATTTACTGAACACTGCTGGCTCAAAAGCCAGCTGACACACCGTTAGAATATACCGGCTTGTGAAGCGTTTTTCCCCAACTTCCAGCTGGTGCGCTGGCATAAGTAACGGTATTTAGGAAGATGATTAAATATTACTTGCCCTTTTTTTGACGCGTGGTGTCAACAAGTCCTATTTGTTGTGTAATTTGCAGTTAAATTGGAGAAATTTCTGTTCCGGCGCGCACCATCTTTTAATTTGTTGCGCATGCGCTCATAAACTTCTCTTCATTGCAATGCCAACGGAACTTCCCAGAGCTGACTTCTGTCAGCTCGGTAGAGTAAGTCAGGATCGATGAATGGAATGGTCATGTTTTCAATTCAGTCCGAGTCTCTAATTTAGGATTTTAGTTTTGATTTTCATTTCAAGGAGGATTTGCTCCCAGGGTTCCATCTCGATATTTTGCCATATATGGATTCATGTCATGATTACAAAATTCAAAATAAGCAGCGGCCATTTTTTCACTTCAGAGTTTGAATCGCGAGTTTGGTCCTATACGCGACATGTAAATCTATTTCCAAAGACCAAACAAATTTCAAACTCAAATAAAGTGATCAAAATTCAATATTAGATGTCATCGAAGAATTGAATCAGAGCGTTTACAAATGATACCATCGAAATTGGTAATGAATATTGTATTTGATGTGTTTTTAGGTAAAATCTCCGTGGAGTAACAAATTGTAAAATGTCAAGATCGATTATCACTGGGTTCAAGACCGTTCAACATTAATACACATTTTCAATATGGCGGTGTCAAAATTTTCTTAAAACGCTTCAAATCATATCACATTAATCTCTGGCAAGTTAACCAATATCATAACTTGTTATCTAACTACAAGATAAAGAAATTCAATTTTATTGATTAAAACATCACATCTACACATAGATGTTGAAAATTATGAATATGGGGGTGAGGGGGTGACGTCACTTCAAAACGAACTGCATAGAAATGGTGTTAATAAGCAACTTCTGATCGGAAGTTCTTGCAAAATCTTAAGTAATTTCAATTCAGTCCGAGTCTCTAATTTTGGATTTTAGTTTTGATTTTCATTTCAAGGAGGATTGGCTCCCAGGGTTCCATCTCGATATTTTGCCACATATGGATTTATGTCGTGATTACAAAATTCAAAATAAGCAGCCGCCATTTTTTCACTTCAGAGTTTGAATCGCGAGTTTGGTCCTATATGGAGATGTAAATCTATTTCCAAAGACCAAACAAATTTCAAACTCAAATAAAGTGATCAAAATTCAATATTAGATGCCATTGAAGTTGCTCAAGGTCAAGGTCATCGCTTTTGCTAGAATATCCGCCATTCTCTTTGCAGCCATAGAAATGTGCAGGCACGATCAGCACTGAACTCTTGCTTGGAGATTAAAAATATTGAGTTGCAATGCTGTGAGCCAATCCTCATTGTTTTCATTTTGTGGCTTTCAAAAATTAACGGAGGGCCTCTAACTCCTCTATGAAACATTGTCGATTTATCCATCAGATTATGTGGTGCTATAAATTGCTATAAAAATTAAGATTGACACCAATTTCAATTATGTCAGTGGGGTTAAGTTAAACTGTTCAGCTTGCAAGCTAGAAGGGCTGACCCTTCTCCAATGAGTTGGATTATCATATACTGTTAATTAATACAAAAGTGACAATGTAACTCAATAAATCACCAGTTTATAGGCTTGCTTTGCCAATTCCATGAAATATGCAGTGGGACATTTTACACCATAGTTACATAACTTCTTCATCTTTGTGAATTGTGATATACATGTACTTCTTTTTATTCTCTTTTCAGATGGATGTGTTATTATGAAACCATAGACACATCAATAAGAACGGATTATAAAGTCAACTGAATAATTTAGGTAAGATATGAACAATAGAAGTGGATTCTTGGATTCTCTTAGAAAGTGTTCACATTTCAAGCGTTTTTTACATAGGGATTCAATAGGAAGAAAAAATGGGAGGATTGGAAAAAGTTTTCAGATTGGGAGGTGTTCAGATTATCCAGTTGTTTGGATATACAGGTTACATTATATATCTAAATCTCAAAATATCTGAGGGAATTCTTTCCAAATGCTTTCTCGTTGGGAGGTGAGTGATGACAACCCAGATTTCACCATTTGAGGTTAATCTTTTGTTCACTGTTCAATTCTTGAGGTGTTCCACTTATGCAGGTTCAATTAACATTAAGTCAATGGGTTTTAAAAGTGGGACTTTTGCACTTAAGTGATGTTCCACTTATGCAGGTTCAATTAACATTAAGTCAATGGGTTTTAAAAGTGGGACTTTTGCACCTAAGTGATGTTCCACTTATGCAGGTTCAATTAACATTAAGTCAATGGGTTTTAAAAGTGGGACTTTTGCACCTAAGTGATGTTCCACTTATGCAGGTTCAATTAACATTAAGTCAATGGGTTTTAAAAGTGGGACTTTTGCACCTAAGTGATGTTCCACTTATGCAGGTTCAATTAACATTAAGTCAATGGGTTTTAAAAGTGGGACTTTTGCACTTAAGTGATGTTCCACTTATGCAGGTTCAATTAACATTAAGTCAATGGGTTTTAAAAGTGGGACTTTTGCACTTAAGTGATTTTCCACTTATGCAGGTTCAATTAACATTAAGTCCATGAGTTTTAAAAGTGGGACTTTTGCACCTAAGTGATGTTCCACTTATGCAGGTTCAATTAACATTAAGTCAATGGGTTTTAAAAGTGGGGCCTTTGCACTTTAGGGATGTTCTGCTTATGCAGGTTCAATTAACATTAAGTCCATAGGTTTTGAAAGTGAGACTTTTGCACTTTAGAGGTTTTCCATTTCAGATGTGTTCCATTGATTGCTTAAATGATAATTGTATCTCAGGATTACTATGAAATTATATTGCATGAAATTGTCTGCATGATACATTTTGAGGTTATGTGAGATTGTGTGGTGTTTTATGTTTGTTTTATGGATATAAACAGAGCTAATTATTCTCGTAGTAGTAATTTTGGAATATTGTCACATGCCCTCTGGTCTAAAACCAAGGGATATGTGAATACCAATTATTTTAACTGCATTGCATTTCGATTTGTAAAATTCATTACATAATACCGGTATTGTTAGTAAGACACAAGCAAGTTGATTTTACAATCTGCATGGTAAACACAAAAAGATAAACATCAAATTAGAATAAATTATTAATTAAATTATTTAAAATACAAATTACCCCAAATACCAACATATAGTGTATTTGTAAAGTGCTAAAAGCGACAGCAAACTTACAATCAACTTGAATGTTTTCTCCGTGCCTCTTTAATGTTGTATTTTAGACTGTTATTAGACTTTTTAGCAAACTTTGTATTTCTGATTTATCTCTCCATCAGACAGATGGCAAAATACAGATGTTTTTAAGTACTCTTCAACTCTAGTGAAGATACAAGTACATTACAATAACTTGTGATACTTTTATTTCACTTTGATCACATCTCTTCCTGCAAAGGAGGTTTACCTGGCCCAGCATATAATTAGCTCTGTTTTATTTCCAGATGTGCATGAATCCTGGTTAGAGATGTTGTTTACTCTCTCATACACATTCCTGACCTTTTACCTGGAATTCCGGGAGAGGCGCGAGAAAATGAAGTTCCTTCGACTTATACAGCAACATATTGGGGATGCTAGTATCGTGTTTAGAAATCTCCAGAAGATTGTTCCAACTTTGAGTGAATCTGGGCGATTTTCATCATTGTTAGCGTCATGTCCTGATTGGTCAGAGAAAATTTTGCTCACAGATGAGGATAATATGAAGCAAATGGTCAGATTGAGCCGGAAAATGAAAGTCGATCTTAGTACATGGACTTCCTATCTGGACTATGGTAAAATAGGCCCAAATAACAAGACAGGAATACATCAGATCCTCCTGGAGGCATTCCAGCCTGACGACACCCAGGATTTCCTGTTACGATCTTTCTCACTCCCGAGCGGCCGTAGAACAAAGGTTCTTAATCACGCTACACCATTGGCATGGAAACCAGGAATGTCACCATTTGGAATTATCGTTGAATGCGACTCTGAGAATTATGCAATTCTGGGAAATGCATTCCTAGAAGGGAGACTTGTTATGGATGAGATGTTGACGATACAAGAGATGATATCAGTACAGGTGACAGGGACACCTATTGACTTGCTCGAGGCACATAGCATACAAGCCTCTGCCAGTGATGAGAATGACATATATGAGGACAATACTTCTTCTATGAGAAAGGATGATGAATCTATGAGAAAGGATGGTGAATCTATGAGAAAGGATGATGAATCTATGAGAAAGGACGATGAATCTATGAGAAAGGATGAGACATTTACCAAAAAAGATCTCAGCGTTAATGATGAGTTCAATGATGCAATGCTGGATGACCTTAGTGATATCCCAGATTATGACGACGATGACACATCTTCAGAAGATGAGATTGTAGAAACCATTCCCAGTATTGTCCAATCAAAACCTAGAAGGCCGGAAACGGCTTCATATAGGGGCAGACCAAACTCATCTGTACCGGATTCTCCTGTAGCTAAATCAAAACCGAAAGTTACCCCAAGTGGAGGATTTCTCGATACACCAATGAAACCACCGAACATTCTAGTGTATTGCGGCAAAAAAGATTCAGCAAGGAATTACGAAAAGGTGAAAAATTCCTTAGAACAATGTGTCAATAGCGATAGTTACGTCATCTATAATTTAAAACATGACGACGTCATGAAGGTACCTTGGGAAGACAATGCGGCGCTTCTTGTTGTTACATCAGAGCGTCTCTATGACGGGCTCGATAAAGCGTTCATGAAGTTTTACAATAACGGAGGAAAAATAGTCAGCTTTAATTCTAATCTAGATGAACAATTCCTTCCACGTTCACGTTTATCAAGTGCTCTATTTGTATCAGGAATCGCATATAAAAACTGGAACTTAAACTACATATGTGGACCATTTTACTATGATATAGACATCAAGGACTCTAGGTACGTCACATACGCTATAGATATGAAGTCAGAGAAGCCATTGATGGTCCGTGTGGATTCTAAAACAAGCGCAGGAGTGGCTATGTTGTCGCAAATTTGCTTAGATAAAGATCCCTATGACTTGGCTGTATCCGAGGAAACATTCGCTCTACTTCAACAATCTAATGATGAGCGTTTTAACGTCCTTGGGGATATTTTGGAGGATCTGGGGATTGACTGTAGTATGCCTGATATGCCAGCGCTTACTCCTGCTTATCTGTTAAGCGTCTCAGAAGCCCGTGCTATGATGTTCCTCCATGCGTTAACACCGAGATTCAATGATGATGGCATATTGAAATCTACACGTGGCGTGTCACTTCAATTTATCCCCCATGGGGAATACGCACCTGAACCACGAGATGATTTCCTTCCTGTGATAACAGGACGTCCAATTGATTCAACAAGATTTGATTTCGAAACATATGAGAAATATTTGGACGCTGATTCTCTTGGTAAGATCATTCTTTATACGGATGTTATTCCCACGACTATGGATGTATTTGACCCAATGATGTTCTACGTCCCTGAGGAAATCAATGTGGCATGTATCGCAGGGAGGCAGACATCCGGGAAAGGCAGAGGAGGAAACGTATGGTTGAGCCCCGAAGGTTGCGCCATGTTCTCGCTACATATGAATATACCGCTACAAAGTCCACTTGGTCAACGAGTGTCTATGATACAGCATATTGCGGCATTGGCCGTTACGCAAGCCATCTCTGAAGTCCCCGAGTATGCAGCATGTAACATTAAAGTCAAATGGCCAAATGACATTTACTTTGCAGATAAGGTCAAGATAGGTGGCGTTTTTGTCAAATCCACCGTGCTCTCAGATCGATTACATGCTATAATCGGATGTGGTGTAAATGTTGAGAACAGCAAACCAAATTTGTGTCTCAACGACGTTGTCTACCAACAGAATATAAAAACTGGCGCAAATTTAGAAATGTGGACACGGGAGCGTCTAATTGCGAGAACATTCACATGGATGGAACATCTGATCCAAATGATCCAGAACGACCAAATGACGAAATTCCTGGATTTGTACTACGCTGCTTGGTTACATTCTGGTGTTGTTGTCAAGGTCGAGCAGACTGGTCAGGAAGCGACTGTCGTCGGAATTGACGAGCACGGGTACCTCTCTGTGATGCCTCATGGATCGCATAAGTCAGTTAGTCTACAGCCTGATGGCAATAGTTTCGACATAATGAAAAATCTCATCATTTTGAAATAATCTAGTACATGTACAGCAAAACTTGTTCAAAAACTTATGGACATGGGACTGCAAACACTGTTCACCATTACATGGGTACTAACCAGACCACAACATAACATGGACATTTTAGGTTTCATGTTGATCTCATCATACAGCCAACAGGCCCATAGCCAGGATTTGCCAAGGGGGGTTCACTTTTTGAAAAATTCCAGGGGGGTTCACCTGTGACATTTTTGGTCCAAAAATGGCCAAAATCACTTTAAAAAGTGCTCAGAATGGTGAAAAACTGCATGATTTTGAGAGATTTTTTGGCCAGGGGGGATTCGCTCGAACCCATTGAACCCACCTGGCTACGGGCCTGTAAGCGGTGATACCCAAAACATACTCATGGAATCACGAAGTCTGATTATTACCCATGCTTTAATTTGATGTAAAATGAACCTCTGCAAGTGGAACATCTGCCAAGGGAAACACATTCTATTGAAGGTTACAATATTATTGAAGTTAACAATAATTTTGACATTTACAATATGGAATATTTAGGTTTAGCTGTAGTATTGATGTTTGTTAGAGTGAAGTTTACAATACAAATGATGTTTACAATATTGTTGATGTTTACAAATAATTCAAGTGTACAATATTATTTGCTCACGACTTTTGTACTATATTAGCTCATATATGGCGCTACACTTCCCTTCAAAGTTTAGCGACACTGGCCCACTATTTAATAGGCTGTTGAAGTTTATTATGTCACTACTAAAAATAGTGCTATATTGTTAAGTCTCCAATTTTTTATGGATGGCAGTCAATGTTCAGCAGTTGGTGTTCGGCATCTGTAACAATTGGCAGGTGGTGAAATTTTGCATGTTAATGTCTTATTATACTTATTTATATTTGAAATGAAATTATTTTCATTCATAATGATTTGAATTAAATTGGATTTATGAAATATTTCCTGAATTTTGTAAAATTAAAAATGTAAATACTACTAGGCATCACATGTGATCCAGTAGAGTAGTTGGAGTTGCCAGACTTTAGAGGGGAGTGTATTTGTTCCTTATTTTAATCATTCCTTCTCTATATTTGTACATAGAGCATTCTATAGCTAGATTTTTTGTCTATTCATATCTGAAATCAGAACCCTGACTTATATCATTAGTACAGGCTCTATAATGTTAAATTATTGAGAAGTTATATGTAACTTTAATTTAACTCATTCAATGTTGCTAGTTTGTGTAAGAGTATATCTTAAGACTAAGATACAGGCATAACTCTTTGAAGACCTTATTAGGTTTAAGCACTGACATGAGTTTCATGTTCTTCAGAGGGCATTTGTGGTTGCAACCTTAATTTTGGAGGGCTTTTTACTGCAAAAACTGATTTAAAACACAAAAATGTTAACTGTTGTACAGATCTTTAATGCTGTGGAGAATTCAAGAAAACTTTGATTAATGTATGATGATAACGCATCAAATACATATATGATATTTCTAAGATGCACAAAGATGCACAAAGTTGCACAAAGGGACTAGTAGATGAAGCTCTCTTTTAAGAAGTGAAATAAACTATGAAAAGGGGCAAGCATCACAGGCCAGTATGCTACATTAAAGCCACTTGCCTCATTGAGTCCATCTGTGCCCCATTGGACTCGATGGGGCATCACGGGACAAAGTCCCACAATGCCCCATTAGTGTTTGTTGGGCTAATATCTTTAGTAATTATGAATTTTGTGTGTAAAGATTCCAATATAGATGTCACAAGCTAAGATATGTTTCTACTTAAATATGATAGCGTGGATTAAACATCAAAAAATAATTCAATTTGGTGGAGGGTAACTCATTTTCTCGGTTTGGAGAATGAAGTTCATCGGTTTATTATGTAAAATAAAAATGTTGACGTCATTGTTAATGTCGAAGTATGTTCTACGTCGAAATAAGCCGATGAACTTCATTGAACCTCATTCTCCATTCCAAGAATGGTCTTTTTATCTGATGCTTGCTGCCAATGAAACTTTTGTTTTAAAAAAGAGCTATACCAAAGAGTAGGAAAAAAGTTAGGTATAATATCATTCATTAAAGGACTTGTTCCCTTATAGCAATTGTGTTTCTGCATTAATATTAGAAATGTACATAGAAAAATGCCAGTGATACATTGATATTTCAAATTCTAGAATTTATGTGTTTGTGATGAATTGTACAAAATAAAGAATTTTATTGTTGTATTTAAATTATCTCTCTTTGTCAGTTTTCCTAAAAGACTAGATGTGAGTAGAAATAATCCTGATTTACATCATTAAAATAAGTGATGTCATATTGAAATCTATGTAAAAGTACACCTAGAATTGTGGTTTAAAAAATTGTTTATCAACTTTGAAAATTAAATTATCTTTGATAATGTTACTTCTTGGTTGGGGAGATTCCCCTTATAAAATCACAGAAAAGTGAAATATCTTTTCCTTTATTGGACTGATAATATTTTGTTTTCCTGGACATATTTTCATTTGTATCCATCAGATATATCTGAAAGTTTATTCACTAGAACTGATGAATATTTAAGTTTAAGGTAACGTAATAACGTTCTACTATATCTCCCACGTTGTCTGACCTAAACTAGCTACCTGGTGGTGAAACTGGGAACTATCTACATGTACTTTCACCTGGGTTATTGGATTGCCTTTACTGCCTTGAAGTGAAGTAGATGGACAAGAGTAGGGGTGTCCATGAAATTGATGCAAGACTACGTTTGGACTAAAAATGATTCACTATTTTTTGGAAAAACTCTTAACAATAATATTTTAAGTCTGACATTCATGCCCATAGTCAAGGTTCCCCCTGGCCAAAAAAATTTCAAATACATGCAGCTTTTCCCCATTTTGAGAAGTTTTCAAGTAATTTTGGGCCAAAAATACCCCCTCCCTTGAAATATTAAAAAACTAAACCCCCTTGGAAATGGGGGCTACAGGCCTGCCATTGATTCTTGGGACACCTTCACCTAATCACATGTACGTATCATCGGACATATTCAGGGAGTCAAAATGTTACGGATGTTGAAACAGATCTTGAACGCAGCACAAGTGTTTGACTTGATAAATGATGGTCCTAAGGCAGGTTAAGGAAGCATTTTCACAGGGAGATATGCCAAGTACTAAAATAGTACTCATGGCATTTTAACGCTACCTGAGTACTCATTTCAGTAAATATTAGTACTAAATTAGCACTTATGACATGAGCACTGATTTATTGCATGTTTTAGTACTAATTGAGTACTCATATGATGAGTGACAAAATAGCAGTGATGTCATTGATTTTTAGGGTTAAATGAGTACTCTCATATTATGAGTGATAAAATGGTACTAATTAATTTAGTACTAATTTTATACTACTTGAGTAATCAGCATATCTCCCTGTGTATGTTTCTCAAATGTCCTAAATGTAATATGAATATAGGATTTCCTATGTAAGACATTTGACCATAATAGGGTGACAGTAAAAAAGGATGGCAGTGAACTCAACATGAAAATTAACTTCTGAACTGTGGATACCATGCCTTTGAATTCCCTGGAATCAACCAAATTTTTACATCACAATAGACTCAATTCAAAATTCTGGAAGGCACAAAATGCAGTAATGGACATTGCATATTTGAGTATATTGACTGGTGACTTTTTATAACATCAATAGATTGTCAATTAACTTTGGAAACAGGCATGGTACACTCAACAACATTTTGGTAGAACAATTTCAAAATCTACTTTTCAATTATATGACATTTTTGGAAAGTCAATACGCTTTAGTGAATTAACAAATGCTCACTCAAAAAGTGGCAAAAGTGAACTTCAGAACAAATTCCATTACTCCAATACAAAATAACATGCAAAAGGGTCGTTCAAAAAACAGTATGGTTCAGTAGCTCTTTCCATAAAGTTCAAAATATGACAGCACTAAAACTGAAATGAAACCTTTGACTGTTAGACAGATAATTTTCCTTCTAATTTAATATTGAAAATCATCGCTCAAAACATTGTTTTTAAAAATGTTAAAAACTGCATTGATTGATAATGACCATTAATTACCTCATGTGTTTCAGTTTATGGCAAAGGCCTGGAACTGTGTACTACCATATCTGTTCTACCACATCTAAACCAAGGATGGATAGTGAGGTCTCAATTAAAATTGTAGAGGACAACAAAACAGAGGGCTCCATCAACATTCAAGAAGGCCCCACCAACAAACCAAGGGGCTCCAGCAATACAACAAATGACTTCACCAATATAACGCAGAACTCCACCAACAAAACAGAAAGCTCCATCAATACAGCAAATGACTTCACCAATATAACACAGAACTCCATCAACAAAGCAGAGAGCTCCATCAATACAACAAATGACTTCACCAATATAACACAGAACTCCACCAACAAAACAGAAAGCTCCATCAATACAACAAATGACTTCACCAATATAACACAGAACTCCACCAACAAAGCAGTGAGCTCCATCAATACAACAAATGACTTCACCAATATAACACAGAGCATCATTAACATTCCAGAAGGGTCCACCAAAAAAGCAGAGAGCTCCATCAATACAACAAATGTCTTCACCAATATAACAGAGAGCTCCATTCACGAACGAGAGAGCTCCACCAACACAATACATGCCTCTAAAAACATACCAGAGAATTACACTAACATACCAGAGAGCTCCACCAACAAAACAGAGAGCTCCACCGACACATCACATGACTCCACAAACATATCAGAAATCTTGAATGGTAGCTTTGACATGATCAAGGAGCGCATAAGCCACATCGTAGAGGGTAAATGCATCATACCATAATACAGAACAATTGTGAGGTTGGGCACTACCTTATGAAGAAATACTCACATGTGTTTTTCACTCCTATTATACAATACACATGCAATAATTACATCCACCTGGCTTGTAAACTTGGAAACAACAATATATGGCTGATTTTGGAAAAGATCGGACTTAAACACTGCCTTCTTAATAGAAGTACTGTGTGTTATCCAAATCCTTGTAAACACAGAAAATGCTATCTTTATGACGGGACACAAAACCCTGGAGCTCAAAACACTGTAACCAAAGACACTGAGACTCAAGTCATTGGAACCAAGGATACTGAGACTCAAGTCACTGTAACCAAGGATACTGAGACTCAAGTCACTGTAACCAAGGATACTGAGACTGAAGTCACTGGAACCAAGGATACTGAGACTCAAGTCACTGTAACCAAGGACACTGAGACTCAAGTCACTGTAACCAAGGATACTGAGACTCAAGTCACTGTAACCAAGGATACTGAGACTCAAGTCACTGGAACCAAGGATACTGAGACTCAAGTCACTGTAACCAAGGATACTGAAACTCAAGTCACTGTAAGCAAGGATACAGGGACTCAAGTTACTGCAACTCAAAACACTGAAATCAAGGACCCCATTGAAACTCAAGATGAAAGATTGTTGTCTGTAGATTTTGCTGCCTTATTTGGTCATATAAGATTGGTCGAGTTAATCCTAACATTTTATACCCAGCATTCAAGATCCACCCCAAAACAATCTCGTAACATGCTTTTCAGAGCCGTCCATTTTGGCTCATTTGATGCGCTGAAGTTACTCTTAAAGCATAAAACATATACGAATGAGGAAATATCGGACGCATTGTATTTAGCCACTCAGAAACGTGATGCCAAATGCATGGAGGTGTTATTATCATTAAAGGTACCAGTCACACAGATGACGCTCAATATGAATCTCTACCATCTCCTTTGCTTGGTGTCAACACAGCCTGAGATCAACACTGGAATAACAGATCTGATGAATAATCAATCAAGATTGGCTGAATGCTTCAAAGTATTGATTAAGTACAGTCATGACGTCAATAGCCGTGTCCCTGACAGAACATACCCCCTCTATAGTCTCATTTGGGCGATTTTTAGTAAAATATTTAATGAAGACTCTGACAACTCTGAAGATTTGAGAAGTACAGTCGAAGATGGTCTCCAGTGTTTAGAGAATCTGCTGAATGCAGGTGCCGATCCTAACTTTAATGAAACTGCTGCTGCCACCTATAGCAACGAGGAGACACTAATCATCTCCGGGAGATTGGCATTCCCATCTGCCCTGGTGTGTGTTGTGTATAAGATATATGACCAAGTTATCAACAACACAGTGGATAATGCATTGAGGTGCCCAGGGAATGACTCAACTCGAGTCCAAATTGACCAATTTGTCGTGGAAGTTTTCGAGGTTTTGTTACAACATGGAGCTAAGTTACATATCCCTGATCGTGACCCTCATATGGAATCATTAACTGATCCATTGGGATTTATCCTAATGACATTATTGATGTGTGACAAAGCAAATCCTGCAAATGGGTGCTCTATAAATTGCCACTTTATCAAACCCCTAATAGACCTTCTTGAACTTGTCTTAGTGAATGGAGGAAACTTGGAGAAAATGACTAATCCCCAGTGTGCAGCATCCATTGATATCTCTACTCTATCAGTGTCTGTAAGTCACAGTACATGTAAAGGGGATGAATTAAGCACTGGTTGTAATAGAGGAAAACAAGAACACAAATGTGTACAATATGTCCCCACCTATGGGTGATCCTGTCAAATGGTTATCCTAAAAATGAGTAGACAAGACTTTACCAACACAATTTGAGGACGGAGAATCCAAAATGGCCACCTTAAAATTTACCAAGAATGCCCAAAAATTAGTCAGTTCTAGATTTTCATACTAAGAACCACCCCTGAAAATTTGAAATTGATCCGTCACACAGTTAACCAGAAAACATGTAAACAAGACTTTACAGACAAGATTTGAGGACAGAAAATCCAAAATGGCTGCCTTGACATTTATCCAGAATGCCAAAAACTAATCTGTTCTAGATTTTCATACTAAGAATCATCCCTGAAAATTTGAAATTGATCTACCAAACAGTTCACCTGGAAATGTGTAGACAAGACTTTACAGACGAGATTTTAGGACAGAAAATCCAAAATGGCTGCCTTGACATTTACCCAGAATGCCCAAAAACTAATCAGTTCTAGATTTTCATACTAAGAATCATCCCTGAAAATTTGAAATTGATCTACCAAACGGTTCACCTAAAAACGCGTAGACAAGACTTTACGGGCAAGATTTTAAGACGGAAAATCCAAAATGGCTGCCTTGACATTTATCCAGAATGCCGTAAAAATAATCAGATCTAGATTTTCACACTGATAATCATCCCTGAAAATTTCAAATTGATCTACCAAACAGTTCACCTGAAAATGCGTAGACAAGACTTTACAGACAAGATTTTAGGACGGAAAATCCAAAATGGCTGCCTTGACATTTACCCAGAATGCCCAAAAACTAATCAGATCTAGATTCTCATACTAAGAATCATCCCTGAAAATTTGAAATTGATCTACCAAACGGTTCGCCTGAAAATGCGTAGACAAGACTTTACAGACAAGATTTTAAGACGGAAAAATCCAAAATGGCCGACAATAAAAAAGTGATTATGAGTTTTTGCTGAAATCTTTTTACAAAATTATCACATATAACTACTGTTAACAATAACATAAGCTTTTACAACAAAGTACACCTGAAATTATTTATAAAGCTACTAAAAAGTTAAAGTATGAAAACTGAAAAACACCATTCAATATGATACAAAGTATTATCGTGCGCTAACTTTTCTTAAAACATTCAAAATGGCTGACATGACTGAGCTAACAGGTCCAAAACCTAATCAGATCTAGAATGAAGTGAGCTGAACAAGATGTTAAAGTTTTAAAAGCAACTGTGAAGCCATTTTTCTTAAAGTTTGCAGACAAGGATTTTAGCATTTGACTTCAAAATGGCCGACAGGAAGTAGGTATTGAGTTAATTTTTTTTCATCCACATCTGTATGCACTCATAAGTTATCCCTGAAAATTTGAAGGTGATATCTGTAGCGGTTTTGGAGAAAACTGCCGGACGTACGGACGGACAGACAGACGGACAGACAGACGGACGGACGCGCCTAGGCCGACAATATGGCCCCACACTATGTGGTGGGGACATAACAAAATGATCAGTCCCAAGTCCAAAATAAAAAGGATCAATCCCTGGAAGAAAACGCTCTAGACAAAGAAAAAGATGATGAATCCCTTGGGGAAAATGATAAATTACAAAAAGAGAGTGATCAATCCCTCAAGGGAGGTAATGGATGGGCATGGAACAGCAATGGTGCTAAAACCACTCTCAATGAAGATATTATTCACCCAAGTCATGATAAAGCCCCGGAAGATGCACATAACACACAAAACATGCTTGAGTGGGCAGTTTTAAATGTTCAACATACTCAGGTTAATTCATTACTGTTTAGTTCTGAATTTCTCGGCTTTCTCATCTTACTCATTAGCTCAAGACAATACTGTAAAACACTGGAACTCATAAACAATGAATTTGATCTAAAATACCAAGCTAATTCACAATATGACTCCATTGTGGCAATGCTGAATGCGTTACGGCAAACACCAAGAAGCTTACTTCAGATGACAAAATTGAAAGTTTGGGAATGTGTAGGAAGAAACAAACACAATCTAATCAAACTTGAAGAGATTCCAACCAGATTAAAAGAGTCAGTTCTTGCAATGTTTAAATTCAAATATTTAGATGAACTAAGATAAAACCAGATGGTGTATGATTGCTGTAATTGAGTACGAAAATGTTGTAATTTAATACAGAATATTGCAATCCTTAAGTTTTGCTAGACTTCCAAAATATTGCACAATTTGTGATTTCTATTATGAAATCACTATAGTTACGGGACAAACTATTACCAGAAAATTGTATTTTTGTGAACTTCACTGTTATCCCTGAGATTGAAATAAAACTAAAATCTCTATTTTTATACCTATTTTGTTGTCTTAATTGACATATGATCCATTTGTAGTCTACACTATACATGTTGAAATTCTGACTGAAAGATTTCATTCAGAAATAAGAATTTACTTGAGTCAGTATTGAGATATCTTTATGACTATACTTTAGCTTAACATGATCATTTCCAAGAAGCATAAGAAAAGTGCTAAAAAATTTTGATGAATACTGACAGATAATAAAGTTTAAACTAGGCTATAACTGTTCTTTTCAACACTTATTTTCATTAAAAAAACTCCAATTGTTTTTCATTTCCATTAAATTGCATGACCCAAATTCATGAATCTCTATGAAAGCTTCTACCTTAAAAATACCAAGTTCTCTAGCCTGTCATTCAAGATGTCTTCCTCCAAAGCACCCCATAAAGACTGAAAGATACCCCAATACTGACCACTTGTAAATGTATGATACGTTGCAGAACAAGATACTGTAAATTGCTTTAATTTGGCGGATTGGGCTGAATTGGGCAAATTTTGAAATGTAAATGATGGGTTCATACAAAGACCTCAGAACTCGCCACCTAAAATGCTATTTTATCTCAGGAATTAATCAAAAAAATTGGTGGAGACTTAATTTGGGGGTTGCCACCAGTTCGCCAAATCTGCCAAATTAAAATTGCCGCCAAATTTATGCAACTTACAGTACACAATAATTGTGTATTACTCAAAAATGCCCAGTGACTTTATTACACATTTTTCAATTCCAGTACCAGATGAATAAATAAATATTTACAATTTTGATTCTTTTGAGGTGAATATCTGCAAGTGCATCTTTGACAAGTGATATTCCACATTCATGATAACTCGTATGATTTTTATCCACCCATGGATATTGATATCTGCATTCACTATTCTATGTTCACAGTGCAGATATCACATCCATCCATGGATAAAAATAAAACTCACAAATTCCGACAAATACAAGTATTTTTTTTCTTAAATCATATTTTACTCATGTTCACCTAGCATTTTCCCCATTACCTCATATATTTATCTAATATGTTCACTATGTATTTTTACCGTATTCACATATTTTTCGCCCATTCACTAGCAATTTTCACCTGATATTTGCACCATTTCACCTGGCATCTTATTATATATATTAATATTTTCACCATATATTATATTTTACTCTAAAAGCCTGGAACCTCAGCTTCAATGTGGTAAGCAGGAGTGTACAATGAACTCAATATCAACTTGGAGTTCCTCTCGCCTGAATGATAAAATTGTTATAGGCCATTCAAAGATTATTCTATGTTAAAAATCCTTTTTAGGGGCTAAAAAAGATGTGTACCAAACGAGTTGTATGTTTAGTGTTCAACTCAATTTCGACATAGAGTTCTCATCTAATACTATAATGGAATGATCAAAATTGTTAACCTCAGGCCATGGCCATTCAAAGTTAATTCTATGTTTAATGATCAGTTACACCCCCAAAATGCAATCTGATTTTTGACGCCATTTTGGTGCCATATTTCGGTACCATTTCGGCACCAAATTGACTGACTTAGTCCGGTGCCAAATTTTGGTGTCCAAAGGTTTCGGTGCCAGAACAGTGCCGAATTTTTTTGATGCCGACACGGCGCCGAATTATATTGGCTGTGTAAGTGGCTTAATAAAGACAGGTACCAAACATGCCAAGTTGTATTGAGTGTGAAATAAACTCAATTTAAACCCAGAGTTCTCATTCACCTAAGACGATTATGGAATGATCAGAATTGGTTTTAGTTATAAAGCCAGGACAATTATTTCAATACATTAAAAACCAACCAACTTAGTTTTGTTTCAAATGCAACAAGGGAAAAACTGAACAAATGCAGTACTTCATACCCAACCTCACAATGTTGTAATATCACATAAAATAAAGCATGATGTTGTAATACAACATAAACTGTAGTACAATGTTGTAATGAGCTGTCATATCACAAAATGTTGGAATATGGCATCACATTATTGTTTTGTAACACAGTCTTATACCATCACTCACAATTGATACAACTATCAATGAAATGTTTAACTCGCTGACAATACTGTAATATCACTTACAAAGTTATATGACTCATAATCTTGCAAAACACTCACATTAATCACTAACACTGTTGTAATATCACTCAAAAAGTTGTAATATTACTCACATTGTTGTAATATTACTCGCATTGTTGTAATATTACTCATATTGTTGTAATATTACTCACATTGTTGTAATATTACTCATGAAATTGTAATATTACTCACAACAATGAAATATTACTCACATTGTTGTTATAATTGTATTACTCACAAAGTTGTAATATCACTCACATTGTTGTAGTAACTGCTGTAACATTATTGCATGCATAATTGTACTGCTCTTCACAATGTTGCTATATTATAATCACAGAAATGTAAAATAATATCACACACTTTGTTTTGAGTTTGATAGCATCCAATGTCCCCCACAATAACACATCTTGACCCAGCGCTGATCCCACGATTTTGAGGCCATTGATTTGGCATTTCCTTTTAACAATGCCTGACTCCCACAACGTGAGCATTGTTTCACACATTGAGGAGGCCTGACTCCGAGGCTTATTTGGCGTATAATGTCTCGTTTTTGTTTTGTTACACTTCCCCCCTCTATAAGAGAATACCAGGGGGATGTATCAGTTCCTCGAGGGGCATCCCCAAATGAGAAATATTCTGTTTGTTTACATGAGGTAATATTCAAATGATTCTTTGTCGTTGGAAGAACTATATCCACTGGTGGAATAACTGCCTGACTTGGCAGTAAACAACACTCGTCCATGACACTTTCATCCAAATCGAAACTACCGCCATCTTTAATGCTCAGCCAAAGACGGCTCGTTAGGTGAAACAGCCGAGATAAGCAATCGACTTTTGACGATAAAGTGAATTCTGGGAGGCAACTGTGGCAAACTAAACCCCACATTTTGATGAGAATTAACATTTCGCGTATCATCATTAAACAGTTAGCGTCTTGCACAATTGTCGAGCCTGGGTAGAGGGAATAATTCTGATAGAGTGGCACGGATGATAGGAGATACAGCGTGAAATCAGCCACCCATTGTATGAGATGTTGTAATGAGATTAGAGTGCCTGAAAAAACAAGAATATCAAATGTATCTTAGCAATAAAAATATATTACAAATAACTACCTCATAAATGTTATACTGTAATATAATTGACAGTCAAAAATTCAAAATGGCTGCTAAGTAATTTACCCAACATGCCCAAAACCTAATCAACAGGCCCATCAATATAAGAAAATAACAACTTTGAAAAAAGTGGTCGAATTTGTGATCTGAGAAGAATTGTTCAAAATCATCCTATCTTCTTATTTACAGAGTGGCCCAAATAATGATACCCATTCTGAACTGGTAAAAATATAATGAGGGTAACATTTTTGTCCCACCCTGTACTTTTCATTTCAGCCTCAACTAAAACCCACCTGGTTCTACCACAAAGTCTGTACTCTCCAGGGTGACCACTATTTTGTCAATTTCTATCTCAGTAGTTTTGCTGCATGCATTAGTCAGCTGTTCAGCTGGGGTCTGGAAAATTGAAATTGAAAACGTAAAATATTATACATATCCACATTTTTCCAGTAATTGTCTGAAAAATAGATCTATGTTTAATCAAAGATAATGCAGAGGAACAAGAGGGAAGGGGTGAAAACTTAACACATTTGAGGTTTGGTGTGGGTTTCCAGAAGTGATAAAGGGAGATGTAGGGTTTAAAATTTCCAACATAAGATGAACCTCATCCACCATGTAGACCTTTCTGTTGGCTTGAACATCCAAAAGGAAAACGTGGTGGAGAAAGGATATTAGAGGATTCAAAATTAAATGTGTACTACTAAATGTCTACTCCAGCAAAACACTTTAGCCCCAGCATAGATCTGAATCAGTTTTCCGTAGTTGGCTTGAACATTAAGACAGGTGGAAGAGGGGTGAAGAGGAGAAAATTAAGCACAAGAAAAACATTTGAGGATGAACCTTATCCGCTCCTGTTAAGTTTTCTGTTGGCTTGAGCATCCAAAAGGTAGAAAGGGTGGAGAAGAGGTTGAAGTAATAGCTAAAATTAAGACATATGATACCTTATCCACTCCTGCTAAACTCTTGGGCCTCAACATAGAATTGAAAGAGCTTTCTCTTGACTTGGGCATTCAAAAGGTAGAAGCAGTTGAAAATAGAGAAAACTAAACACAAGAAATGTTAATTTACCTTATCAACTCCAGCTAAACTCTTGAGCCTCAACATAAATCTGAAAGAGCTTTCTGTTGGCTTGGAGATTCAAAGGTAGAAGCAGTGGAATAGAGAAAGCTAAACACAAGAAATGCGTACCTTATCCACTCCTGCTAAACTCTTTGGCCTTAGCATAGATCTGAAAGCCATGTGTATTGTAGTAAGCACCATCTTACAGTAACAATCTGAAGCTTTCTGCTGGCTTGAACTGCTACACTGATATAAGGATGCTTTCACAGCAAGGAACCTTGTAAGTAAGATGTCCTGAACAGAGGCTGGCTGCTTATGAAAGTTATCAGTTAACCTTTGGACAACAGCCTCGATTATACCTGGAAAGTATCAAACAGAAACAAAATCAAATATGATTCAACATCAAGCTGTTCTTGGTAATATTAGCGCCAAGTGATTAGATGCAAGTAAAAAATAATCTTGATTTTTCTCATTAGAACTTCTGATGACATTTAGTTTTAAATTCTTCTTCGGCAACATGAAATTAAATGTTTAAATTTCCTAACCTGTATAAAAGAGTGGCATCGATATGGAGAATTTTTTGAACACACGTTTCTCTTAAACCAGTCATAAAAAAATCTAAAAATTTAACACATCGTCAATTTAATTGTCATCTTTAGAATGGTAACAATATAATTTGAAAAATATATATATACTTTCATCTATATTGTTTTAGAAAACACATCAAACACTTGTTTTTTTCTTGGTATCATGTTTCCAGAGTGAAATGAAAGATCTTTCCGAACCTCATTGGAACAAAACGACATAAACACAACATGTTTAGGTTTCTCAATATTGTAATTATACAAAGGAAATTTTGGTTGATTTAAAAAAGTATCTTGTTAATGAAATAAAAGGTTTATCTTGATTTTTATCTATTCTGGGGGATTTTGTTTTAATTTTTTGAATACTTTTTTAAAATCAATCAAAAACAATTGCACTAAAAAAACAAAAACAGTTAGCCTATATAAAATATTTCTAAATAATTTTTGCATTAAATTAATGTCAATCAGTCAACATTACATAAAATACTGTGTTTTTTACAGAATGATTCCAATGATTGGTTTAAGATAAAAACATTGTTGAATTCAGTTCTCTATATCGATACCACTCCTTTCATCCAATGTTATGAAATCATGAAAAGTGAAAGATTTATCAAGGTGCAACTTCCCCTCTGTACCAATCTTAGGATTTTCTTTCTGGGGAGAATTGAATTATCAAAAGCAAAAATAAAAAATCACTCACTAGGTGTCACTGCTAGTAGCACATCCAACCAATAAAAGCAAAAATAGAAAATCACTCACTAGGTGTCACTGCTAGCAGCACATCCCACCAATCATATCCTCCGACTATTGCGAGCTCCAACTTTGTCACTATGTTAAGTGGGAGAGTCTGTAACGCTGGGTTTTTCATGTTTACGATTCTCAACATGTAAAGGGTGTTGTTAGTGTCAATCATTACTAAGCCACACCCACTAAAAGTTTGAACCAATGAGGATGGATAGGCTGCTGATCGTTGTTTTTTGTTGCCCTTGACAACTGTCTTTGTATCACATTTCATCTCAGCCACCACCTGCAGAAAATTTCAAAATCAATATTTAACTCAAATCAAAGATTCTGTGGGTCTCATACGCAAGTATGATTCTGTGGGCTGTGGTAAAGAATTGCCATTAAATCTGACCTCATATCTGTTAGTTTTGGCATCATATAAATTATACTTGGCCTCATGTAAGTTCTACTTGACATCATATAGGTCAAACTTGACCTCATATAAGTTTTACTTTACATCATGTAAGTTATACTTGACACCATAATGTTATACTTGACATTGACCTTTGAAAATTAGTTTTGACCTCATGTAAGGTATTTTTGACCTCATATAAGCTGCACTTGACCTCATAACGGTTATACTTGATGTCATACAAATTATGATTGATGTCATACAAGTTATAATTGACATCATATAAGTTACACTTGACATCATATAAGTTGTACTTGACCTCATATAAGTTACAATTGACTTTATATAAGTTATACTTGGCCTCATATAAGTTATACTTGACATCATACAAGTTATACTCGGCCTCATATAAGTTATACTTGACCTCATATAAGTTATACTTGACCTCATACAAATTATACTTAAATCATATAAGTTATACTTGACCTCATACAAATTATACTTAAATCATATAAGTTATACTTGACATCATACAAGTTATACTTGACATCATACAAGTTATACTTGACATCATACAAGTTATACTTGACCTCATATAAGTTATAGTTGACCTCATACAAATTATACTTAAATCATATAAGTTATACTTGACCTCATACCTGTAACTTGTTGCAAAGTTTCACAGAACCATCAGAGCATCCGACTGCAATATGTTGGTCCATTGAGATAGGTGGTGTCTCATTCCCAACAGGCATGATGGGAAATTCTGACAGGGCCAATGTAATGATTGCACTATTAATAGTCAGCGACCCACTGTGTCTCCATTTGGACATTCGTAAATTTGTGTCGGGTGTGTTCGCAGTTTGGAAAAACCTGTGAAGCACATGGTTTTGCGTCTTCATCGACCATACCTCAATGTACGACATGTTCTTATCGCCAGTGCAAATGTATAGCAAACTGGGATTTGTATGAGACCCGAATTTGACTAACATCACCCGTGAATCTGGGTTCTCAGTTAATAAAGGATTTGTGTGCAGTTGCGAGAACAAGCTTATATCTGACGTGCAATGCATTTGAAGCCCCGACTCAGTCATACTCAAACTCAATTGGTAACACTGAATTGACGATTTTGTGCTACTATCGCTAGTGGTCACGTGTATGGTTCCCGAAGGATCAAACCCGATATCTGCAGTCGCAACAAAGTCTCGCATAATTCCCAGCATACATTGCTCTGTGACGACAGTAATAGTGTTGTCATTAGACTTCTTAAGTACACACAAATACACCTGTAACAGAATTATTTTTATATTAAACTTTACATTCATGAATCAGAAAATGATTCCAAGGACACAACATTCCTCATTTTATGTATCTAAAATCATTTTTTAGGTGAAAAATGAATTCAATCCTATAAAATCCTGTAGCATTGTAAAAAATCTTAAATGCAAAAAAATGCAAAGGACGATTCTTGGTTTGGAGAACAGTCTCCTGGGCTAATAATTTTTTTCATGAAAAATATAGAAATATTACCCAAATTAAACTATGAATATTCAAAAGAGGACATTTAAATCTACAAGATGTAAAAATAACAAATTGGTCTGAAGCAGGGATAATGCTCAATTTGACCGATTCAATAAAATACAAGTCTCAATTTGGGGAAAGAAGTTCATCAGTGTACTGCGCTAATATTTTTTGCGAAAAATCTAGAAATATTACCCAAATTAAATTATTTTTCAAATCTATATTATGTAAAAAAAAGAAATTTGTCCGAAGCAGGGATAATGCTCATTTAGATTGATGAACTTCGTTCTCTATTGAATGCCCATGTCCAAACCGAGAATCGTCCTTTGAAAATGGAACTTTTTACTGTGCTCACAGCGTAAATAAAAAGCTGGTTTCTTTTTATACATGATTTATTTCGATAGTAAAATATGATTAGTACATGTTGCAGCTTTGCAATGCAGTATTACAAACCACAATAAGCTGGTTTCTCAAAAAATCAGATAGGAACAAGGACCCTCATGAAATGAACATTTAGTTTAGACAAACATCAATTTTCATTTGTTCAAAATAATACAATACCATATTAGTAGAAGACACCGCCACCCAGCCTTCCATCGGTGTACTTCCAAAACTTCTCAAGGAAGGGTTGAACTTTGCTCTTATGTACTTATCAGAGTATAGAGCACTGTCTCGCTTCTCTGAATGAAGGTTGATCTGAAAATTCCAAAGTGTATGAAAATAGGAATAGTTTTCAATGTTTCATACTGAATCATACATTACAAGAAACCAATTTTGTGTGTAATGACAGCCAAAGGTGCAATGATTCATTATTTTAATTTCTGTATACATGTACATACATAAGCATAGGTTCTGGGCCGATATAAAGATGGCAGCACCAACAGAATCCAGTATTATATTTTTCTCTCACAGATCGATTACCATGCCATCTTTATTTAAAAATTATTCCTATCGGTCTTTGCCTATGTACATAAGCAATAGTCTAAATCTGAAAATCCAAGCTTATAATGGTTGAAACAGCTGCTCTTGTGAAGACATTAATATAAATTTCCAATAAATTAAGGCCCCTTTTGGAGAAAAATAGTGAAAACGGCAAAAGGGAGTACACTCACCATGAGACCTGTGTGGAGCCACGTGGCTGTTACAATTTCCTCCCCTTCACAACAATTTGTCTCTGCAACACATTCCCAGTCATTGAGAAGGAATTCCTGGAAAAATAAAAACAACCAAAGGCTCGGGTTAAAGGGACAGCAAAGACTAGAAAATGTCAAGGTACGATAATTAAAGGATGGTACAATACTAGTACTAATGCCAGAAAGAACATGGCTTGACACAATAGAATCAATCCTTTATTGTCCTACCTCAAGTTGTCACTCATTCCCTCCTATTTAACAAGCTGCAGAGAACTGAGAAGAAAAGCTAAGGTAAACAAGGCCTTAATTCATAAAAGGCCTACTGCTCTATATACAGGGTGTGCCAAAAATTTAGCAACCCCTCACTCCTTCCTATTTAACAACCCACAGAGCATTGGGAAGACAAGGTAAACAAGGCCTACTGCTCTATATAGCTGTATTAGCTATAGTTTGCAGAATCAAATGGGGACTGATTGATACAACTGGCGGATCAAGAAGCTAACAAGGGGGGGATATTTCAATCAGAAAAAAATTTCAGCCATATGTGCGAAAAAAAATTTGGGCCAAAAAAGGCCAAGGATGCCCACTAATTGAGGCCCTACAAATATTTGAAGCTCACCCAAGGATCCGCCAGTGGATACGAGACTAGATTCTCACCTTCATACTCCATAGTTTCATCAATCCCGATTGATCCACCACAAGAAGCCTCGTTCCGCTTGAATCCCAGATTAACTTGGTGACCTTAATGTCACATGCTGCCACCTGGTGGGGAGACCATGGCTGCTCAGCATCACAAACGTAGACGTAGTACTGGTTACTGATTTCGTCGATCCTATAAATAAATGTGAATGTGAAAACACTTTTCAAGAATTACTCCATAGCAAAGTTCTCCGGTTTGCCATTGCCAAAGCTTCTTTTCATGTTTTGTCTCTGAAAGGGAAGTACTTAATACATGGGCTTGGCAGGAGGGTTCATGGGGCTCGTGCAAGTAGGCCTACTGAGTTTTGTGAATGTGGCCAAATCAATGGATCTTTAGTTTGTATGACAACCATTAAAGTGTTTTTCACTCCTTTTCAAAGCTTCAATACAGCATTTTGCTGTGTATATAATACTGATTTTTATTTACCCATTTGAAGTGAATACTCATCTTTAATTCCATGTAAAGAAAACAGAAATTGATAACATATATTGACGGAGTGGGAGCTGTTACAATAAACCGCTACTTTTAACAATTTTCAGAAATGTTCCATAATGAGGGACTGCTTAATTCAATTAACAATAATATTGCCGTTTTGGGCATATTTCTTGAAAGCATTATACGTTATTATCACATATTTTGATTAATATGAAGAATTGATTGCAATATGATGATGTGATAGAATACTTATTATACCCTAGTAAGAATCAATTTATATGTGGAATAATTTGGGGGAATCCACCAAGAGTTGGGAGGTTTCTCCAAAGCTATTGTTGTAACAGAAACAACCTCACATTACATTTGATTTCCACAAGATTGGACTATGAGTATTACGTCATCAATATGCATTAGAGGGTAGGGAGACATTCATTGTGACATTTGTTTTCGGGAATTCCTAACAACAGCCGAACACTTTCACTTTCATTATTACAGCACTTTCCCATTTGACATGTTTGAATAGAAAGTGAAAATGTATTTACAGAATTAAATTGATGAAAAGGAATCTAAAGGGGTGTATACGCTGACAGGTGAAATGCTTGAAATGGGGGCGAAAAGGCCGAAATACTTGAAATGGTTCAAATGAAAGAGAATGTGAAAACAGCTTAGGTAAATTGATTGAAATGGCGAAACAGGCGCAAGCAGCGACACAGTAATTTCATTTTTCAAGACGAATCGATTGAAATGGTTGAAACAGTTGAAAAGCTCCGGCAAAATGCTTGAATCGAAAAACATGCACGTTCGTTTTCTTTTCTTCAAGTGCGAAACATGCACAAACAGCGAAATTTTAAATTCATTTCAAAGGCAAATTGATTGAAATGCTTGAAATGACGCAACAAAATAGCAACTTTTTTTGGAGAGAGGGTGAAATTAATCTCGACAAGCAAATACCGCTCAGTATCATTCTAAATTCCTCTTTCCAGGGGTTATTCTCAGCAATTTCATCCCTGTAACTGTTCCCACATGTAGGTGAGTGGACGAAACAAATCCAGTCAAAAATCCCTACTCCCGGGCAAATGCAAATCAAATTTCTCACTCGCGGGACGAAAGTCTCTGTAAAATTCCTACCCCTGGGGGCAATATTGCAAATCAAACTCCTTACCCTCCCCGTATGGGGGGGGGTCTCTCTCACGCAAAATTTTGAATGGTGCAATATTAGTGAAATCATTCAAATATCCTATAAGATATGTAATGTTGCTTGACTTGATTCCGTATTTGTTGAGCAGATTGATAATTTCTCAAGCTTTTAAGGATAATGTTTCCGGGATTGAAAAGATGTAAAAAGGTATGCTAGACGAAGCTCAGATGGCGATTGGTGGACATTTTGAAATCCTGAATGTGAGGTTCTATCAGGCTCGCAAGACCAGAAATCTAATTGAAAGCCCATGATTGGGACTAGAGAAAATTACACTATGTATTTTATCATACAATACTCCTAATTCTGCTCAATAAAGCACAGATTTAGTTTCTTGATTCAAACACGGGCTTTCAAGAGATGTTGAAAGCCTATGATTCAAACAAGAACAATCTCACTGAAAACTCACTCAGATTTTTTAGAATCCAACTTTTCCGCACTCGAAAATGCAATAATGTTTCTCTTGGAAAGTGATATCACAGCATGGTAAGGTCGATTCCATGTATTCTTTTCATCTGATGATCTTGACACTGTATAAATAGTCTCCATATCTTCGTATTTCCCAATAATCTGGACAAAAAATTAAATTTCCATTTTCATGGGCGCCGCCATTTTATTGAGACACCTAAATAAACATTTTATTTCCGGGAATTAGTGCTATTCGAAGAGATCCAGCCTTAAAACTATGACAACAGCTTTTTAAACTTCGATTTTACAATCCTCAAAATCATATAAAGTTACATCATCTTCAATATTCAGTAAAGAAATTGGAAAATTAGAAATTGGAAATTTCTAAACCAATTGTAACCAATTGCGACACCAACTTATAAAAGTTTTCAAAACTTTGATTTGAATGAAAATACCAGATTTTTGATAGTTATAAGTCTAGTAGCATATGTATGGTTTTCATTACAAGTGATGGGTGTTTGAAATAGAACCAGTGGTAAGAATGCTCATTAGATCTAATAAATTCTTCACAGATCAACCTACAGACCTAGGCCTATGTGTATGGGGGGGGGGGGGCTTGTCCTGCAGATACACTGCCCTGTCAATCCTCACGCATTAGGCGTTATTGTCACACATTTTCTAGAAAAATATTAATCACCCATCAATTTAGTGTGTATGCTTGAATGTCACCCAATTAAATCACGCATTATGTTGATGTTTAAAAAATCTGCTTTTTATAACACGACGATACAGTAAAAAAATGAACCTCCAAAAAAACGATCGCATTCTGACTTTCACATAAATTCCGTAAATGTCACACATTTGCTTCGAAATTTTTGTATATGTCACATATTTGCTTTCAAAATATTTTTTAGTAATTTATCCATCATTTGTAGTGTGAAGCAATGGATTCATTTATTGTGCTACTTAGAGTGATCGGTAATTATTTTTAGACTGTTTGGGCTGGTTTGAGCCATAAAACTTAGCTCATAAAATTTAGCTCATTGTCATGGATGGGTTTATTATGTCAAAAAGTGTATGTAGTATTTTGAATATATTTTGAAGAAAATAGTAATTGATCAGACTTGATCATATTTACTCTTGGTCAATATATGTCAGCGTGCGGCTTAATGATTAATAATTCGAGAAATAGATCTCTCTCACTGGTGCAAAATTCAATTAGGATATTTACATATTTACATAGTAAATGTCGTCTGTTATATGTTTTACATGTGCTTTTTAAATTACATTTTTGCGATTTTAATGCGTTATTTAACTCGTATTTGAATGCTTCAATTGTAGAATGAGGCGATGTTATTTGATAATGAAAGCATTCAGTTCAATCATTGTGCATTTCTCTTATATTCCCCATTGCGTTTCTTATTTAATTTATTTGAAACGCAAAGTCAGTATCTCAGGCCCGTAGCCAGGGGGGGTTCGCAGGGTTCGGGCGAACCCCCCCTGGCCAAAAATTCTTTCAAAATCATGCAGTTTTCCACCAATTTGAGCACTTCTCAAGTGATTTTAGCCATATTTGGGCCAAAATTGTCAAATGTGAACCCCCCCCCTGGAAATATTTGAAAAATGAACCCCCCCTTGGCAAATCCTGGCTACGGGCCTGTATCTTGTCAAATTTCGGATATGACTGAAAATGAAGTTGATTTGAATGTTTTATATAGAAAAGGTCATATCAATATTGTAAGATGATCCTTTTACAAAATCTGTTTGAAACCAACGAAACTTGGACTTTTTTCCTACGAATTAGTGCTTTTTGTCAATGTTTTAATGGGCCTAATTTATCTTACCCCCCTTTTCTCCAGCCCCCTCCCATCTAGCCCTCCCCTTCAGCACCTCCCCCCCCCCCCCGCATCTGTGTACAAGGAAGGAAAATCATGTCTGCAAAATTTTGGAGAGGTCAGAATGTTTTCAAGTGGGTTGCTATCAAACAGATAATTAATTATGGATGTTTGAAAATAGATAATCTCTTCCGAGAAACACTTGTATGTAAACCTCTCAAAGATGTAACTTCCTTGTACTCTTTGCAATAGTTTGACCCCATCTGTACTCTTAAAATGAAAGATATGCTTTGATCTTTTCTGCAGTCTCATGTAGTCTATAGTCATCAACTCAGTTCACTGCATTTTCTACCTATATGCATGTAGCTAGCATTTGTTCCATGATCAAACTCCAAAGAAAACTGCATTCGAGATTATGAAGATTTCCTCAGTATTAATCAGAGGATAAAATTATTAGCTGGTGGGAATCAGGGTAATATCCTTGTGTTGTTAATTAACAGAGTGGGCCTTGGGAGGATCAAGTGTGTGGGAATTGGGAAGTAATTTAATTGCTTCAAATTGACCAATCAGATGCAAGAATACTCCCTGCTGTTATGCAGTATATGGCTTGCATTGTTTGGCTTCAAAACCAGAACCAAAAGTGAAACAGACACAGACACAGATAGAAGAGCAAGTTTATAGAAGAGGATTAAAAGTCGAATCAAAATGTTAACTAAGTTTTTATTTTTCCTTTTAGGGCTGTGTTTAACAGTCAGCCTCGGAGATGCAAATGTAAGTATTGTTCATTTATTCATATAAACTCTTCAATAACACAACAATTGTTATTAAATGTACAACTATCTTGTAGCAATATTTAATTTGTTAATATTTTGAAAGTTTCTCTCAGGTTATATTTCTTTCCAAAACTAGTTCAAACATAGGACGAGTTATTTTCAAATGTGTGCAAAATGATTCAGCCTATTTTTCGAAATCTTGTTTCAATGCTGTGAATTTTCAACATCAAAGGATATATTTACACTAATTACTTTTGCCTGTGGTCAGAAATTCCTGCTTTAACCAGTTTTATTTAAAGTTTTTTTTAAAGTGCTTGTTTTTTATCTTTGTTTTTTGAGATTTTCGATGCCTGTTATGTCCTATATCAAATAAGAACAATTATTTTGTAGAACAATCAGTCTCTACTAAACTTTAGACCTCTTTATATAATAATTGAAAAGGCATGAACAAAGCCCTATAAATCATGTTCCAGACATTAATCCACTGTCTTGTAGAATTCCTGTCTTTGGTGTGATATGTGTAGGCAAAACATGGGGTTTTAGAGGGAAAACATGGGGTTTTAAGAATTACAATTGGATTACAACATAATAGGCAAACAATTAGATATTTATACAAATATATGTTTAATGGAGTCATTATATTAACAGGTCATCCTAGTTGAACATGAGTATAAACACGTTATTCCTGTAGCAAGAAAAATATGTGAACGATTTTTAAGTTTTAAAAGATATTGTGTTTGATGTTCAATTGATATTGTGTTGGCACAATCCACAAATTGTTTGATGCACAATCAACAATATATCAATTGCACTATTAACAATGTGTTTGATGCATAATCCTCATGAGCTCAACTGGTTTGTTTTACATTTTAATTTTTGCTCTGAATGCATCCTGTCATTGTATGATGATTGGTTTACAAAATGAGAGTAGAACAATCTCACATCTTTGAATGATCAATTCTGCAAAAGATTTCTCAACCAGAATGTTATTGATGTGGATACATGACACTAGAAAATGCTATTAGAACCCTTTATAATTCACAATTTTAAATTTCAATGAAGATCACAAGTGTCTGGTGACCCAACCAGTTCATATGGCATATCTTGTGGTTATGTGTTAGAAATCATCACTAATAGTAGACCCACCCTTTTCAAAAGTTTAATTTTGCACCCTTTAAAGAGACACTCTTTGAACAAAAACAATTGATATCTTTTGATCTAGCCTTACAGATTCAAAATATTCAACTCTCATAAAGGAAAATGCCAGCTACATTTTAGATTAGCTTTGAGATTAGCATAAAATCTGTAAAATTATCAGTCCTGCTCAGAGGATACTTATCATTACATCTATCTATTGGACATCAGGGTAACAGATGACCCAACCAGTTCCTGTCATTTGAAACCAGCACGTCATAGCTGACCCAAACACCCTTATCTAAATAAACATCAAGACATGTTGACCTAAACATCCTGGGCCTCACACCTATTAACCACAGTGTTTCTACACCCTTCAGTGACGTCTTTGTACTGAATCATGCTGACTTGAATAATGTACTTGTGTGTAAACTAGAATAATGTACATGTACTTGTGGTTAAACTTGAATAATATACTTGTGTGTAAACTTGAATAATGTACTTGTGTGTAAACTAGAATAATGTACATGCACTTGTGAGTAAACTTGAATAATATACTTGTGTGTAAACTTGAATAATGTACTTGTGTGTAAACTTGAATAATGTACTTGTGTGTAAACTAGAATAATGTACATGTACTTGTGGGTAAACTTGAATAATATGCTTGTGTGTAAACTTGAATAATGTACTTGTGTGTAAACTAGAATAATGTACATGCACTTGTGAGTAAACTTGAATAATATACTTGTGTGTAAACTTGAATAATGTACTTGTGTGTAAACTTGAATAATGTACTTGTGTGTAAACTTGAATAATGTACTTGTGTGTAAACTTGAATAATGTACTTGTGTGTAAACTTGAATAATGTACTTGTGTGTAAACTTGAATAATGTACTTGTGTGTAAACTTGTATAATGTACTTGTGTGTAAACTTGAATAATGTACTTGTGTGTAAACTTGAATAATGTACTTGTGTGTAAACTTGAATAATGTACTTGTGTGTAAACTTGAATGATGTACTTGTGTGTAAACTTGAATAATGTACATGTGTGTAAATTTGAATAATGTACTTGTGTGTAAACCAGCCATATCAACATTCTTTCCACGAAAATATTGACAATTATGCAATTAGCCAACTGAAATGCGCAAGAGAAATATGGAAACATGTTGACAGGAACACTGTGCCCCAGGCTTTATATAAACCACAGTTAGCTAGGTCTATGACGTCTTTTAGTGAACCACATTGACCTATATTTCAATGGGTGTCCTAGTATATAAACCAGTGGTATCAACATCCTTCCACAAAAAATATGGAAAACTTGGTAAACGGTTAACCATATAAACAAATGAATGGTCAACTCTGTTTTTTCATGTATATCAAAAGATGAGTCTCCGAGTTTGTCATTAGCTTTATTATTTGTCCTCTGCTTTTAAAGCCTAATGAAAAAAACAAGTTTCATTTTCAAAAATTATCCATATATAGTAGGCCTCATTTTTCAGTTTCTGAAAAAATTAGCCAAAGTGAGCCCAATTTTAAAACAATATGTCAAAATAGGCAGTCTTCAAAATGGGAAGGTCTTCAAAAAAATATGTTGCCCATTTTTAGATCACTTTTGATCCCCATCTGAATTTACCAGCACTTTGAGCAGACCCCTTTAGCAGGGCACATCCAGCTCCATAAATTGAAACATGATGCTTTGTTTGTTTCCTAATCTTGTAACTCTAACAGCTTCCCCAGCTGAATGTGGTCTGGTTTCCCCCCATTGTGACTGACCTTGAAATCCTAGACTTCTATATATCAACTAATGAATACATGCACACATTCCAGTGCACCTCTGTTGACCTCTGCAGATCTGGGATCCTGATGTCTCCCAGTCATTGACCTTGAAATCCCACCCTTTCCCTTTCGCCACATGCTTGACTCATGGGGAGTGGGGGAGGGGAGGGGCTATCTGAGGACTTCAGTTTTTAAGTTTGGGCCTGGATTAAAAACTAAGTACATATTCTCAAAAATATCAAAAAGGGTATGATTTAACAAAAATTATCAGATTTATTATTTATCCCCAAAAAATATTTTGCTAAAGTCAATAAGTTTAAACTCCTGTTTATATCTAGTATGAAAATATGTTTTGGTTTACATGAATGTTTTTTATTGAGGAGATCTAATTGGACAGGTTTTGTTACTGGCTTACATCTGTGATAACACATGTGTCTTTACTCTTTATCAAAAGTTTGACTGCATTTCAAAAACCCACTGAGAGTTAACGATCTTATTGCCATCAAAACTGTAATATGGCAGTACTTCAATGAGGAGGAAAAAGTCCTCTTTTTAGAAAATCAGTCCAACTTTGAAAACAGAGTTAAGATGGGTTCCTAATTTATAGTTTTCCAAAGCTTTTTTATCCTGGGGGCTTTCCTTGGAGAAAACATTGTTTTTATGAGAAATCACATATTCATGATGAGAAAATGTGCATTGTAAAAACATCATGAAGCATCATATTGAAAGTCTTTTGGGAAATCCTGACAGCTACTTTCAGAATCATTAAGATATGTTATCAGGACCAAAATTATGAAATTGTTTATTCCTAGTCAGAGGATAGGAATTATTGCTAGCTTTTGAGCCAGAGGGTAGCTGCTGACAGGCAGTACATCAACAAACAGATCTTGCAAACTCATTTCAAGTTTGACTTGAACCAGCAGATTGGTAGCAGAACAGGATTTCAGATTTGCAATCAAATTATTTTTGGCGAGCAATACTTTATTTATTTCGTGATAATATAAATACCTCATTGGTTGTATAGTCCATTATTTACATATTTTCACTTAAGACAGAACCAGAGTACACGCCTTTTATATAAGTTGGGGACCACTAATAAGATACTTTCTGATTCTTGGAATCAACCTGTAGACAAACTCATAAATCTTCTGGGTGGCACCTCCAAGCAAAATTGCAATATTATATAAATATTTACATTGGAGTCTATTGCAAATATTTGTCTGTATAGCTTCTTTTTCTTGCAGTTTGGAGATTCCACAGATTGTGCCATTCATAAATCCAGGCCTGTAGCCAGCTTTTGCCAAGGGGTGTTCACTTTCTGAAAAAATTCCAGGGGGGTTCACATTTGATAACTTTGGCTCAAAATCACTTGAAAAGTGTTCAGAATGGTGAAAATGGTGCATGACTTTGAAAGATTATTGAACTCAAATTCTCACACCCCCCCCCCCCCACCCCTGGCTATGGGGCAATGCTTCTCCTGTACCCTCTGCCTTAAAAAGAACTGATATTAACCTTTTTAAAGAGAATAATTATGCTCTCTTTAAAGAAAGGTAAATCAAATATGAAACATTTAAAAGAGTATTCCCCCACCCCCTACATCCCCATTCCCCTTTTCAATGGTAACTAATTGTTATAAAATTAATACACTTCAGGATGGGGCACCAATTCCAATTAAGATGTTCTACAAATTGAAAGATGTGAAGACAACGCAGGACTTTATAAAGAACTTCTTGAAGAAAGGAGATACAATTGAAACTCCCGGAAGCAATGTTCTTAACTCCAGCCTCATATTTGACACTTCTACTGGTGAGTTTACAAAACTTTTCACCTAACTAACGACACCAAAAGCTTGTACCGTATTCTCTCTATATCATTAGAGAGCATATGGTCTATCTGAAAACCTTCTCTCATCTGAACACCTTTCAATGTTCTATCCCATTTTTAGAAGGGGTGACATATTGTTATAGTCCCCAATTTTTTGTGGATGGTGTTGTGTTTTCAGTGTTTGGTAGTTGATGATGTTTGGCATCTGTAACAAATGACAGGTGGTGACATTTTGCATGTTAATGAAAGTTTCATGTTCAAAACCTGGAAATGGGAACATCTAACAATCTGGACACTTTTGACTGGTCAATGTAATACATACATAAAATTGGAAGTTATCAGTTATTTTCTTATTTATGTTTAATGAGTTACATTTTCAAAACTATTAGAAAAGGACGATTCTCGGTTTGGAGAACAGTCTCCTGGGCTAATATTTTTTTCATGAAAAATATAGAAATATTACCCAAATTAAACTATGAATATTCAAAAGGGGACATTTAAATCTACAAGATGTAAAAATAACAAATTGGTCTGAAGCAGGGATAACGCTCAGTTAGACCGATTCACTAAAATACAAGTCTCGATTTGGGGAAAGAAGTTCATCAGTGTACTGCGCTAATATTTTTTTTGCGAAAAATCTAGAAATATTACCCAAATTAAATTATGGCTATTCAAAAGAAGACATTCAAATCTATATTATGTAAAAATATCAAATTTGTCCGAAGCAGGGATAATGCTCATTTAGATTGATGAACTTCGTTCTCCAAACCGAGAATCGTCCTTTATAGGAGAACTGAATGACATGATTAGGCTTTCCAATGATTATTTATATAGATTCGCATGTATATTTCATTTATATCTGTTTGCAAGAAATGCAATAAGTATCAGAAATGTGTAAATAGTAAACGTTTTTTGCATATAACAAAATCCAAAAGGGCCTCTATTTTGAAAGTAATGGTGTTTTTCAAAGAAATAAAGTCTCACTTTGAAATGGGAATTTAATATAGTTTTTATCATTGTAATAGACTAGATGAGAATAGAAATAATCTTGATTTACGTCATTAAATATTCAAAATTCAGCCAAAGTGATATAATATTTGAAGTCAGATGTAAAAGTAGGAATATGGTTTCGAAAATTGTAAATCAACTTTGAATTTTTTTTGAAAATGTGACTTCTAGTTCAGGGAGAATCTCAATAGACCCTATGTTATAAATCACAAAAAGTGAAATATCATTACTTGTATTGGACAGATAACATTTTCTTTTCTTTTTCTGGACATATATCAATTTGCATAACTATTTGATAAATAAGGGTGATATGAAAATTGAAACACTAAAATAGATGTAATTTAAGTTAAAGAGAGCTTTCTACTATACCCGCCATGCTATCTGACCCAAATGAGCCACCTGTTGGTGAAACTGGTAACTACCTACTCGCAATTGAGTCATTTCAGTAGTCTGATGAGATGCTAGATTGAATTTTTCACCGCAAAAAGTTGTCATTCATAACATTTTCCTTTGAACTATAGGAAAAGTCATAGACAGCAATCTTGATTTTGCTGCCTCTGCAGTGGCGACACCTGATGGATGCGTCCCAAAACTTAAACAGGTGGGTCTCGACAAGCACGAGGACCCCGCTATAGTAATGTGGCCCCAATGTACAAAGATTGAACAGTGTGGGGGGTGCTGTTCCCATGAAAAGCTGGAGTGTGTCCCAACAACCAGTGAGGCTGTTCAGATACAGGTACATTTTTTATTGTTTTATACACTGTCTGTCTATATTCTTTGTAGCAACTCTTTTGGGGCATTTTTGCCCGTCTCTTCTACCTCATCATCATTTCCCATTAAAAGATGTCATATTCAGCTGAATTTCTTTCAAAGTTCAAATAACTTTCTGTACACAATACGTTACAACATTTAAAACAGATAGTTTACACCAAGTATATGAACATGATGATAATTTGCCACTTGATTGACATAGCTTTGCAACTGCAAGTATTTTTGTCAATATGTTTAGATTGCACCAAACAGTGCTTTTATTGAAATTATTCATAATGCCAAACATCAACTTATAGAAGTACAATTTACTTCTAGATATTTTGTTGATAATATATGAGGTTTACTTTATGTCTGATTTTGAACCATATGGGTCTACTTTAAATCTATGTGGACCATTTCAATTTTGCTAAGTTAAGGTAATGTCAATTAAAAAGGTAAAAATAAAAACAGTGGTTTGAATTAAATGAGATATAATGAAAGTTAAATGTACCAGATTATGGTAGATATCACACAGATGTATTTCGAAAATATATCCAACCTCTGAGACATTAGAGCTTAATTATGACATCAGAAATTATGTACCATGAATTTTATTTGATTGTATGTTGATTGAATATATTTCAGTTTGGCTAACAAAGATTAAAGTTCAAAAGGTTGAAATTGTATTCAAACAACCTGAAAATGATGTGCATTTCATATCTGCAGTTAGACTTCCATTAGGGAAGGGGTGGGGATTTTGACAAAATAAAAATTGGGCTGTGAAATTCCTTACCCAGAGAGTATTCTAGTGAGTCAATTTCCGCACGCATGGACCAATAATAGCAGGCTACGTTTTAAAATACTATTTCCTGGAATATGCTTTTCAAAAGTCCCAACTCATAGAACAAAATGCTATGTCAAAATCCCACCCCTTGCCTGGGGCAATACTGAATGTGAAATTGCCAACCCTCCCTCCATTGGGGATCCCGCACAAACTTTTTGAATGGTACAACGTATATTTTGTTTACACAACATGTTGGATTTTCTCTCTGTAGTGCATGCAAGCTAAGTACCCGGAGGCCGGAGCAGAACAGTTTGTTTTCATGGGTACTGTTCCCGTGAATGTAGAGCGCCATCTTACCTGTGAATGCAGGTGTAAAGTCCAGGCTGAGCATTGTACAGCACAGCAGGTAATACATGGTTAGGGCCAGGCAGTACAACTTGGAACCAGGGGCTATGGATGACTCGCTTCGCTTACAACATTTTTTATGCTTCTTTTTTTTATAAAATCGAAGAACTTGCATTATTTTTTGCAGGGGCGCCTTGCTGATGAGTTGCGGAGATCTATGATGAAGTCATGTGACCAATATCCTGGCTTGCATTTGCTATTATGCGCTGCGTTTCTTCAAACCTCTAAATGAAGTGTTCAGTCTTCTTTATTCTCTACTGAAAAGAAGCATGATTTTAGGAGACGAATACTTGATACCCCAAATCAGTTGCCATAGTAACATATGATGTTTTGGAAAATGAAGATTGTCATAACAACTGGTTCTGACCTGAACAGAAGAGCTAGAAATATTTAATATACATATAATGCTAAAATTGCATGTTCACATTTGGCAATGGTACCATAGTAACCAATTTAAATGTATCAGATTGACAACCATAGTAACAACATCCATCACTATGGCAACTTGAACAAAACCTGCCACAATGATCTTACAAAATTTTTACAAATAAATCACTGATACTATGCTTCTGCTTTTGCTCTCCGATAGGTCATGCTCGCCAAGTATCCTTTCCCTGGCGCTGAATATTTTGATTTTCACGGGGTTGTCATGAAACAGGTTCACCGCCATATGCAATGTGAGTGCCGCTGCATAACCCAGCCTGCTCATTGCACAGCTGTCCAGGTATAGATTTAATGCATGCCTTCAACTGGAGATAGTCTTGCATCGAGTACACCCCCCCCCCCCTGTCTCAGGTAGAGATTAGCAATTCCTCATAAGGCATTATTAAGTGTATGTAATAGAGGATTAATGAGTTCCCCAGACTTGATGCAGGATTATTGAAATTGTTTATATTTTTGTCGTTTTTGCATTTGTTTTTATGATTTTTTTCCTCACAGTTTTTTTTTTGCAAAGTTCATATTCTTGCACATAATCTCATAATAATCTGTACAAGAGACAAGTTTTATCTATAAAATTCACAGTATATTTTTTGTAATATTGCTTCTCCCAGAGTGATATAACACAATGTTGCTTTTGACAATTATTTCATGCATGCATCATTTGTGTCTTTTGATTTAATTAATCAAAATGTTGTTATGGATTAAATGTATTCAGTAGTAGCATATTTTGAATAAGTAGTTTGTTTCTATTTTTATTTTATATTGATTATGTTAAATAATATAATATTCATGTAGAAGTGAATTCTAGTTTCCTGGAAGATTTCATCCATTTACAATCCCAAAAATGCTCAATTTGAATTTGAACATTCTCCAGAAATATGCTAAAAAAATCATGAAGGAATTCTATTGTAATTCCTGGAGATTTTCAAAATTCGAGGGTTGTTCAATAAAATGTGAACTTAAAGTGTGCGCCAAAGTTTAAAACTGCGCAGGCGCACCGCTCTCGCTAAACTATATAAAGAGATTACCAGGTACACGATTCAGAGGTAAGCCAGGAAGGCGAACGATCTTCGTCTCGTGATGATTTCCCATATAATCGTAACCAGGGAAGTTTCACCATTGAAATTGAAAATTACTATTAGATATACTTTGTAGATGTTATTTATGAAGCTATTTAGTGTTTGCATCAATCAAATGGCTCATTTTTGTGTTTTGTTTCCCAGGGAATTGTATTGTATGTAGTACACACATAAATAGTGTACATTATACAGTACTTGAATAGCCTGGTTTACATAATATTGAAGGGCATGCTTATTACATGCACACGAGTACATGAATGAAGGCCTAATATTGATATACGTAGCTTGCATACCTAAATAAAAAAAACTCTTCTAATCCCCTAATGTAAACACGGCGGTATACGTAGCCCGATTTATCGGGGACTTTAAGACTTTCAAAATTCGAGGGTTGTTCAATAAAATATGAACTTAACATTCTTAGGTATATGTTGAGGATGAATGCAGATGCAAATGTCCCAATGAAGACCAAGGCTCAAGGTGTAGCACCATTAAGATTTGGAACGAAAAGAAATGTGCGTGTGAATGCCGATCAAAGGAAACGTGCGACGAAGGATTTTTCTTCAATGCTGAAGTCTGCAGGTTAGTTGAATTGTTGTTGTTGTTGATCTCTGATTTTCTTGATGAATGTTGGCAACACATGGGGCTGAGCCTTATGAAAACTGAGTTAAACCTCATGAAAATTGAGTTAAGCCTCATGAAAACTGAGTTAAGCCTCATGAAAATTGAATTAAGCCTCATGAAAATTGAGTTAAGCATCATGAAAACTGAGTTAAGCCTCATGAAAATGAAGTTGAGCCTCATGAAAACTGAGTTAAGGGCTCATGAAAATGTAGTTGAGCAGCCTCAAAAATTTCTAATATAGGCTACAGTATATAAGAGGGAGGGGTGACTTACTCCCTCTGCTCTGCCTAAACATAATCCTAAACATAATCCATATTTGATATTTACTTCAGGTGCCAGCTTCAACCAGTGAGAGGCAGAGGTGGCTTTGACGCCCGTGCCCCAAATACGAATCTCCCTATCCACGATCCATGCGCTTACATCCGTTGTCCTGTAGGATTTGTGGCAATGCGAGAAGGTCCCTCATGTGCCTGTCGCGTAAACCCATGTAACAGAGTGAGATGTGGGGCTGGATTTTCACCAGTACGATCTGGAAACCAATGTTCTTGCCGTGTCACGCAACGACGTAATCCATATGGATCTTATCCCAACTACAGACTGCCCTCCGGAAAATAACTCTCAAAGTATATAATGTTTGTTCAGACAGATAGACTAGGACTTGAAATTATTGAATTTATACATTTTGGATTACATATGGAATTAAGTGCAAACCTGTTGGAAAGTCCCTCCCAAGAGCATTACTGAATGAACATTTCAAACATTTTTGATTTAAAACATTATGATGGTCATATTATGTTAAAGGAAATACAAGGGATAGAGAGGAGATAAGAGTAAGTTTCAAAGATATTGACAAATTCTACAATAAACTGACAAAATTTTACAATAAACTGACACAATTTTACAATATTCTTTCTGCATTTAAAAACCTTTATCAAAAATTACAGTTATAAAATTGAATAAAAGTGAATAAAAATGGGATTGTTAGTGAAACATTGGCAGGAGTTTTGAAGAGATTTGCTTTCAACATTTTATACCCTTTATCCTAATCTTGAATTTCTTTAATTACAACTGGATGGTTTATTGCTTAATATACAATTATAAAATTATCTGTGCCTGATGAATTGATATCTCTATACGCAATAGATATGGTATAATTTGTGACCGTTATACTAAATGTTATTACTGAATGCTACAAGTATTTGACATAATTACCGGTAAATACAAAAATTTAAACAATGATATACAACTTTATGGTAATGTTCAAAATATGGATTGGATTCATTTGACTGAATGATTTTGGTTGAGTTCATGGAAAAGGATGAGAGGATTGGGTATTTACAAATTACGGATTTTCTGAAACAAAATTCCCATATATAATTATTATGTAAGAGTAGTTGGATGGTTCCTTGAATAAACTCCCGGCTTTATGATTAACTCCTGGCTCTAGGATTAACTCCTGGCTCTAGGATTAACTCCTGGCCCTGGGATTAACTCCTGGCTCTAGAATTAACTCCTGGCTCTAGGATTAACTCCAGGCCCTTTGATTAACTCCTGGCCCTATGATTAACCCCTGGCCCTAGGATTAATGCCATAGGACAACCCCCTGGTCTTACAATGATTAATTGTTACATTGTGTATGTCTGTAGTGTGAGATATTAATTAATTTTCTTCTTTTGGGATATTAGGGATTGATTTAACATTTGCCATATTCATGTTTAAAAAATATATGTATGTCAAGATGTCTTGTATACAATACTGAACATTTTTTAGTATTATTTTTCATTTTAAATAAAATGAGTTATATTTTATACACAAATAAAGATGATTCAACAATATTATTTTATTTTTTGTGGCTGCTTTATTTCTTAAATTCATGATACAATGTGATACTGATCTCAGATTAATATCAAAATAACACTCGCCTACAGAGCTCAATCAGTATGCTATTTTCCCTAGTCAAAATCATGTTATCCCCCAAGAATAAACTTCATATTCTGCCTCTTTTCTGAAATAAGCCCTATTTATCAGTCCCTACCAAGTGAGAATATATCCTACTGTACTTCAAGAATAAAATGCACCAGCATGCCAAGTTTTTATGTAAATTTTCAAATCTGCTGCATTGGAAAAACAGCTTGGAATGGGGAAACTACATGCAGAATTATCAGAGCCCTCTATACCTAACACTTGTGAGATATCTCAGGCCCGTAGCCAGGATTTGCCAAGGGGGTTTCACTTTTTGAAAAATTCCAGGGGGGTTCACTTTTGACAATTTTGGTCCAAAAATGGCCAAAATCATTTAAAAGGTGCTTGGAATGGTGAAAAACTGATTTCGAAAGAATTTTTGGCCAGGGGAATGGGGTTCCCCCTGGCTACAGCCTGTATCTACTGTAGTTCTCTTACAGAGAAAGTAAATGCTGTGGAAGTGGAACCAACAATGGAAAAACATGGAGTCGAGTCTATGATGAATTACTCATATAAACAATTTAGGTTATAGCAACCGCTTGATCATGATTGCTACATAGATTTCTATTATATACTAATAATGATAATGCTTACCAAAATTGCCATATTAAATCAGCATTTATCATCTGAGTAAAGTAGTCATCATTTAATTTGGGCTATAATTAATACACTGGTGATCCACTCGATCGATTACGCTGGTTACCGAAATGGTTCGTTTTGGTAACAAAATGTTGGAACATCAAAGGTACGATTTTTCTCTTTTCCTTATTTCACACGTTATAGGCAGAATTCCCACGACATTTTTTAACACAAACGTGTATCAGTATCATATGTTTAAGAAAATGTACATATGTGCGAACAAATAGTTCAGAAGACAACAGAATCGTCGATTTAATTCTTCACTTAAAGTGTCTCACATATTCGATCAAAATTTGCCATGCAAACATGTTAGTCTACTTTACTGGCCCCCATTGCTATAACAAGGAACCCAAAACACATTGAAACGTAAACATAAACCAATTAGTCACTTCACTATGAAAGTGAGGGGTGTACGCTGTGTGCATGGACTAACACAATATCAGTGGTCATTTACTGTGTCAACTTAGTAACCCTTGCATATCGTGCTCACTCAAGTATTGAATAATTTTTTTATGATCTAAATGTTTGTGGTTTATAAAAAAAAGTGATATGTTTTAGTTAGAAATACATTAATTAATATATTCATTCAAACAGCACTAGAATGCGGGAAGAAAGAGCAATGGTGACAAAATGCAGACAGAATTTTCCGTAAGGGTTTCAAACATTTCTAAACACAATCATACATGTACTTCATTTGTACTGTTATTTTTAGTGCTATATTTATAGATATAATTTCACGTATTAAAATCATATTTTCCAGCAATGACTTCAAATTCGGAACCACACCAATATTACATTTTCTTCAATAACTCCAAACATGGGTAAACATTGACCATGTGCATATAAATTCAGATTTCACGAGCTCCTTCCTATTCGAGTACCTCATACACCCCTGCATGGATTTGAGTTGGATTCGCCTTTTATACGTGAGCCGACACACTCGCAAACGCTGATTGGATAAAGATTGCGAGAATCTTTAAGTTACATAAACGGTTTTTCGAAAAACAGTTAAGATCTGCACTTTTAACCGAAACTGTTTATGTAACTTAAGTGAGGAATTAAATCGACGATTCTGTTGTCTTCTGAGCTATTTTTTCGCAAACATGAACATTTTCTAAAACATATGATACTGATACAGGTTTGTGAGAAAAAACGTCTTAGGGATTCTGCCTACAACGCGTGAAATAAGGAAAAAAGAAAAATCGTACCTTCGACGTTCCGAAATTTTGTTACCAAAACGAACCGTTTCGGTAACCAGCATAATTGAGTGGATCACCAGTGTAAAAGATGATATAGCTTGTAGTGGATACACTGTAGTGTTGATTTCATTTTCTCACATCTATTTAATAACTTTGGAGAATTTAAAATTTTAGCTCAATTATACACATATTTGCTATATGGCCTAGTCACATAGCCCGGCCGATGTCCGGCATCGGTAGAGCTCGGTGGATTTTTTTGGTGCCACCGAGCTCTCCTCATCGGAAGCAGAGCTCGGTGACGTGAACGGACTCCGTCCGGACATCTTCAGGCGACCGACCGAACACCGGCCGGTGACCGTACGGAGTCTGTCTCAAAATGGTAGTTTTTTTCTGCCGATGTGGTAGCAACTACCGGCCGGAGGTCGGCCGGACATCGGAAGGAATACGGCCGGTACCCGAGCAGGTAACAGGACACCGTGCGATCGCCGGCCGGGTTGTTAACGGGCTTTGAACAGTGACTGGCCGATGCTCTGTCCCACATCGGCCGGAGCTCGGCCGCTGTCCGTTAAAAAACCTCGTCCTCTGGTTGTCTCAGATGCACGGGACACCGGCCGATACTCCGGCCGACGTGTTTTGCGATGTGGTTACGATGGGGCTGCGATGACATGATGAGGGAGCTCGGTGAGAGCCTGGTGAAATTTAACTCCGAAGTTAAAATTTCACCGAGCTACCACCGATGTGGTTTTAAGCAACAAATGCCACGGATGTCCGGCCGAGTTCGGTGAAAATTGCATCGCTGGCTCATCGTAACCTCATCGGCCGGGCTATGTGACTAGGCCATTAGAAGCCCAGCTTGCGAATTTTAGTTATCCAGTCTCGAACTTTGTTCCTAAAAGCACTTAATCCCCACAAAAAAAAGAAATTCATGAAATATTGATCTTGTAAACCAATATGGGAACTGTATACTGGGAAAAGAAAGGTATATATTTTCATCATTTCTTTATAATTCTAATTTCCTTAGATACAGCACTAGAACATATAGAAAACAGTGGCAGACAAGAAGTCTGGAATAACAAGGCTCTAATACTTGGCAGATCCTTCTGTTTCCAAACCACCATCTTGATTAAAATTCCATATGATAATGCATAAAATTATTATGATTTACCAGTACATGCATTCTCTTTTTGTAATTTTGAACGAATAATTTTTTAATTAATGCCAAAATAAATGAGGCACACTCAGATAGTATCAGGGCGTATTTTTGTGAATGCCCCACTGGTAGATTAGGCCCCCCCTAAGATAGGCCAAGAATAAGTACCTCAATTAGTGGGCATTACTGGGCCTTATTTTTTAAATTTTGGCCCAAATTTTTAAAAAAATGGACCTTAAATTTTCAAAAGGGCTTGAAATTCCCCCCCCCCTGTCCTTTTTAATTTTCAGATATGCCTTATAGATTCTAGTGCCTCAATTAATGGGCCAAATTTTTTTAAAATGGACCTTAAACTTTCAAAAGGGCTTGAAATTCGCCCCCCTCCCCTTTTTAATTTCCAGATATGCCCCTGCCAGCACCCCATGCACTTTACACCTAAAACAATATTTTCAAGTTCCAATGTATGGCATACTGGAAATCTGGGAAACAAATGTGAGTTATTTTGTTTATTTACTTCTAGTCTTAACACTGGAATCCACTAATTGATTGACTGATAATTGGTACAAGTTCAAAACTGTCAATACCCTTTTTAAGAGGGCTAAACTGTTACTACACTCTTAACACATAAGATAAATTTTTAGAAGGTAAGATAAGGTGTAGTTAGTAAAAATATGGTGAGGTCAACTGAGGCAAATGAGGTTATATTAATGTTTTGGGGCATTTGCCTCGCCTGCCTCATGTTACACTCATGGTATATGTAGCAGGGGCGGATCTGGGAAACAACAAGGGGGGGGGGCAAATTTCAGGTGTTATAAAACCATGAACAAATTTTTTGGACCCCTATAACTAAAATGTTGGACCTTTTGAAAATTTGAGGCCTATTCTTTCAAAATTTGGCTTATATTAAAAGATATGGCCATGAAAGGCCCAACAATGGCCAAAAAGGCCCACTTCACGCTTATTTGGCCCAAAATGTTGAATAATTACCATCCTCGGGGGGGGGGGTGGAGGAGCATAGCTCTAGATATCATTCACTGTGTTCCTTTATTTTGGTATGAGTTATGGAGGCTTGTATTCAACTGTTCAATTGATGCTTATTATGTAGGAAATTTTATTTATGTAAAGGGCCAGGATATGCAGCTGAGTAATTTATTTATCTATAAGTCATGAATGTTTATAATTAATCAAGTGATAACTTGTACAACATTGATGTCACCCTTGACAAGAAATTCATTCACTCTTCAAATGACATGATTTGTTGATATACACTCCCCTCCATAAGTTTGGCAACCTTTTTCCCCCATTGAACTACGTGTTAAAGCCTCTTTACGTTTGAATTTTTATTTACTTAACCGGCGATGAAATAACTTATAATATTGATGGAAACTTAACTTGACTTTATTTCCAATACCTCCAAATTTTCTCAATTTTTTCCTCAATTACAATAGGTCGAAAATTGATGATAAATTTGATGAATTTTTGAAAATCATAATTCCCATGTAATCCAATGGGAAATGAAGGGTTCGGGGCAAATCAGAAATCAGGATATCTTTTCAGTAAAAGATTCAGCAAAAAATATTTTTATATAGAAAATTGAATTGTCATTTTTGAAAGTAATTTTTCGCCTCCTGTGTTATTTCAATGGGAGAGGTTTTTTTAAAAACAATTTTGACTTTAAAGCCCTATAACTTTGTTGAACCTGAAGAAACATATCAATTTTTTGTTAAATAAAGTTAGCAAATTCAATTGCCTGCCTAACTCGTATTTTTTGCAAGGACTCAAATGGATGGATATTCTGTCATATGACTTGCAGCAAACCTACCATTTCCCATTGGTTAACATGGGAATGTCGATTTTCAAAAATTCATCAAATTTATCATCAATTTTCGACCTATTGTAATTGAGGAAAAAAATTGAGAAAATTTGGAGCTATTGGAATTAAAGTCAAATTACGTTTCCATCAATAGTATAAGTATTTTCATAGCAGGTTAAGTAAATAAAAAATTCAAAGGTAAAGAGGCTTTAACACGTATTTCAATGGGGGAAAAAAGGTTGCCAAACTTATGGAGGGGAGTGTAGCCATACATCCAATCAGAATAGGCAATATGAAAAGCATAACATTATGGCTTCAGCCTTCAAGTACCTAATATTCATTTAAACTCTCATAAAATACCATGAAAGGTACATTTTAGGTGCCTATTTGAAATAGTGGGGAAGATTTAAATCTTCTTCCTGGGCCTGTGCCAAAAAGTATTATACCAACGGCAACTGTATGTACGTTGTCTCTGGTACTGCACTTTTCTAAATAGTTACCGAAATGGATACGTATCAGGAGATAGATTAATAGATTCAACACTGCTGCCATCTTAAATTGACCCAAAATATATGCTATTCATAGACATGTGCAAGGTACATTGTAGTTAAGAGAAGTTTAAATAAACAGATTGATTGCCCCCACCTCTATTATTTATAGATTGTTATCAAAATATGGTATCTGAATTTTGCCTCCTGAAGGACATCACATCATATGACCATACCTATGTGACATCACAATTTTTTAATTGTTTTAAAAGTTTGTGTATACACAAAATCATAGATTGAATGATTAATATAACTTTTACCTGATCTTTTCAGTGGGTTGTAAAAAGAATGTGTTTTACCCTAGTGTTAAGGATGATCTAAAAATGTAAATGTTTCTTTCAAAAATGACGGGATATTAACAATTTATTTTCAAAAGTCACATTTTGAAAATAGTCATGAAAAGTAAATAATGAATGATTATAATTATTTTTAAACTTTGCACGGGGGCGTTAGCCTATGGAGGTCCCATCCTGTGTGCCATTTGTGTATATGGGGCCTAACTCTATGGAGGTCCTACCTTCAGACCTTGCCCTATTGGTTTTATGTTAGGCTTTATGATAGAGGTGAGGCAACAAAAAAATATTAAAAATAAATAGAAGTCATTGGATTATAAGTTCTATCACATTTCTTTGTATTTTTTATTTTCATTTGAATAAATAGGACATACAAGGGGCGATCCATATATTCTGATAAAAAAGCTCTCATTTTGTGATTTTTTCACATATCCCTCTCATTTTTTCAGAAAATGTAGATTATGTAATTACACATACAATGCTAAAATATTATAGCTATATCTTAAATTATCAATGAGATAAGGCTGTCATGGTAACCTGGATTAAGGGTAGGCAGGTCAATTTAATTATAACATATAAATATCAAAATAACTTGTCATTTTAATTATTTTAAAGCATGCGGAAATCATGCATTTTTTTCTAAAAAGGTTTGGTATTGTTACTTGTTGTTTGTTGCTAAACAAATGTTTATATGTGCTCACTATAACATCACAACAAATCACAATAGCATTATAGGACAGAATGAGCCAATTGACATTACATGTTATGAGACACACCAAAAATCAAATTGTCAGATTAGGTTAATGTGGCTGATGCAAAGTGTCACATTAACGGATACATTAGGGAATACCATTAGATTTGATTTTCTTTCAAGAATAAGTAAGAGGACACTGTCAGAGACATACATGGACTCATAAAGTGCATGGGCAAGGTGTTATATCTGCATAAAGAATATATAGGTAGTATTGTAAAGAGGAAAGCATGGTCACTGTTGAAGATCATCCGCAATCTGGTTGCAAGAGGAGCTTGCGGACAGAGAATAACACTACGATAAATTGAGAAGTTACTTATGAAAAGATAGCTATCCCACTGTATAAATTATCAAACAAGGGCAACAGGGGTATGGAACAGATCAACGAATAGTTGACAATGACTGGAAGATGCGTTTGATCTGCTTAAAATAGGTACCGAGGAATGATTAAATTAACATATTTATCTATTTTAGACGTTATAATTTAACTGACCTGCCTACCCTAAATACAGGTTACCATGGCAACCTTATTTCAAAATTAATTTAAGATACAGCTAAAATATTTTAGCATCGTATGTGTAATTACATAATCTACATGTTCTGAAAAAATGAAAAGGATATGTGAAAAAATCACAAAATGAGAGCATTTTTATCAGAATATATGGATCGCCCCTTGTATAATTTATATAATACAAGATAGATATATCATAATTATTTGTCCTTATAATTGTTAAATATACTTTACATTAATTTACACTTTCTATAAGCTATGTTCAAATATACAACACTAAAATTATGTACACCTCTTCTAATATAATACACTATTTGATCATGTAAAGTTTTTAATATACAATCTACATTTTTTGCAACATTCTCAAGTTAACTTTTTGCTCTTAGGCTCCAGTTGGGCATTCCAATAGCACAAATAAATAAAATCTACAATTTTACCTGATGAATTACAGTTTTCCCTGAATTGTAAGGCCATTGTAGATATTAAGATATTATAAACAATATATTAAAAAATGACTTTATTATTCAATTATATCAAATATCAAAAAAACTTCATTCTCCAAGTCAAGGACTTCTAAGATATAACATAGTGGTGATGAAATTTAGAATCCATGCACCTGGAGAAGTTAAACTATGCACTCTCCAAACCCAGAATACCAAATCTGATCCACAGAAAAGTGTTGATGGAACCCAAAAGTCTTGCACTTGGAGAATGTTTATAACTTACGCCTTATAAATTTTATTACAACTGCAATTTTTGAGTAACATAGAGTTTTTGACTTAATGCCTGTCACAAATTCTTCTTAATATTTATGTACCTTCCAGATTAAAGTCTGCATATGGTCTTATAGTTAGCATACTCTTCATATTAGACCATGGTCTTTACTCTTTATAGATGAAGTACATAAACTGCAATGCAATTGCCATTGTACAAATAGCACCATAGCAACGATTGGAACACAAGTTAATTGCATAAAATGTCATTGTAGCACCAAAACACTTTGTAACAATAACTAGTAGAATTGCATCTATATTTAAAAGTACACATATCAACTTTAACCTCAACAAAATGTTGAAATTAACGAATTTTCGATGTATTCATACATCTTCATCAGGTAAATGATGGTAATGGTAATGTAATGGATGAATGAATGTATGAATATATCGAAAATTCGTAAATCTCAACATTTTGTTTTGTTTTTAACACTTAACTTTAACCTATACATTTTAGGAGGTTGGGCCTATGGCTAACTTTTAAGAAATCATGCTATAAGAATCTACATTGATATATGTGTGGCCTAATTCTGCAAAGAACTGTCCAATACTCTAGTACAACATAATATACTAGATAGTACAGTAAAACGTGCATTCTACGGAATGCTCTCTGTACTGGCCAAAACTGACAGAGATGGATAAGTCAATGAGTCTTGGGCAATAGGTAGCTGTATTATTTCATAAAATTAGGCCACAAAATAGAATCTTGTTTCACCGCCTGGAATCAATGCCAGAATTTGGCTTCATAAAATAAATAAATGCAAATACTGTATTTGATTTGACTAAAACGCACCAATAAAATACTGTCACTATTTGGGTTATATGTATGAATGAAATATATACAATACATGTAAAATTGAACAATCTTAAGATTATATCTTGAAAATATTGTAAACCACAATTTCAATTGTATTCTATGATCTGCCTATGTAACTATTACTATAGCAACATCGAAACAAATAAGTGTAGTGTGATTTATGATATTTTCAAGAGATACACCTCTATGCTATGATAAATATTTTAAATAATCTTCTAAAACACTTGTATCACATTCACTCCAGAAATACGGTCCCTGAGCTCACGTTTGTCTAGACGAAATCGATGATGCACTGCTGTTCCAAGCGTTCAGCTCAGTGTTGTCATCCTACGATTTCTGGATTTCATAAGCCTATAATCAGCGTAGTACTGGTATCTCTTCACATTCACAATATAAAATTCAAATATTTTAATATCATACGATCACTGCATACATAAATTCAGTTATTGGATAAACATTGAAATTTGTGCTTTTTCACACAATCAAGATCGTTAACTGCAGTCCAGGTTAGGTCATTGAATTCACACCACCATTGCAATTACGTGAACTGCAGTTATCGGTATTGAAGTGCAGCCAGGTGCCATTAGAGCGAAAACACTTTAGCTACCTTAACACTATATGCACAAATTCTCACTCTTTTATTAAAAACAATAATACCTGCCCTTCACATATTAAAAACTGAACTAAAATATTTGTAAAATTGTACTAGCTGGTACCATGTGAGCAGATTTTGAGATTTTTAAAATTCAGATTCGTCTCCAGGCACTTGTCAATTATTGGACACTGATCGGTGGCACTTCCACATTCAATTATGGGCATGCAAGAATTTGTGGAACGGACTGGCACAGATGGCACTGTGGTCGGACTGTCACTATTTCCTGAGTGTTTCACTGGTGTAGTGTAGAAATAGAATTTTCCTGACGAAAGGTTGGGATCGTTCGGTGAACCTTCTAGGGAATTGCTGCAGTTATCACTGAAAATAAAATAATAAATATTGAAAGGACTATTCTCGGTTTGGAGAACAGTCTCCTGGGCTAATATTTTTTTCATGAAAAATATAGAAATATTACCCAAATTAAACTATGAATATTCAAAAGAGGACATTTAAATCTACAAGATGTAAAAATAACAAATTGGTCTGAAGCAGGGATAATGCTCAATTAGACTGATTCAATAAAATACAAGTCTCGATTTGGGGAAAGAAGTTCATCAGTGTACTGCGCTAATATTTTTTTGCGAAAAATCAAGAACTATTACCCAAATTAAATTATGATTTTTCAAAAGAAGACATTCAAATCTATATTATGTAAGAAAATCAAATTTGACCGAAGCAGGGATAATGCTCATTTAGATTGATGAACTTCTTCTCCAAACCGAGAATCGTCCTTTGACCAAAATCATAATGTTACAATTTGCATAACTGTCACAATCATTTGAAAAATTGAGGACCTTCGTTCATGAAACAACACAAAAACTCAATTTCAATATTAACATTATTTGCATTCCTGCATGGCTGCTACACATTCATCATCATAAAACAGATGTGGAATAAAAATCTTTATTTCGTTATTTGTTTTGATTCAGAGTTTTGTTGTTTGTTTTCATTTCCTATTTTGTGATTATCTGCTGCATAACAGCCAGTTTTCAAAATGATGTAAACATCGCAAATTCGAAACACATTTTGTTTTTATTTGTTGAAAAAAGTTGGAAGACAGATATTTTCAGATTTTATTGATTTAAGAGACATCTACTACTGGTTTTATTTTATATTTAGTTTCTAATTCCAAAAGTGGTGTTGAGAAAAAACATCATGACAAAATTCTTACTCTGAAGATTCTGAGTCCGAGACATCTGCATCATCTGCACTGTCATCTGACTCCTCAATAGGTGACAGCACTGTATAGACTTTCTTACTCGGATTCAGCAGCATTAACATTTTGCGGGACACGGTCCAGATTAGCTGCGGACGTGGCTGCTGCTTTGACTGCGTGTAATGGAGGACGGAATATTCTAGAATCATATCACGACACTGCACAAACTCACAGTCTGTTACCTGAAATAAGATAATACATGTAAAACATTGATGTGACAAATTGTCTTACTGGCTGTACTTACAAAAGTACAGTCAGTGAAACTCCAGAGTGGAACACCCCTGTTAGTAGTTTTTAATCCTTTTTAAGAGAGGACATAAAACAACCCTTGCCACTGACTGTTAATGTTATGAACCTCTATAATTGAAACACATTTTAGAGGTACCAACAGTGTTCTACTTAGACACCTTATACTGTATAACCATTTTTGAGACTGACATCAAATGCCAGTCTCAATTTCTTGACAGTGAAATAGTTTAAAGTAAACATTGATCAATTCCCAGTGAACATCCATTTTTCATTTCCAACCTATTATATAGATGTCAGATATTTCTTAACATTACTTTTACGAGACTAGTTCACTGTAAATATCAATAGGAAAATGAACTTTTTGCAGCTATTTTAATTTATACTGTATTTTTGCTGGTTGTTTTTTCCATTCGCCCTTTGTCAGAAATTCGAATAAAAACCCCTGGGAATCATCCTCCAGGCACAGGTCTACAGAACTGTATCTTCAAGCCCTGCGATCGGAGGATGAGAATGAATACCATTATTTATAATTACCTTGCAATGTGTCTGTAGATCAAAAATAAAGTTAATTACGTCCATCACATCTTTAGGCATACTCTCTTGGAGGGCATGAGCTAACAGGGCGAGGGCAAGTCCAGCAGGCTGAAGAGAAAAAAGAAAAATTAGTAATGACAACTCAAATACTAGATGTAATTTTACTTAATTAAAGCACTGTCATGTTATCTGGATATGTTATAAATCAAGCTATCAGAGCAATTTTACATTTTGTATTTAAAATGGTAATTCCAAAGACATTAATTGAAAGAGGGCAGCACCTCCTTATGCTTGGTGTGTTTTACAAATTGAGAATGATATTTCACAGAATTAGTGTAAAAATATTTGTGGTTCAATTACAGGTTTGAAAATTAAAAACTGAATGTAGCAAAACTGTTAAATTTAGCGCCTTAAAATCGAGTCTATCAATATAAAAATAAAAAATAAAAAAATTATTCATTATTTGCAGCTTACCGAGAATTCTGAGAAGGTCATGTGGCACATTAAAATATCCATTTGAATGGTTAGCTTCTCAATATTGAGGACTTCCATATTAGGAAATTGTCGCTGTAGTATTGCACAGAAATATTCGAGGAAGTGTGTCGCAGTGACGGAACACAGGTCCCAGTTTAGTTTGTTCAGAATGAGGCGTTCCATACGGACAAGGTCGGACACTGTGCAGTTACACTGGTTGTACATTAGGAGTTCCGAAATACAAGGAATATCCTGAAAAGCAAAGAAATGGTTAAAAGGGATTCATAGAATATGCGACATGATATATTGGATCATGAATTTTCTCCAAAAATAAGATTGCACTTTGTGTAAATTATGAAGGTTAATGCTATAAATAATCTGAATTGTCTGTTAGGTTTATTCAAGTAAGCTACCATCGGGATTAGCAGACCAAATAGCAAGCCTGTAGCCAGAGAACCCCCTGACCAAAATTTCTTTAAAAACCATGCAGTGTTAAACCGTTTTGAGCACTTTTCAAGTGAATTTGGACTAAGATTGTCAAATTCAAAACTGAACCCCCTTTGGCGAAAGCTGGCTAAGGCCCTGAATTACATATGTCCAAAAAGATAATAATAAGGTTTAAGATAATCTTCAGTGGTGCTTTGGTACATTGTACAATTGCTATTGTGGGATCCCAAGCCTGTACTATCCATTTCCACAGGGTTTTTCTCAAGTGGGTGCAAAATATGCCCATTTTTAAATTTTCAAGTGGGTGCAGATGGATTCTCAGGTGGGTGCAAGCCTATTATCAAAACCTAAGGTTGGTGCTGCACCCACTTGCTTTTATGCTGGGGAGATCACTGACTGGGATATTACTGATGAATCAGAATGCAATATGCTAAATGGAGGGTGATAATAAATAGGAGGTGATAACAACCTTTTTCAACTATTGGTCTCCCAAGTTGCTAAATACACATTATCACTCTTCCCTATCTCGTGACCACATTACAAAGGGATACAGGCTACAACAGGCCCGTAGCTAGGATTTGCCAAGGGGGGTTCTCTTTTTGAAAATTTCCAGGGGGGTTCACTTGTGACAATTTTGGTCCAAAAATGGCCAAAATCACTTAAAAGTGCTAAGAATGGTGAAAAACTGCATGTTTTTTAAAGATTTATTGGCCAAGGGGAGGGGGGGTTGGCTCAAACCCATTGAATCCCCCCCCCCCTGGCTATGGGCCTGGGCTACAGTGAAGTTGCAAATGAAGGGGTATTCTCTATTTTTGACAATAGAGCTCTTCTGGTAATAATACACTGCAAACTACTCGATGAATGAATAATATGGATAGCATAACACTAGGAAGATATGTGAAATCTAGTTTACCTTCAGAAATATTGAAACAAACGTCTTCCATTTGAAACTTAACTGTAGCCTGTATCCCTTTTAAACATGGTAACGTGGTAGGGTAGAGTGAGTATTACAAATTCAAAGGCTAATATGCATACACTGTACATCATACTGTACTAATGTCTAGAATGTGTATATCTTACTGGATACCTGAATTCTAAATATATACACTTACACAACATGTTAATTAGGATTCTCACCTGGATAGGAAGGCAAACTGTTAACTCACAGTTAGAGAAAGTATTCATGGAGTTATTACTACACCACCATGAATATCATAAACCTATTTTCTTACTAGCCATAATGTGCTCACTTTGTGTCATGTAGTTACTGGATTAGCCGTTTGTCTTCATAAAAATGTAATTTTTCAAAGAGGAAATAATCTCCAAGAAGAGTCAAACTGTCAAAGCCACTTGATACTTAAATCAACTATGCCATCCTTTAAGTTATTATTAGCAGGCCCATAGCCAGGATTTGCCAAGAGGGAGTTTCACTTTTTAAAAAGGAGGGAGGGGGGGAGTTTGCTTTTGACAACTTTGGCCCAAAAGTAGCCAAAATCACTTGAAACGGTGAAAAACTGCAATTGAAACAAATGAACTCGGGTCAAGCACTATACTACATATAATCGAGGTAGTCAGATTTTTCAGAATCTCTAAAAACAATTTGACCATCTAAATAAATATGGTTTAGTAAGAGAGGGAAAACGGAGGGTTAGAACAAGAAGAGTGGACAAGAATAGTGGACTTTGATGATCTTGTCTTACCTCACTTTCTTCCATTGTTTTCACGGCAATGTAGTAACAGGTAGTTGCGATACATGGTAGATACTTCACATGTGCCTGCAAGTATATAATACATATTTTTAAGTATCTTTAAAAACTTTTTCAATACTTACAAAGTTTCATTTGCATAATCAAATTGGTTTTTCTATCATGTTGATACAATGGAAAAATATGTTGTATGTTTTGTGAGAAGGTTGAGATTTTATAAACAATATTTTACTTGGACCTTGTTCAATGTTTACATGATGTTATGTAATAGCACTCTAATATAAATGGCCTTGACTTATGAGATACAGAATGGCACTTAAAGTGATTTGATAGATTATATTTAACCTCAGAGATTCTATAGGTACCTGAAAAAGCAGGAAATTTTCTTAAGTTGTTTTACCAAAATTGAATAATTGCAACAATATTTCCAATTTTTTACTCGTCATTTTCAAAAAAATCAAATTAAGGTGAGGCAATGACCTCGCCTGCCTCAAATCAATACAATACATAACAATGTACTTTTATTTACATGAATAAATTGTGTGGTCATTACATGATTCACTTTTGCCCATCTTATCAGTGCAGAGAGTTAATCCAGTTTAGTATATAACTCCATTTGACAGCTGTAGCTTAATATAGCAAGTAAATACTTCAAATCACCACAGGTAAATCTGCTACCCTTGCAGATTTTCTTGATAGACTTTTTGGCTTTTTTCAATATATATAAAAGTGTTTTAAAATCCAAACACAATTTTGCAAAACTTACAATCATATACTGTAATTTTAAATCATTTTAACTGGACTTCTCTTTTTTAAGAAAAATTGATAAAATAATGTTTTTAAACTAAGGGTCAACACTCTGACCCGCTGTCAGTCAGCTGGTCAAATGAGGAAGTCAAAATGTAAATCATATATTTGTGCGTTTAGTATGTATAACATCCATATTATGCATAATGTAAATACAAGCAAAACAAAGAAAGAGAAAGCCTTAAATATGAAACAAAAGAAAGAGAAAGCCTTACATTTGAAACGAAAGAAAGAGAAAGCCTCCCAGGGAAAGCATCCAAAACAAAAGTAGAAAAATACTAGAATTAAATATGCCCCCCCCCCTCTCCCTTCACCAGTCTCCTATCTCAGTAGGTATTAATAGCAAATACATGTACATATATTATGTAATTATGTTAAGTACGTTTTAGTGTATCAGATTATAACATCATATCAAACTGTGATTCTAATTAGGTTTTATGAAACAAAATGAAAAGTTGTAATCAAGAAAGAAAATATCACCATTTCCAGGCTTGTATTCTAATATTTACATTTCACATTTAGTAAATTGGATTTCTAATTTTCTCACTTATGATTGTAAATATTTAATAATTAGGTTGATTTGGAATGTGAATTTGTAATCAATGGAAGCAGGTGATAGGGCTTAAAGTTAAGGCATGCCTTTCTGATTAATCACAAAGTAATATTTAGATATTATTTGTTAATTTTTAATTACTTTCTGCTTCAATCTTTGAGATTAATTAACAACTTTAACATCATAATGTACATGAGGTCAGGATGAAGCCAAGTCACAGATATTTATTTCTTATTCTACCTCATCACTGATTTTCGTAATTTTTGTTGCCCCCCCCCCCCTTCAAAATTGATATTCATGAAAAACTAAAGATTTCAAGCAATTTTTCAAAATTTAGAGCCTAAAAAATTGAAATCCACCCTCATGAAAGCTGACATTGGCAATTGTAAAATCATACCTATGCAATGAATTGAGGGTTACCTTGAGTTTAGAATCTATTATATTTGGGCATTACCAACCATAAACTACAAAATGTATATCCCTGCTGATTTCAAGGGTGAAACAGTTACACATTGGACTCAGCTGTTACCAGGTTAGGATGTTGTCCTGGTATGACCATGGCAACCAGGGGGCATCTCAAGAAAAAGTTAATTTGGATGTACAGTTTTGCTATATATTCTTGATTAAATCCATCTCTGAATGTATTGACGAATTCACCTAATAAATGTATTAACTGTTTGGGGTTATAGTGGGAGGTCACGTGGATACTACACTCAATGTTGGTACTTTTCAGGGGTTCTCAACTTTTGATACCACCCCTGTATTAAACATTAATATGCCTCAAAAAACAGAGCAAATGTTTTTTAACTTTGACCTGAAAATGGTTTTCTAAGGCTAAAAATGATTCAAAATAACCCCTTCTAACAATTTTTTACTGTTAAACACAACTTCTTCAAGCAATAATACAGCTAATTTCAAAGACATTTCTTCAGTCTAAAAACTCAATGAAAACCAGTCTTAATGGACCAAAATGTCCTTCAACAGCTCAAAGGTTAGAGTTGCTCAGTTGTTAATCATTTATATCACTGATAAAATCAGAAGAGCATGAGCAATATGGTATTTAATGTACCAATATGATGTTAATATAATAGATAAGGTTGGAAACAAATTGTCCTGCATACCAGCATACACAACGGGACACCTGGGGTCATATATGGATTCCAATTAGAATTCTAACAAGAAATTCAAAGCCAATCAGCCTTATGCTACATTTGCTACTCTATCTACAAGCCCTTTTAACCCCCTCCATCCATACACACAATCTCCCTATTGTTGAAGTAGATATGGGGGGGGGTCTTGAAGCAAGACTTTAATTTGCTAAAGTCTAACTTTAACACGTTGTTACCTCCCAGCACATAAGTACTTCAAGTAGATTTAACATATAAGAGAAGGGTATACAGAGATTTTATGTTTAGACCCATCATCCTCCATTGGGAAAGTAAAACAGGCGAAGGGGGGGGGGGATGCTTAATAAACTGAATGTACAAACCATAAAAGCTATCACTCAGCTTCAGAGAATCTTAAGATGAAAATTGTTGTTTTTAGGTGAATTGCTGGTTGGAAAATGGCAAATATGATAAATGTAGAAACAACAAATGCTGACACCTTCACCCAGAACTCAAGGCCACTTTTGAATCAAAATGGTAAAAACTAAAAAATGAGCGTTTCTGAAGTTCTACTACGATTTTTATAACCCTTTCATTACCTTACAAAGTGGTAAATACCTTAATTTTGCAGAGGAATCGGTCCAAGATGTTAACTGCCATTGCAAATGTGTGCGCTCCAAAGCCATAATACACGTGTAGGAATCTGAGGTTGCTAACGACCGCATCACGATGCTTGCTGCAGATCTTTGCAGGGTCCTGTTACAAATATAAATAAATATCAGATTAGAATTAAGGAGAAGGGTGTAGGCAATCGACAAAATGGACTCTCAGTTTAGGCTTACTCGAGTCTCTAGCCAATACTTGGCTAGAGGGGATTCATCTGGAATACTGTGAACTCTATTTGAAAAAAGCTGCCGGGGTGTCATAAATTTATTGAATATTTTAAAAATCGCCAGATAAATAAATCATTTATCAAACCGGACCCAGCTCGGCTCCTTGATGAGATATGACATGATTTCATCAGGATTTCGTGTAAAATTAAAACAAAATGGCTCCAAGAAAAATGGCGATGTTCGAAAACTGGACGAAATGTCGTTACGTCTGACATTAGTAACTGGCTGTAAATTCTAAGTTAGCGATCCAGAAGATGTGAACTAATACACTGATCACTTTGTGTGTGTTTTGGAATTTTTGGTGAGGTAATAAGACCAAAACTCGCAATTCAAATTGTGATGTGGAAAAATGGCGGACATATGATTTCAAATTTTATGATTACGACATGACCAGTTGTTCATGCAGGAATATATCTGTACTGGAAGGCCACGATACAGTGGCCTTAGAAGAAGGTAAGTTTAGGCAGACTTGCCAGTAGACCTTCAAGGCTTTAGGCTCTGGTACGACTCCAAACTCCGACAGAACTCAACAGAGCCAGGCCAGCCCACTCTACCCTCAAGAAATATTTTCATCATGATCTATATGGGATCAAAATCTGCCCAAGTTTGAAAAATATTATTATCTTCTTACCATAGTTTGTCCTTTCCCCTGAGAAAGTGGCAAAAGGGCTGAAAGTTTCGGGTGGAATTTTGGCCATTTTTCAAGCGCCTCATTCAACAGATTCCACACTTTGTTGGACTTGTTCAGATGTGCCTAGAAAAATTAATATCAGACTGTTAAATAGAATATAAAACTTGAATGCAACAATGGAGAATAAAATAAGAACAATGAGAAAATATGAAATTCTGAAAATGGCAGAAGTTCAGTTCTGCAGACAAAAGGAATCCAGGTCAAGGAAATCAATATCATTAGAATCAATTTTCTCTGCCATCACACAATCTCTATCCATAATAAACATATATATGAGTAGAGAATGAAAATATTAACATTCTACTTTGATTTTTAATGCTCGATGGGAAGTGTGAGTAGTATTTCGAAATAATTTTTGTAGAAAAATTTTGACAAGCCACCGCCCAAATTCAAAATGGCCAAGTTTATTTGTAAAAATATCTCACCAAAATAGAGGCATATTCTGGCTCCGCTTGCACACTTTTGCACTCCATTCCCTCTGCAAACTCTGCCTTGGAGATCCAACTTCCACCTGCACATACATTCCTTCGAAATAATCTAGATAAGTGCCATTTTCAGAAGTATTAGGACAGAGCTAAAAATCCAACCAGCTGACGCTTCTTTGTATACAAACACTGAACTGACAGTTCATACATTGCGCCAAGAATTTTCATGTTTCGATGGCTTTCATTGGTCAAGAAATCATGACGTCATTTGCTACGCGTATCTTCATTGGTTGAATGTATTAATGAACCGGGGGAGTTACTCTATTTAGGTCATTCATTTGACAGTTGGCACTTAAAAAAACAAAGGGCAACATTAATTGTTTTTCTTGCTTGGTTTATTTACAGTAATTGATCCTTTCAAGTTATATTTTTTTAATATCTTGGCAGCAAATATCAAAACTTGATATAAACTCACATAAAATTGTGGTTTAGTATTCCACATTACAAAATATAAAAACAAAACAGGCAGACAAACTGGGATAAAGCTAAATAAAATCTGTAAAGCTGTTCTATACCCATTAGCGTGCATCGTCAATTTCTTGCAGATTTCTTCACTCCACCCCCTTTGGTTGCCCCCCGGGTGTCCCTCAAAAAGAACTTGACCCTACTGTACTACAATCTACCTCTCCCCACATAAATTCGGCAATAGGGTGATAAACTGGCATTGCTGGGCACTATTTTTAATTTGCCATGGGGTAGATATTGAAGAATCTAGGGGTCCAAAGCCTAGGGCCCAAAATTCAGTGCTGAAGTGTACAATCCAGAGTGTACTCTGTTTAACAAATAAATCTGGGGCATTTTGATCGCGGGAGGGTTTTTTAGTTGTTATATTCTGGAATGTTCTGGCATTCGTACATGGACTCAGGTATATTATCTGGTAAGAGTGTCTCCCCCCAACATGGTTATGCATCTAATTAACCTTGGTAACTAATCACGCACCTGCCAGAAAATAGTTCTATTGATTTTGTTCTATTTGTATTTTTGATATGATTTAATAAAACACAGTCATTTAAAAATGTAACGAATTGTCAATATTGACACACAAATAACAATGAGAGATGATTAAAAAACAACATAAAAGTGATAAACACAATATTGTTTATTATAAAAATAGTCCTTTAAAGGACGCGGATTAATTTAAAACATAAAGATAGTGACCGCAGTGTCAAAAATAAACACTGCAATCCTGCTTATTTTTTCCTTTTTTCTTCTATTTGTTTGAGCAAACACACAAAATGGATACATTGGTACAGTAAGGAGTCGTTCGGGAACGTTTATGGGCCACCAGACGGCTTCCAGCAACAGTCTAGACCGTGTAAACGGGGAGGTAAGGAGATACATGAAAATGTCAAATCGTATTCAGAAGTGGGTCAATCTCCATGGCCTTCAATTTCACAAATTTTATCAACATTTTAGTGTCAGTTTCTGTCTAAATCAAATCACTTAGGAAACACAATTTTGTCACATACTATGGTTCATTATATGTGAAGTATCAAGAGCTTAAAAATATATGATTATATGACCCAAATTTAGTATATAATCTATGATCAAAAATACTAGGCTACTCCGTTTGGGTTGTAAAAATATTCCAGTTGATCAGTGTAAATCCTTGAATTGGATTTGCCTGGGCCAAAAATATTGTTCAAATATACAATGAGTTCTTCCTTTTCGAAACCACAGCAGTTCTGGTAGGACCTATTCTAATTCAGTGATAGATCTAATCAAATAATGTCTTGATTACCTTATATTTAGGCTATGTAATTCACAAGGAAATAAAATACAAAATTTTTTGACGTAAACATTGGCCTAAATATGGATCATCAACCTTGTCCCGAATATCCTTATTTGGCTGGTCGAAAGAATTTTTGTTTCTTAATTGATCTCAACAACTATTCGCATATTTTTCAAAGGCAACAAGGTGTTTGTTTATAGTCGTGTACATAATTGTCGTAATAAGAAATACATTATTGTTGTGAAATCCATCGCCACAGATTGGAACTCGACAATTAGCATGTAGGGAATTTCCTATTTATTGTGGGTTTTGTCGTCATCATTCCTTGAGTCATATATAAGGAATTGCTCATTCAAACTAAAAAAATGAAACTATAATATTTAAAGAAATATGACTGAAATTTTAAGTTTTTTAATGCTAATTCATTTACATTTACATATTAATTTAACCTGTGTTGAAATACATTATTGATTGTTAATGTACTGAGTTCACAGTATTGCAAATGTAAGCAAGATCTTGACAAATGATCATATGTACTGTTTTTATTACATATGTTCTGTTCATTTATTGTGAAATATTGTACAGTTTCATATCTCATGCAATACTATGTAAATTTTTGACATTTCGGTTTACTTCTGTCTCATGCAATCTTAAGAAATTCCTGATTCTTGAATAAGTTCCAATTTTAGGAAACATCGACTAAATCATTCCACATATCAGACAAACATGTTTATAATAAGTTATAAAAGGAATTTGTTTACAAATATGATATGAACAAAAAATATCTAACATTTTACAAAATACAGTTGATGTTTTTTAAAATGAAGAAATTGTCTTGATGACTCTAACGAGTGGATGGAGCTTTTTTTAAAAGAACAAGATCACTCTAATATTAATAAGATAGAAAAAATTATTGACAAAATTTTCTTTTTTACCAGCGACAAGTGGGGACTCGTGGATTGGCTTGTATAAAGAACTACAGCCATGAGGTTGCACAGTGGAGTAGATAACACCCAGTTGATGGTGATGCTCCAAGATGCTTTAGTGAAAGAGACACAAATATGGAAGCCTTTACAGTATGAACCTGTTAAGAATAAGGTCAGTATATAGTCATTTACAACCAGATTTTAGCCTGTTTTACCCCCACCCACTTTTTCAACATAGAACAACTTGGATATACTGTAATATAAGGGGGATTTGAGATATTTGATTCAACATTGGCATCTGTACCAAATGGGGGTGGAGGGGGGGGGGTTGTCGTGTACCTTATTGGTAAGAGTCATTGGCCTGACCTGCCTTTTTATATAACACCATGTTAAGAATTTTGTATCGTTGATTCCAGATATAAATATGACAAGGTTTGTGTCCTAAAATTGAACTGCAGTTGACCCTCAATCATGTAATAAAACAAGAAGATGCCAAATTGGATATCTAACTTTTGTAATGTCCTCAATAAACCCTTACCACCATTTATGTATATATTTTTATGCCGGTAATCTTTGTCAGATCGTCTTTCTGTCCGTCTATCTGTCTGTCTGAATAGTGGTAGCATGTTTCTAAAACCTCCATTGATAGACTTTTTGGATCAAAAAGCACTTTTAATAAAATTGGAGATTTTTCAAAGACTTGTAGTAAAGTTCAATGTTTTAACATATTTGTCTTAAGTGATATTAATTCTAAATTGGTTATAATTTGTGTATAAAACCACCATTACGCAATTTTATCAAAATCAATCTACCACTTATATTTTAGGAAATTACATCATATTCTGACTATTCACTTATCAAAATAATAAGGCCAAAATCTTAACTAAGTCCACAAGATAAATTGACAGCACTTCAATTGTTTATCTATATTTGAACCTCTTTGACTTGAGATAATATTTCATTGTTTATCATTTTACTTCCTCAATATACAATATTTTGAATTAAAACCTATTGTAAGTAGTAAAGACAAACCAATTATACTCATTAAAAACAATTTGCTTAAATTGAATGAACAATATCAGAGTTAGAACCATTTTGATGAAATTTTTTACGACAAGTTTTCTTATGTCACTTGGGCATTCAAGAGTTAAACAAATAGTACCCTGGTCAACTGTTAAATATTAATTAAAGGTACATGTACATGTAGATAGGACTTGCCTAAGAGCACCTGTAGCTGGCAGGTTTAAACATCTGTACATGAACATGACGTCTCATTAGCATATATAAACAACCCTGAAATGTTAATTTATATTTTTAGACATCTATCTTAATCTCGCGTCATATTCAGTAGTTATTAATTAGTGACATCAGACAGATTTCTTCTGTCAGTTTCTATCTTATATCATCTCAGTATACTAGTCGAACAATAAATAAAAAATGGGCTTCAGATTTTATAATGGGTTTACCACTATCTTCAGTAAGTTATATCATCCCTCAATATTTAGAGGTTATGTCACTATGACGTGAAATATGCCTGAGTTCTCCCAATATAGGCCGACCTTGGGAGGCTCTATATTTGGGCAAGAACGAAGGCATATTTCACGTCATAGTGACATAACTGATGTATTACATGCCTTTGTTCCCATGGTTACTTTGTATCAATGACGTGACGTCATGATATTATCATGGTTATTAAAGAAATCTAATATCAAAACGAGGTAAGCGGGCTATATCGGGGTAATCGGGCAATATCGGTGGATATAGCTCGCTAACTTTCCCATTGACTTCCATACAAATGCTTCGCTAGGTATGTAATACAATCCTGTATATAATCCCTTCCCTTGAATAACATATTTATCTCTTACAGGATGTGGAAATTGGCTCAGAGGAGCGAGACGAGGCCACTAGATGGCTTGGAAGGTTAACAGAACAGTTCCACATGCACCCAGAGACAATGGCCCTGGCGGTCACAGTGCTCGACAGGTTCTTGCATTCAGTAAAGGTGAGTCTGGTGTCACACTGCTTAGATGGTGGCACACTGTTTAGATGGTATCACACTTTTTAGATGGTGTCACATATTTTAGATGGTGTCACACTGTTCAGGTGCTGTCACATATTTTAGATGGTGGCACACTGTTTATATGGTGTCACACTTTTAGATGGTGTCACACTGTTAAGATAATGGTGTCACACTTCTTTTTTAACTATAACCTGCAAAATATAAGGTTCAGACTTAATAAATGTGATTAAGAAATATATTTGCGTCAAAATGAAATAAAAATATACATGTACACACCATGATTGAAAGATAATATGGTGAAAGTACTTAGCAACGTATCCTTAGCAACAAGCATCTAAATAATTAATTTGAGAAATGTCATCAACTATACATCCGCCATCAGTGTGCTATACACAGTAAAACCTGCGTAAGTGGAACGCGTTTTGTGCCTCAAAATAATATTCCATTTGAGTTGTACAGTGGTTTTCTTGGAAATCTTCCCTAAGCCTCAGAGTCTAGTACCCTGCGTGCAGAGTCTAGTTTTAAAGTACTGAACTACTGAAGACAAAGCTCTCTTTTAAGAAGTGAAGTCAAATGAATGCAAAGGGTAAGCCTCTAGCTACAAGCCCTTGGGAGCCTTCCGCCCCTTCTACTCACCTCCCCACGATGTGTTTCTTAAGTAGATAAAGTGGAGGGGCCCACACTCTTGAAGCTTCCTGAAGCTCAGAATGAAATCTGACATTTGAAAAGGGTTTTTGAATTATGAAATAGGCAATAAAAATACATGATTTGCAACATGCTGTATTCTAATAAACCTGAAGCGTAGATTTATAAATGACAACCTATGTGACTGTGGCTTTTATAATGACACTCACTAATTAGATTCACATGGAAGACAGCAGTTGGGGCTGTTTATTTAAGGCGAGTGAGGTACATCAGTGAGGAATATTCATATGACATGCTTTTAATAGGTAGCATTTTCAGTGGTTTAATTTCGCTTCTTTAAAAGAGGTTGCATGTCAGTCGTTTGATTGTGCTTTAAAAGAGAGCTTCATCTACATTTTTTGAATAAGAGATTATCCCTCCATCTAGCCTTACCCAATTAGATTAGGTCACAAATTGAGTTAACCAGTGAAGATTGTAGTTGTAAAATGTCATGTCTTCAAAAGTAGCCTGTATTATTTTTATATTCAAACTCACATTAAAGACCGCAAAATCTACTTGTGAGGCCATAAAGATCATACCAGCCTCAAAACTGTATATTTTGTTTTATTCAGAGTGTAGTAGCTGTTACTTTTATTGTCTGAGTCTCAGAGTATAAGACTGAGTGAGGTACATATGTGAGAAAAACTGTCTATGTGGATATGTAACATTAGGTAGCGCAAGTGGCAACATTTTAATAGGCCTTCATTCACCATTACATATTTCACCCTTGGTATACGCAGCTAACGAAAATTGACCGGCATGGGTCAAAAGCTGGACCGGCACGGGTTAACGGTTTTATTTGAATTTAAAATAGCCATAACTTGCTCAATAATGACTTCCTCGTGTCTAATTTGAAATATATGATGCCTCCCGATGCTTTTAAGTACCCCAATTTTTACAGATTTTTAAACAGACCAAAACTCTCTAAATGCGCATTTATGCTCTTTTCTCTCGAGAACGGCTGTCTCATTTTCATGATAACTTTTATTTAGTACTTCTAACATATAAGATCTATTTTTCCCCATCAAGGTATGATGTAAATGACATGCTATTTACATCTTGTGAGTTTCAATGACGCGCGTTTGATTTTATAAAAAATGCCAAACTTTGTGACAAAGAAGTTCATCCTGCTTGCAGTGAGAAGACGGACCGGTTCGGGGCAATCTGCTTGCAGAGAGAAGACGGACCGGTTCGGGGCAATAGCTGATGAAATTCTTTGTCACAAAGTTTGGCATTTTTTATAAAATCAAACGCGCGTCATTGAAACTCACAATATGTAAATAGCATGTCATTTACATCATACCTTGATGGGGAAAAATAGATCGTACTAAATAAAAGTTATCGTGAAAATGAGACAGTCGTTCTCGAGAGAAAAGAGCATAAATGCGCATTTAGAGAGTTTTGGTCCGTTTAAAAATCTGTAAAAAATTGGGGTACTTAAAAGCATCGGGAGGCATCATATATTTCAATATTAGGGTGTATTTGTAAATCAACCCTCCGTCCCCCTCCTTTTCTTAAAATGATCCAAATGATTGAAAGCTTTAAGGAGGAAGATTTACATGAGAGACAAAAGAAAAAGGAACATTAAAAAGGTGTTTAGTTAAAGAAAACACAGAATGAAAAGGGCTGTGCTAAGTTGTTAAACAATGCAAGACTTTTAGACGTTATGTCAAAGGTTTTCATTTTAGTTCTGTTCCATTGATAAATGAAGCTAAAACCAGTCTTTGTATTTTATACTACTTTATTTACCCAGTTCTAAAGCTATTCACCTTGATTTTGAAATACTGTATCAGAAATCCAACAATTTATTTGAACAGTAATTTTTATTTTCAAAATTCAATGTAAATGATAACAAAGCACTTCACCTAAATGTGAAAGTAACATTTTATGTCATTTTGAAACTTAAAAACCCTGTGTTTCAGAGCATAGTTTATATTATACACGAATCTCTCTTTTAAGAAGCAAAATAAAATGATTAGAAATGTTATTTTTAAGTTGTTTTAGTGTCCATGCACTTGTAAACCCTATCTAGGTTTCATTGCCAGATAAGACTCATGATAAATTAAACTAAAACTCGAACTCAGCTGCTTTTAATTACAAAGTGGAATACATGTACAGTTCTTGTGTCAAAATATATGCCAGTTTTTTACTTGCCTCCATCCCCAGGGCCCACCTTGCTATTACAGAACAAGTTTTTAAGATTATCCTAGAATTTCCTGCACATTTTCAAAATAAATATATACAATGTGTACATTGATCAATAAGTCAAGATAGAATCCTTCAATTTATATTTAGATACACATTTGAAGTATGTATGTCATACCTATATATTTAGCCCTTCGATAAATCAATAAATCATCTCATTAAATTATCTATGGTTATTCAATCTGGTTTTTCGATGTGTCATATAACCGTTGGACTTTAAACTTTTGGATTACGTTCAACAATTTTACCCACGCAACTTCCTTGCCAAAACTTGGTGTCGTGCAAGGTTGAGATTTGTCCTTAAACATGTATTGGATTTATTAAATCAAGCATACATGTATGAACTTTTCAACTCTATCTGTTTTCATAAATATGAATATCAACAGGAGTGAAAGGGCTGTGATTACATTTAGGCTTGGTTACTATTAATAAGTACATGTATATTATTTTTATATTTTTGTAACGCCGTGGATTTTTCTGTTTCATCTAACACAGCAAATTTGTATGATATGAACTAGCTAATGTTGACTTTTTCATCAAATGCTAATTTTGACTGGAAACTTCAGTTTTCACAAAAATCTAAAAGAACTATTTCTCAACTTTCTCCGATTTTATTCGTGATTTCTTTTTTTAGAGGGCAATGTTTTAGAATTAAGTGTTATAAAGTCAATTCTACCTGTTCTGTCAGGTAAGAAAATAACTCAGACACCTCCTACAATGTTTGACTTGGGATTGTTATTATAAAATCTGTCACAGTCAAAACTAGAAGCCTTGTGCTTAGAAAATTTTGTTTGGGTTTAGACTTTTGTTACATAATCACAACATAACTCTATACTAGTCAAACATTCTTAGATTTAACCAGCTTTAAATCTTTCATTCTGAACTTTACTTGAACAAATCATTTCAGAAAATCAAATCTGATAGGTTATCCTGACCTTCCACGGTATTTTTATCATAACACCTTTACGAATATCTGTGCCAATATGGCAAAACAATTCTTGATTATTGAACATTTTTCAGCTTATAATTTTTATTTTTATGTACTACATGTAATGCCATAAAAGGTACTTATCAACTTGGATTTTTGTCAAGCATTGGATAAATAGAAGCCTTCATTGGTCAGCTGTGTTCTATTCTTGTTGGGTTAATAGAAGCCTTTCATTGGTCAGCTGCATTCTATTCTTGTTAGGGATCACGTGTAAATGCTATGGCATAACATAAGTGATCACATGTGCTTATATTATGTTATAGCACTTCAGTCCAGGGCTCTAGATTATCTATTGACTCTTTGGTATCAGTTTCAGTTTTGTTGTTCTGTACTTTCAGAAATTGGAAAAAGAACTTATAGAAATGTAGTTTCCACATAATTTCCACAAATAATTTGATTTTGAATTATGTATTTTATAATATAGAGCTTCAGTTGAAAATCATTGGAATCAAACATGGTTTTGGATTTGATGGCGGAAGTCTTTTATTGGGAAAACCATGCAACCAAGTTCACCTGTTATTTCATTTTATCCTACAACTTGAAATATTATAAAACCATCTCCCTTTTAGCAGGTCACTGTGACCTTCAGATTAGACAGGTATTAGAATACTGAATAAATATTCTGATCAATTTGCTGGATTTCAGTTTTATATTCTGAAAGTAAATAGACTTAGTAAGGATATACTGAACTTCTACTTAATTGGGTGCTACTGTTTTTGGCGGATTTGCTATTTTGAACGTTTGGTAGCTAATTAATTTGGCAGACTTGCAATATTATAATGTACAAGTGGTACTATATTACAATATACTAAAATTACTGGGGGAATTTGGTGGCTACTTATTTTGATGGACTTTAACAATTTGGTGGATCTGCCAAATTGGTGGATCTGCCAAATTAAAATGACCGCCAAATTAAGTAGAAGTACAGTATTTATGTGACTTTCCAACATGTCAGTTTGACTTGATTTAGCTTGATAACATCCTGTTGTATATGTGGTTTTACATGTTTGGCTACTTCTGTGTCGCCCTTTCCTAGTATCTACAGTAAAACCTGTATATAGTGAACTGAACACCTATGTAGCCACAAAAAGTGTTCAGTGTTGTAGGTGTTTACTACAGAGAGGATTTTATACAGGAGTCAATTTAAACTGTGTCTTGAAGTGGTGTTCACGAAATACAGGTGTTTACCAGTATACAGTATATTTGATGAGGGTTTTATGAAAGTAGTGGCATATTGTTATAATCTCCAACTTATTTGTGTTTGATGGTTGGCATGTTAACGCCTTGTGTAAGGTTTGTCTCCAGTTTAAAGAGGTGTGCATGAGCATTTAGGAACAATTGTTGTGCATAGGGAATTGATAGTTGGGCATGGGAGGGGGGAGGTAAGGGGTTAATTTACCTCTGAAATGTATATTAGAGCATGGGTTCTCCAGTTGCATAGCTTAAAATGTTGGAATTAGTATAATCGTCAAAGAATTCAAGAATGATATGAACAGATGTTGGTGAAATTATATAAGGACTATATTATACTGTATGCATTCAATTATTAAGATAGAAACTAATCTAATCTACTGTTATAATGTTGAAATTACATTTTTTACATTTTATGTCACCACCAAGTGGTCAGCATTTGGTGGTTGGTGTTCAGCATTCTGCAACAGGTGGCAGGTAGAGGCATTTTGCAGGTTAATACCTTGTTATGCTTGTGGTCTAATCTAGCTGAATCTAAATTTTTGTTCAATTTTGAAAAGGTGCCTTGATGCTAAACTCCACCCCTTCCCATCCCTTAACCAAGACCCTAGTATAAAATACAGTTATTGTATTACATTGTATTGTATATTCTATTCACATACCCCCTATGAGAGTCAGATGTGATTTTCTGTAGCACTCATACATCTATGAATCACCACATTCTTTACACACATGTTAAAAATAACATTCTGTGAATGCATACATACATTCAATTTTGTTCATACAACAAAATGTCATGCTACTCTATTCAGTCTACGGTTCAATAAAACCTAAACACTAGGTATAATACACGTCTTTGACATACTACTGTATATTTTTTAACAGCGTTTGTATTCCGTGAGAACCATGAGAACCGCCCTGAATACCTCTTACTGTAACGCTTAAATAAGGCGTAGTTTTACTCTCAATGCAAAAAAAATTTCTCAGGCTATTAGAAAGAGTGTATTTATAAAATATTTCAGCCTGTCAACATTGCATGCACTTGTTCCGTGTAACTCTTTTGAGAATGCTTAGTCAGTTGTGCAATGTAAACTGAGACAGGACATAACAACTCAAAATAAGCTAAAGGTCAGCGGGTTACATTTTTTGTTGATAACATGGCTCCATTTATGAAGTTTATTTTATGAGTTTCTGATAACATGTCAAGTTGACGGGATAGTCAAATTGAAGACAGTTTATATTTAGAGGTTTTAGATTCAAATTAGTGTTCATATATAGAGGTGTTCACTAAAATTATTCACATACACATTACAGGGTGAGCCAAAAAAAAGAACCCATACAAATCTTAACGCTTTCATCAAGTATGAGTTAAAAATCATGTTTGTCACAATCAAACCTTGCTCAATGTTCTGGTGCCAAAATGTGACATAAACCCCATTCTGGATGACATAGATTTGTTTGGGTTACCTTTTTTTGGCTCACCCTGTATATTTTGACTTGTTTATGATTTTCATAAGTATGTCCCTCTTAAAATATCCAGGGTTGATTAATCACGCGGTAGTATCTCTTCGGGACGTATCGAAACCACTCCGTCCCGAAAAAACCGTTAATTTGAATTTAAAACCTACCCCAGTGTTTGAAAATCAAGGATTGTGAGTCTCACACTTCACAGTTTTTCTTCAAACTTGTTCCGTACAAAGCTGCACAGAAATACCTTTCAGTCGATACATTGTTTTCGTGTACAAAGTACCTCGTTTTAGCGGCGTTTTGGTCCCCAGCTGCGAGATAAAGCAAATTTTCATAACTTGCAACTGTAAGTCAAGTTATCTCGCCAGTCTTTTACCCATTCTCGCTCATAATTTCAGAATGGACTCCCATTACAACCTTCCATCGCTACGTTTTGATTTTTGGGCATCAAACGCAGCAGTTTCTAAATCATCCACACATCTCTTAAAATTTGACTAATACGTCCCGTCACCTTCCACTACGCCCCGCCGATTTTGGACCACCCTATTATAGGTATAATGAAAATGGACAAGAATGGGTAAATCTTAAAACGCAATCCGATTGGTATTTAGAATCGACAATGGCAACCTACAAACGGACACATCGATGGACAAATTGTTTTAGAATGCAATTCTACGTGTATAGTGATAGACTCGGCGGGGCGTAGTGGAAGATGACGGGACGTATTGGTCAAATTTGAAGAGATGTGTGGATGATTTAGAAACTGCTGCGTTTGATGCCCAAAAATCAAGACGTAGCGATGGAAGGTTGTAATGGGAGTCCATTCTGAAATTATGGGCGAGAATGGGTAAAAGACTGGCGAGATAACTTGACTCACAGTTGAAAGTTATGAAAATTTGCTTTATCTCACAGCTGGGGACCAAAACGCCGCTAAAACGAGGTACTTTGTACGCGAAAACAATGTATCGACTGAAAGGTATTTCTGTGAAGCTTTGTACGGAACAAGTTTGAAGAAAAACGGTGAAGTGTGAGACTCACAATCCTTGATTTTCAAACACTGGGGTAGGTTTTAAATTCAAATTAACGGTTATTCGGGACGGAGTGGTTTCGATACGTCCCGAAGAGATACTACCGCGTGTTAATGTTATTGATTAGTTGCTAAGAATTGGGTTGCAATGAAAGTGCAATTTTATATGATTCAATATTTTGACAAGCAACAAACAGGCATTTAATAAATAATCAAAAATATATAAACACACCCATTTTGAAAAGTTTAACATCCTACTTTAAGGACATTGCGTCAATGCATTGATGAAATACCAAACAAAAATAACAGTCTTGGTTGTAAACATTAGTGAAAAATCTTAAAAAGTCGTGCACTTTGCTTGTAAACAGATATCCCTGGAACCTGTTTTTAAGGATACAAGAATTTTATACTGCATTTTGCAAGGAGACCTTTAACCAGGGATATTGCAGCCATCGCATAAATCAACATTCTACTAATGGTAGCATTATGTGGGTTGGCATGTGTGTTAATAATTCCAGGGCATAAGATAAACCAGAATAAACACATGAATAAAGAATATCTTTTGATCTGAGTTTTGTTTGGCAGATATGAAATGGTATTTTTAACCTAAAGGAATCAATATAATTTTTTGATAGATGTATTTGGACATGTTTTCTCATTAGTTGTGGGAAAACTATTTCACTCTAACGATCATTATAGCTGCTTAATAAGCAATATTCGAATTGGTCGTGACGTTATTGGCCCCCACGTGATCTCTCACTGGTTCCCACGTGGCCCGTTTTGGTCCGTTTGATCATGACGTCATAATGCCAAAATGTTTTGTTATTTGTTTACACAACAATCCTATGGTTGCAGTGACGTTGTGATTACTTGGAACCAATAAACCAAAGCTATATTTTGTATATGACGTTACTAATCACGTGGGGGCCAATTTGATTTATCAGTTAGTTTTATTTCGTTATCTATGACCGTTAGCAGTTATCTAACATTTATTTTATAATGGCTATTGCAAGAACTCTACGATTGGCTTACAATGGAGAAAACTGCATTTTCGTAGCTGCAAGTTGAGAAAAGCTATTTCAGTTGTCCTTTAAATATCTGATAAAATAAAAGATTTCATGAGTTTCTTTTCGAAAGGAGAGCAATGAATACAGAAATTATGCTTAAAATAATTGATGACAATATAAGAGTAACAATAATTTTAATTGCCTTTTTAACAAGTAATATAAAAGATGTAACATCTTGATCATAAATAATTTGGAGGACATGCCATGTGTTTAATTCTTTTCATCTAAAAATGACATGTTTTACTTATATTTTGAATTTTTCTTCCCAATAAATAAATGGTAACTTATGAGAGACACATAGGGCAAACATATGTTGAACAAATCCCTTAACAAAAAAGATGCAATTAAGGGTAGTGCAATGAGCCCAAGGCTTGTGGTCTTTCTTTGTTTAACAGTAATTTCTAGTCAAATTCTTGTTAATAGATGCGTATCATGATAGAATTAGTAATACTATCATTACATTTCTTTCTGAATATTTGAATAATAATATTTTCTTTCTGTATATTTTCAGGCACGTCCTAAGTATCTTAGATGCATTACTCTCACATGCTTCTACCTAGCAGCCAAATCCACTGAAGAAGATGAAGTAAGCTAATTTGCATATCATTTGCATATTATTTGCATAAATTTGCATAATGTATAATTTTTTGCATAATTTTCAAGAAATGTGTAATTCATCACATGGTGCATGCTTCAAGGCATATTTGGAGATATTAAAATTCTGTTTTCATTTAAAAAGATCTGAAATTGAATGAAATGATTGACACAATGGAATCCAGTTATAAATTGCTCGTTAGATTTTATTCAACATTTGTTGTGTATAATTTTGTTTTCTTTGTGGATATTGTATCATAGAAAAACCTTACATGTACTCATAACCAAACCAAAACCCCAGATCACTGGTGATCCACTCGATTACGCTGGTTACCAAAACGAACCGTTTTGGTAACAAAATGTCGGAACATCCGGAAGGTACGATTTTTCTCGTTTCCTTATTTTACACTTGTAGGCAGAATTCCCACGACATTTTTTAACACAAACGTGTATCAGTATCATATGTTTAAGAAAGTGTACATATTTGCGAACAAATAGTTCAGAAGACAACAGAATCGTCGATTTACTTCCTCACTTAAGTTACATAAACGGTTTGGGTTAAAAGTGCAGATCTTAACTGTTTTTCGAAAAACCGTTTATGTAACTTAAGTGAGAAAGTAAATCGACGATTCTGTTCTTCTCTGAGCTATTTTATCGCAAACATGTACATTTTCTAAAACATATGATACTGATGCACGTTGTGAGAAAAAACGTCGTGGGGATTCTGCTTACAACGCGTGAAATAAGGAAAAAAGAAAAATCGTGCCTTCGACGTTCCGACATTTTGTTACCAAAACGGTTCGTTTTGGTAACCAGCGTAATCGAGTGGATCACCAGTGCAGATACAATCACGTGTTTGTACACATGTACGTGTACAAAATAATTCAAGATGATTATGTTTTTATTGACTCCTAATTGAGACCAGCTTTAGGGCCCTGGGATGATTAGCACTCCAATGACGTCAATTGACAATTAATCGGGGATGAACCTTAATTATTACTCAATTTTACATTCATCCCTTCATGAATTTATTTTTCAAATAAAATGAGAGCAAAAAGAAAATACTTGTGTATGATCACAAATGAATGAAAATTTTATTATAAGAGTAATTGCTATAAATATGATTTATTCAGATTATACCAGGAACAGATGAGCTGGTACGGGAAAGTGGATGTGCGTGCAGCGTCGTTGACGTACTACGTATGGAGAGAATTATCCTCGACAAACTCTCCTGGGATCTCCGGAGCATAACATCTCTGGATTTCCTCCACATTGTGAGTATACATTATTTCTTTTTTATTTGACGTGTACTTTATGTCCTTTTATTTTTTAAAAGGTATATATCCCTTTTGTTGGTGTCTCATAGATTTTCTTTTATATATTTTAGTTCCATATTCTGCTGACATACCCTTTTATTGGTGTCTCATGGGTTTTCTTTAATTCATTTTAGTTCCATGCTCTGCTGATGTCCAGGTGTCCCCACTTGTTAGATTCTATGCGAAATATGACTGCATCCCGCCAACTCAGTATACTTACTCGCAAGTTGGAACGATGCATCGCATTTCACGAGATTCTAGCTTACAGACCCGCCACGGTGGCGCTGGCGTTGCTGAGTCTTGAGCTGGAACTATTCGTACCTGAATGGTTCCGAATGACGATAGCCCTTCAGAAAACTATACAGGTTAGTTAGTTGTTTAAGTACATGTTTTAAAATCATCTAAGAGATAATTAGTATTTGTTCTCATGAAGAATATCCTAAATATAGTGAATATAGGTTATTAACTGGGAGGGATGGAATATGACTTTTTCCAAGGGAAAATATGATGCTGACTGAAATGTAATATGATATTGATCGAGGAAGCTAAATGTCAATATGACATTACCTAAGGTCTAGTATCAAATTAACTGAGGATAAAACTCATATTCAATGCCTCTCAGTAAACATTAAATAAATTATATGTGTCTCTGAAATTTAAAGGCGTTCAATGCAGGTTTACCTTGGAACAATGTTTTTGCATTTTAAATGGAATCCACAGATTTTTAGAGTGCAACTTTTTTATTGCAGGTTAATAATCATGATTTGATCCACTGTCGAGAGATAATGACTCATCATCTATCTTTGTACCCTCGTCTTCACGTAGCATACATCCATAACAAAACTAGCAAACGCAAGGTTGAGGAGATAGAAGTCGATGATGATGAAGACATTTATGATAGCATAAAACGACTTTATAATGAAGATGACAACTCCTCTTCAGTCATTACTGTTGTCTCCGGCAGTTAACCAATCAAATTGCATATTTGATTAGCCAATCAAATTGACTGTTACAGGTACATTTTTTTGATTGGCCATTTGTATTTAGCAATGGACCAATCAGATTATAGCTAAGGAGAGTTCAGCCAATCAGGTATTGCAGAGCAATGCCAAAGTGACCTCATTTGAATCTGAGCTTTAATGTAATGTTTTAGTTAAATCCAAGTTTTATTGGAATGAACCAATCACATTATAATGCTTTCACATTGGTCAGGCATCAAAAAACATAATGGACAGTTTAGTCAGTTTGATTGACCAATCAAATGATTTCATTTAGATTGGATAAAGGAGTGGCAAAAGTTTATTTAAGATTTCGATTTATTGGATTTGTGCCATGGGAATAAATATTTAAGATTAGTCAAGTCTTGGTTTCCCTGTTATAAATAGAAATCCTGCAAATGTAGCTTCTGCATTTATAATTTCAGCGGTGTCATAGACGAACAAAAAATAATTATCTAGGGCTTTTAATTGTTACTCATTGTTACATATAACATCAGCATCATGTCAATTACAACATTGTTATTATTAAGGTGTTTAGGTGCTAAATATTGGCCTATACGAGCATGAATAATTGTAAAGTAAGAAATTCATTTTAAGGGTCAAAAGGCAGTGTAAAAACACATTTCCAGATGGCTTCAGTTGAGTTTGTCATCGAGTTCGTTGAATCGGTCTTGAGCATTTTTATGAAGAATATGTAGAAAGCGTTTATTTATGATATTATCTTCAAATAAATTCTCAATCTGAAAAATGAATGTCTTGACATGTCTTAACTGGTATTAACTCTTGAATTCCCATTCAATCTCCTGAATTTTAAGACAGGTGCTTGGTAGGTCAAGGGTTAATATAATTAGCCATGAAAATGTGAATTTTAGCAAGGAATTAGTCTATCATTGTAAATAGTTCCATTCATGTAAAAAAGATGGAGTTGTTCTCCATGCAGTGGAGACACCTTTAGTTGTATTTATATATAAGCTTCAGGGAAAAAACTGTAAAAATATTCAAAACTGTAAAATATCAAAAAAACTACAAAATGCAAAAAAGCATAAACACGTTAAGTGTAGTGTATTCTGTACAGAAATATATGATAAAATGATTTGTGATAGAACCTAAAATAGAATCTCATTATTTTCCCGAATTTAGCTTGAATTTTGGGGTAGTTTTATTCCCATGCTTTTTTCATATTATATTAGGGAATTTTGAGTTTCTATTTTACCTCTGTCACAAATTCACATCAGTGTGTATTATATGTATAGTTAAAGAAGTATTATGTTTTTAGATCCAGTGCTTATAATTTGCCAGAATTGAGAGCTTGGGTTAAGCCCTGTAAGATAGAACAGATAAAATAGATAAATATCTATTATAGCGGATTCGCTAATCTGTTTTAATTGAAAGCTTGATGTGAGATTATGAGTGATTTGTGATCATGTAAAACGCACTGTTTTTTTTATCTATATTCATGATGTAGTGTTATTAATTTCAACTTACAAAATACAAAAAATGAGTATAATAGTTATTTTAACACAAATGCACCTTTTCTATAAATACATGTACAAACTCTTAATTTATGAAAAGGTGCATTTTGATGCAGGTCTTTTAGGCATTCTTCTGATAGGAATAAAAAGGGAGGTTTTGATAGTCCAAAAAGCATTCAACAGAGGGCAGCAGGGTTGTATTATTCTAGTCGAAGTGAATAAAATCATGAAGTTGATTGGTCGGAATATATGAATATTGGAAAAAGGATTGATTATCTCAATAATTTCCAATATTGTATATCTTTTAAATATCCTCAAATGTAGGGTTTGTTTTAACCCTTTTGGTTTTGATTCTATCATTAAAATGCCTAAGATATTCCAAACCTGAAAATATTTTATGTTCATTTAGCGTTAGTATTAATATATATTATTATAGTTCCAAACTGAAGTTTTTTTATTAACATTGTTGTCATTGTTGTTTATTTAACACAATTATGGCATCTGAACATAAGCGATAACAATGATCACAAGAACTATTTTAGATTTTATTTCAAATGTTAATTCATTCGTCTGTACAGGTTTTTTGTTGTTACTATTGTAGAATGAAGGCCAAGCTTACACGCATTTTATGTGTTTGAAGATGAACCCGTCTTAGGGAATTATTCGTTTTTGTAAAATAGCTTCAAATTGTCAGAATTGAAAAAGTTGGTGTACATATTGGTATAAAATTAATGCTACGTGATGTTTGTAAATAGAAGTTAAAGTGCAGTGATTGGCTAACAGTACTCCGGGGTGCCCTCTAGTGAGCATAATACACATTCAAATGTAAATAATGGTCTCAGGCTAGCTCTTCAAAAAGGAGATTTGGTTCAGTTCATAGGGGGAAGAATATTTAAGGAGGCTCTTCAGGGAAGGGGTTTTAGTGCAATACATGGTGTTTGTATATTAGGGGTTATCTGATTTTTGTTTTTTTAATCAATTTTGACAGGTTGGAGCTATTTTATGATGTTTTATGTTATAGATCAATAGAATCCCACCTTATATCTCACACCCCTTTTAACCACCATTTAAACACTTCTTTGTGTTTATATTATATTTATTAGTCTATTTTGAGGGGTGTGAGGATAATTTGTATGCTTTGGTCACAGAATTTAAGCACTTCAATAAACACAATGAATGCAAAAGGTTATAAGATATATTTGAATTTAGAATTCAGAATTCAAATTAATATGGACCCTCAGGGTAATTTATTTGGATTTTGACTTATTTCCGAGAGTTAGTCTTATATGTCTGCATTCTGTGAATCATGGAAATTAAGTTTATTTTGTGCAACATTGCTGTCCTAGCATCTTCTCCATAGTGATACATCATAATACGATTGATGTAAAATATGTTGCTATGGCAACCATATGATTTCAGCGTCACTTGACAGCACACGTCATGCTTCATGTGAAGCACAAATCAATGGCTGATTTTCGCCAAAAATGTTACGAAATATGCCAGAGTTAAAAGCTGAGTATTAAGTTACAATTTTTGAATTGTTGTTATTGTTTTGAATCCTTGTCAAGATAATTATTAATTATGAGTATTTACACTAAGTTTGGAGATGTTTTTGTTGTTGTGGCTGAAATTGTCGGTCCCAATCTAATATTATACTACCACCAGTTTTGCATCCAGTTGCCTTGTAACCCCCCTTCCCTGTTCTCCCAACTCACTCTGGGGTAACAGGTGGGGGGAAGGGGAGCTTTCATTTAAACCTATGAAATATTGGGGGATCGATTATTTTCTTGAGGTTGTTTTAGAAATGATATGAAATTGGTGAGATTGTAAACAATGATTGTTTACTTTCACCTACCACAAAGACCAACATTTGCCACGGTGGTTTATCAAACCCTCCCATTTCTCCTCCACATTACAATTAAGAGCAATAATGTGAAAATTGGAGCGTTATGGTTATCCACTGTTAACATGTTAAATCACCCTATATGTAGGGTGCAGTATTAGATGTATGGAACAAAAACATATTGAACACTCTGTATGAAGGATTATCGCAGATTAAAGGACCTAATATGAATAAATAAAGTCATAGTACAAGTAGGAAAACATATTTTGTTATATTAATCCAAATTACATCTCAGAGTTTGAATTTATTATAAGAGAAACCTTAAAGTTCACATATCTCCAAATGACTAAAAACTTCAAACCTAAATAGGAAAGGCCAGCATCCATTGCCATGGTAATTGATATCGCCCAAAATCTAAAGTTTTTTGTATTCAACTAACATGATGACCATGTATTTCAAATTGATCTGACTCAAGTTATCACTATTGAATCGTGATTTGTTTTATAGACTTTGTAACAGATATTGCCCAAAAAGGCTAACCATTCTTGAACCATCTCCCCTATTGGCTTTTATTATATGTTTCTCAAGTCAATCTTCAGTTACAATATTCATACCTCTTGTTGCCAATAGTCAGGGAAAATGTCAAAATTTGCAAAAAATCTCTAAATGGTTTGTTGATTTTAAATTTTGAGAAAGGTTGAGGAATTTGAAGTGAGTGATGTTTTGAAAGTTGAAAATTGGACCACAAATTAAAGATGCATGAATGTTCATAAGCTATCTACTGGATATTTAAAACTCATATTTTTATTTACTCCCAAACTGGATTAAACTTCAATTTTTATCAACTCAATTCATCAAACTCATACTTTGATCTGCACCCAAGCTGTAAAAAAACTCACATTTTCACCTACTCAACTCCTAAAAGTCATCTTTAAATGTAACAAAATAGCAAATTAAGGACATACATATTAGATTTATTGTCCATTTAAATAGCATCATGTGTTACAAAATTCTGTTACTATAGTAACATTATCAGATGCCACCATAACAACATGCTACATATTAAAATATGCTACGTATAGAAGTGACATGTTACATATAGTGACATGTTACATATAGTAACATATAATATAGAATGCCCTGCTACATTTAACATGTTACATATAACAGTATAGATTATGTAGTGATATGCTTCACTTAACATACAATGTAACAGCTTACATTCAATGTAACAGCTACATTTAACATGTTACATATAACAGTATAGATTATGTAGTGATATGCTTCACATAACATACAATGTAACAGCATGTCACAGATTACAGTATGCTATAATACAGTTACATATAACAGTATAGATCATGTAGTGATATGCTTCACATAACATACAATGTAACAACATGTTACAGATTACAGTATGCTATAATACAGTTACATATTACAGTATGTTACATATCACAACATCCTATTCAAATATGCAGCATAGCATCATGCTAGCAACCCCCAAATATGGCAAACACGAAAAAGAAGTGTTAGTTCTATAAAGAAAATATACAAAATTGTTCATTGATGTTAAGTGAATATTCTTAATACATGATTTTTCGATACTTAATCTGATGCACAGTTTCAAAAAAATAGATGTAATTTGAAACAATTCCATGTTAATCATCTCATTTTTTGCAGCTGTGCATCTGACTGATGTTTATTACCTTTATATGCATTTACAACCATGACCTTCTTAAAAAGTATTTCCTATAAAATGTACATTTATTTGTTTTAATTTCTAGTTGTAAAGTACAATAATGAATGGTTTAAAATGAAGATCTAATACTGGGTAATTTAAATGTCTCATTTCACAAATAATATGGTATCTTGATTTGCTCTATGGTAGCCGTAGCTTCACAAAATTGCTATAGAAAATCTACATCATACGGTTTATCCCTATATCTTATGCTGCACAGTCCTCATGATTTTGGGAAACTACAGCCGCCGTACGGTTGCCATAGATCAAATGCGACTGAGTCAATAATATTATAATGGATTTACATAATTGGTTTGGTATAATAATCGCAGTTCATCTAAAAGAAATGGAATATGATTTTATTGCACAAATCAAATGTCCTAATTTTATAATCTAAATTGTATTCCTCCCTTTGTAACACAATTTTACTAAAGTATATGTATATAATATATAAATTATCTATGATCCCACAACCAGTATAACTTGTGTAAATAATTTAATTATTTATTGAAATGCATAAATGTTCAATATAAACTTGTCCATGCATCATATGCATATATTTTCATTTCTCTTAAAGAGCCAATAGCTGTAAATTTTATCATCCTTAATATCCCTGAATTTTTTTAATTCATATTGATATGTAAATTACACAATTAAAAGACTTGAACATAATTATTAATTGTGTAATATTATCAATCAAAAATATTCTACAGTTATTTAAGGTGAAAATTACAGTTTATTAACCCTTTAAATGGTAATATTTACATAATTCAATTAGAGTCCTATTTTTGTCTTGTCAACAAAATGAATAATAGTTCTTTGAAACAACTTTAATTGATGAAATTTATTAATTGAAGATTTTCAACCTAAATTTTCATAAAAAATCATCTCTATTTTTGAAATGTCAATCAATAAAACCATGATTTAAAAATTTAGTAATCTCCCAATCCCAGCATCCAATTTTTACATTTTTGCATTTCTTTTTTGTTTTATTTATTCAAACAAAACCACACACCGCATGCCCAATCACAAAAATCATATATATGCTAACTAAACTATATACAGGTATACATAAAATTCAATCATAAATTACAATTTATCCAGCAAATATTAACAACAAAAATTCAACATTAATACATGATTTGACTTACTTTTACCATTTTACAAACAAATGGTTTGCTTTCTACACAGAATATGCATAAACTTAAACAATTTTTTATAGATTTTGAGAATTTTAGAATTTACATTAACTTCATAATGTTCAAGAGATCCTTAATTAATTGTAACCATGGAGATAACAACATCATAGTTGGAGAATGCGCTTTTAGAATTCTCAATTTAAAAAGGTTTTTATTTATGATTCCCTAATAATAACTCCCTCATAATTTCTGTACAGAACACAACCTTTTCACTCCTCTCACATCATTATTTTTATCAAAATATATACATTTACATTTTCACGATGTAAGTAATATATACAATCCAGTTTACAATAACAGACTATTTAGTTAGTTTTGCAAAGTACCAGCCATTACTGTATGGTACCATCTCATGTGTACTACAATTTGCAAAGCACCACTATGTAAGACTTGCAACCTGCAGAAAAATTTACAAAAAGCATAACACCTCCCTTGCTAATTAATGCTAATAATCTGATAGACATAAATAACTTCAAATATACAGTGCACTAAAAATATCAGAATTCATTTCATTTTAACTACAAGATCAAATTCCACACATTTCTACTTATGTACTTAAATATTTGCCAGGTGGAACATTTCTTTAAGTGGAACACCTGCGAAGGTGGAACGCTTTGAAGTCACATGGCTCATTAACTTAATGTTAATAAACCTCTATTGTGAAACACCCTTTTTTGTGGAATCAAGCATGTTCCACTTTAACATGTTTCACTGTAGTTCAAATATTGACTAACAAATTGATAAATCATACCTTTAAATCAGCATGTACATAAGTAAATGTGACTCATTATGATTCAATGATATGTACATCTAATACATTATTATTCAGATAAAACATTGCATTGAAGATCAACATGCAAATATATAATTTATACTGATATGTTAAACCCAGTCATTCCACAAACTAACACCTATAAACAATATGTAAAAGCTTAAAGAATATTTATTGATATGATAGAATAGTGCATAATATGTAGAGAGGATACATGTCCTCAAGTTTCACATCAGTATTTGAACCAAACAGCACATTTCATTTGAAAATGGGCATATTCTAAACAGCACATTTATAAAATGTCCATATTGTTAAACAGCACATTTATAAAATGTCCATATTTTGTAATTTTTCATTCACATGTTTAACTCATTTGAGTTGACTATTCATGGCATCACTAACAAGTGACATCACTTGACATCATATTGACGCATGACACTTTTAAGTAAACCTTCAAATTGAACATTTTTGTGGTGGAAATTGAATTATTTTTTACATTTTCTTCTCACTGTAATTTTAATTTATATACCATAGCGCCACCTATGTGTGTCCAAAGGAATCAATCCAGCCTTTCTATTTGGCAATTTATTTCATTTGACCCTATGGTACATGTTTGACTGGAGTTTGTGGTACCTAACAATTGGTCCCCTTTAGCAGTTCTAGCTTTTATTGTGCCTCCTAGGTTTGTCCAGAGAAACCTTTGGCCCCTTATACTTGTCCTTGAATTTGTTACATTTAAATTTGTCCTAGGGTACGACTGAGCCACTATATTTGTCTTAAAATTATGTTGTCACTTAAATTTGTGTATGGTGCTATATATTTGTCCTGGAATTTATGGTGCCAGTTATGTTTGTCCTACTATTGGGCCCCTGTATTTGTTGTGGAATTTGTGGTGCCACCTATGTTTGTTTTACTATTAAACCCCTGTAATGTTGTGAAATTTGTGGTGCCACCTATGTTTGTTTTACTATTGGGCTCCTCTGTATTTGTCCTGGAATTCATGGTGCCACTTGTTGAAGTCTATGTTAAACACTATGATACAACCTGTACCGAGACCAGCCAAGAGGTACCTGCAAAAGAAAACAAGACACACAATGATAAATACTGCACTCTGGAGGGCAGAATAGCCATAATATTATTTAGAGGGAGGGGGGGGGGGCATGAGGGAGGCACTAGATGAAAACATGCAAAAGAAAACAAGACACACAATGATAAATATTGCACTCTGAAGGGCAGAATAGCCACAATGTTATTTACAGGGAGGGAGGCATGGGGGAGGCACTAGATGAAAACATGCAAAATCTGAATTAACTAGTAATTTTACAAAAAAAAGTAATCTAGCACACTGAAGTATTATATTGCTACAGGTGGCATTTATTATATGTATTTCAAGTGGATCAAACCTTTACTTCTTCATATTATAGCCCATCACTAATACCATTTATCTTATTTCACAAAAAGCCCCCCCCCCCATGCATTGCTATGGTAACATACATTGCCAAAACTTTATGTGTTGACAATAAAAAGTTCTGAACATTTCTTGTTATTGCAAATTATTACAAATGTGTAACAATTGTTACAGACACTGAATAATGGTCACTAATAAATAATAGCTATAGCAATATGTCACAGTTATTGTTAGTGACATAAAATGCATGTTGTTTAAAAGTATGCAGTTTTTTGGTCATAAAAATGCCATTTGAAAATTACCATTGTCAATTAAAGGGGATTCCCCTTAAATTGCAAATGAGAATGCTATCAGTATTTGTTCAGAATCAATGGTGCCCTTTTTCAACGGTATATAAAGCAAGTTCCCAAAATGAAAAGGGGATTGTCTTAGGTAAGATACAGTACAGTGTCAATAATGTATGATGTCTAAATTTTGTCTCAAGTTCTTTGGACTTGTGATTTTTTCGTTTCTTTCAGCATAAGCTGACTTTTATTTCATAGTGGTAATTTAAAATTTTGTAAATGTAAAGTCTCAAAGCCTAAATATGACTGACTCAGTGAGGTGTTGCTAAGGTCTATATAAAAGCATCATTGTGTACTTTAAAAAACAAATATTTCAAACCAGTTTATGAAGAGTTTTTGAAGAGAGACACTGCATAAATGGAATGATCTCTGACCCTAACCACTACTGGCAGTCAGTGCCTAGCCATATGTATTAACAAATGCAAACAAACAGCTTAATATTTGTTGTGTATTGTTAGGTCTTGTAGCTAGGGCGTCACTTTGACAAAAATCAGCCAACATGGAAAACAATTTAGAAAAATGGAGAGCTGCGATCAAAACATTTTTCTCTGTACTGATGATACACAAATAGAACATGAACTCGAAACAACATGAACATGAAACAACATGAACATGTAACAATATGAACATGAAGCAAACATATTGAGAAGTTGTCATATTGAGGACCAAAAAAGACAAAAATCGGTGCCAACATGGGAAACAGTTTAACCCAATGGAGAGCTGCGATTGGATCTTTTTGTGGAAATCAACTCAAATTTGTTGTGTTACGATGTACAGCATGTTCAACAGACCCAGACGAGTCTGGGCAAACAACAACAACTTTGCTGGTGATAATCACAATGTTGCTGGTCATTGGAGGGATCGAAATGAATCCAGGGCCAAATCAATCAAAATCAGGTAATAATTTTAGAGCCTTTTTAACAAATTCACCAGTCATAAATATCTAGTAAGCATTTAAAATTTATCTTTGATCTTTACCTTCCAACATGACCCAAGTTGCCATACAAAGCTTAGGCAAAGATAATAGGAATTTTGAACCAAGTGGTCATTTTGATTTATGTTCAAATGTTTAAATAAATATGTCAGATAAACTTTCTCTCATATGTTTATCAACACAATACAAGGATCAAAGGGAAAATACAAGAGGTATGCTTATTTGGTCCTTACTAAATATAAATAGTGCCACAGAACCGAAGTTACAATATGGTCCTTTGTAAAATAAAAAGTCACCATTTATCTGATCCTTTGAAACGCAGTTGTTTCTCAGGCCCGTAGCCAGGATTTGCCAAGGGGGGGGCTCAGTTTTCAAAAATTTCCAAGGGGGGTTCACATTTGACAATTCTGGCCCAAATATGGCTAAAATCACTTGAGAAGTGCTCAAAATGGTGAGAAACTGCATGATTTTGAAATAATTTTCCCAGGGGGGGGGGGGGAATTCGCCCGAACCCTGCGAACCCCCCTGGCTACATGCCTGTTTCTTCATCATCTATTACATTGTATCCTCTTTCAGAGATCACACAGAAAATGTATGACCTTGGTTGTAAAATAAAAGCTTGTGACCAGGAAACTGAACTAAAGAAACAGGCAGATCTAATGTGTGAACTGGGTGATGAGTTTATAGGATCAGCTGAAACATCTCCGACCTGGTATGAACATTATGTTTGGGCCTCAGCACTTTTAAACGCAGCAAAATGTCGACTCGAGAAATTAGAGAGTCGGCCATTGAAAAATATACAGGATCTGTTGCGAAGATGGAGTTTGCTGAATACTAAATTTAAGTACGACAAGAGCTATATTGAACAAAAGCTTCAGAAGATTGATGCACAATTTCTCAAAAGACTGTCAAAAGAGAGTACATTTTCAACTTCTGAATTGACAAGAGAATACAAAGACGCCCTAGAGAAAATACGTAATTATTCTGAAGAAACTGTGAATGCCATTATAAACAATGACATGATTGTACATCCACAAACTTCTGAAATGAAAGAACAGGATATTGATAACACTATAGAACACAGTAAAGTGTTCTATAATGAGATCACAGAAAAGCTTTTAGAATTTTATAGGTCAATTATCACAAACTGTATGTCTGTGCTAGGAATTCAAAATTGTAAATACAGGTTTGCAATAATGGCACTAGGATCACTGTCCCGTAAGGAGGTGACTGCTTACTCTGATATAGAGTGGGCAATATTGTTTGATCCAATGGGCCAGCCAGTTGAACAGATAAAGGAAGAGTTACGTATACTTGTCTATTATGTGCATCTCCAAGTTTTAAATTTAGGTGAGACCATTTTGAACAATCTTGACATACCAGTATTGACCGATTTCAATGACAGACTGCCACTTAATATGACTGACGTGAACTTTTGGGATAAAGTGACTACACGTGGGGTTTCATTTGATGGAACACACCCATCTGCTAGTAAGACACCAATAGGACGAAAATCAAGAAAGAACCCTGAGAAACCACCTACACTAGAGCTTATAATGACAATAGATGAAATGACCAAATACCAATTCACTGATGCAGCTTTAAAAGAGGGTTACCGTCTTGGTGATGTGTTGATGAATTCAAAATTAATAACAGGAGATGAAACCCTTTGGAATGCATACAATGAACAGGTTCATTCCATATTAGAATCCCCATCTAAGACTCCAAATGTATCTATAGGTGCAGAACGTGGAATGAAAACACTCAATGATGACCTAGAAAAGTATGCGAAAAATCCACTCACAGGCAAATCATTCCGTCAAGATATACATAGTAAACATAACGTCTATAGGTTGGCAACTATTTCTATTAACATTCTTAAGCTAGTTCATGGTTGCAAATCCTTTGCTCCCTTGGATGTTTTAGAGGAGTTATTCCAGACAGGAATCCTAACTCAAAGGGCAAAGAAGGATTTGCAAATGATGGTTTGCATTGCAGCTAATCTCAGGCATTTGGTATACAGTAAATACAAAGAACAGAAAGAATTGGTATCATTTCTGTCAAGTGAAACCGAGAATGACCCATTAGATTCAAAAACTGTTTTACCTGTTAGAGGATACACTGCAATCATTCATTTCTACACTATCTTCATGCCATGGTCTAAATTCTTAATTTCACAGAAAAATAAAACAAAGTGGAAACACAAAGATAAATACATGGAAGAGAGTAATGAGATCAGAATAATGTTATATAAAGACATGTATTTCTCTAAAAGAGCTCTATGGGCTTATCAAGATAAATTGAAGAAACTGAAAAGTACATTAGTACATGGTACAATAGTAAATGTGGAAGAAATAGCTTCACTACAAACTACAATAGGTATACTATACAACGAGGCACTTGGTATGTATGATAAGGCCTTGCAAATTCTTGAAGATTCTTATGAAATGAGTAAGAAAATACATAGCAATAATAATCACCCAAATGTTGCAGTTTCACTGAACAATATAGGTTCAGTTTATGATAACATGGGGAAGCATACACTTGCCAGAAAATACTTTGAAGATAGTTTATCAATGTATAGAAAGATTCATGGAAGTGCTGCTCACCCAGATCTAGCCAGGTCACTTAACAATGTAGGGTCAGTGCATAGACAACTAGGGGAACATACTACTGCCATGGAATACCTAGAAGATAGTCTATCAATGTATAGAAAGATTCATGGTAGTGATGCTCACCCAAATATTGCCTATTTACTGCAAAATATAGGTTCAGTGTATGATATCACGGGGGAGTATACCACTGCAATGAAATACTTGAAAGAAGGCCTTACAATGTATAAAAATATTCATGGAAGTGATGCTCACCCAGAAGTTGCCAGGTCACTGAACAATATAGCGTCAGTGCATATAAAACTGGGGGAGTATATTACTGGCATGAAATATTCCGAAGACAGTCTATCCATGCTAAGAAAGATTCATGGTAATGATGCTCACCCACATATTGCCCATTTACTGCACAATATGGGTGAACTGTATCATCGCATGGGGGAGTGTACTACTGCCATGAAATACTTGAAAGATGGCTTAACAATGTATAAAAATATTCATGGAAGTGATGCTCACCCAAATGTTGCCAGGTCACTGAACAGTATAGGTTCAGTGTATAATAGCATGGGGAAGTATACAATGGCCAGGAAATACTATGATGATAGTCTGTCAATGTACAGAAATATTCATGGAAGTGATGCTCACCCAGATGTTGCAACGTCACTGAACAATATAGGTTCAGTGTATAATAGCATGGGGGAGCATACAATGGCCAGGAAATACTATGAAGATAGTTTATCAATATATAGAGAGATTCATGGAAATGATGCTCACCCAGATGTTGCAAGGTCACTAAACAATATAGGTTCAGTGTATAATAGCATGAGGGAGTATACCACTGCCATGAAATATTACAAAGATAATCTATCAATGTTAAGAAAGATTCATGGTAGTGATGCTCACCCAGGTGTTGCAAGGTCACTGAACAATATAGGTTCAGTGTATAATAGCATGGGGGAGCATACAATGGCCAGGAAATACTATGAAGATAGTTTATCAATATATAGAGAGATTCATGGAAATGATGCTCACCCAGATGTTGCAAAGTCACTGAACAATATAGGTTCAGTTTATGATAACATGGGGGAGTATACCACTGCCATGAAATACTATGATGATAGTCTGTCAATGTGTAGAAATATTCATGGTAATGATGCTCACCCAGATGTTGCAAGGTCACTGAACAATATAGGGACAATGTATGGACACTTGGGGGAGTATATCACTGCCATGAAATACTTGAAAGATGGCCTATTGATGTATACAAAGATTCATGGTAGTGATGCTCACCCTGATGTTGCAAGGTCACTTAACAATGTAGGTTTAGTGCATAGACAACTTCACCCTATGCAGACAGAGCCTGTGGGAAATATTGGGTGCGGCGCAAATGAGCGGAGGGTGCGGAGCTAACGGTCATTTTTGAATTTAAAATTGGGGTATTTCTGAAACTAAGCCGTTTTGGGACTTCAAATATACCAAGATATGTGTATTTGACACCAAATATCAATAAAATTGTGAAAATAGTAGTGCAATTCATTTTATAGCGACGCAGTATGCCTTAAACATTTCCCAGACCTATATATTTTGAGAATATCCTTTTAATACTGCGTCCCCAGCATTCATAAAAAATGGTGTTCAAGATACACTACCCATGCAAATTATTTTTGCATCTTGGAAGCCAGGCAGTATCTGTGTGATTTTATAAAAATTCGGAAATGTTCTTCAGATATGAGCCCCCTCTAAATATTGGGTGCGGAGCTACGTTTATGGAGCTGCTCCGCACCCAATATTTAGAGGGGGCTCATATCTGAAAAACATTTCCGAATTTTTATAAAATCACACTGATACTGCCTGGCTTCCAAGATGCAAAAATAATTTGTATAGATAGTGTACCTTGAACACCATTTTTTATGAATGCTGGGGACTCAGTATTAAAAGGATAATTCCAAAATATATAGGTCTGGGAAAGGTTTAAGGCACACTGCGTCGCTATAGAATGAATTGCGCTACTATTTTCACAATTGTATTGATATTTGGTGTCAAATACACATATCTTGGTATATTTGAAGTCCCAAAACGGCTTAGTTCCAGAAATATCCCAAATTTAAATTCAAAAATGACCGTTAGCTCCGCACCCTCCGCTCATTTGCTCCCCACCCAATATTTCCCACAGGCTCTGTCTGCATAGAGTGAACTAGGGGAATATACTATTGCCATGAAATACCTAGAAGATAGTCTATCAATGTTAAGAAAGATTCATCATTGTGATGCTCACCCAGATGTTGCAAGGTCACTTAACAATGTAGGTTTAGTGCATAGACAACTAGGGGAATATACTATTGCCATGAAATACCTAGAAGATAGTCTATCAATGTTAAGAAAGATTCATGGTAGTGATGCTCACCCAGATGTTGCCATGTCACTTAATAATGTAGGTGAAGTGCACAGTCGGCTAGGGAAGTATACCACTGCCAGTGAATATTATAAAGATAATCTATCAATGTTAAGAAAGATTCATGGAAATGATGCTCACCCAGATGTTGCAAGGTCACTAAACAATATAGGTTCAGTGTATGATAGCATGGGGGAGTATACCACTGCCATGAAATATTACAAAGATAATCTATCAATGTTAAGAAAGATTCATGGTAGTGATGCTCACCCAGGTGTTGCAAGGTCACTGAACAATATAGGTTCAGTGTATAATAGCATGGGGGAGCATACAATGGCCAGGAAATACTATGAAGATAGTTTATCAATATATAGAGAGATTCATGGAAATGATGCTCACCCAGATGTTGCAAAGTCACTGAACAATATAGGTTCAGTGTATGATAGCATGGGGGAGTATACCACTGCCATGAAATATTACAAAGATAATCTATCAATGTTAAGAAAGATTCATGGTAGTGATGCTCACCCAGATGTTGCCATGTCACTTAATAATGTAGCTGAAGTGCACAGTCGGCTAGGGAAGTATACCACTGCCATGAAATATTATAAAGATGATCTATCAATGTTAAGAAAGATTCATGGTAGTGATGCTCACCCAGGTGTTGCAAGGTCACTTAACAATGTAGGTTTAGTGCATAGACAACTAGGGGAATATACAACTGCCATGAAATACCTAGAAGATAGTCTATCAATGTTAAGAAAGATTCATGGTAGTGATGCTCACCCAGATGTTGCAATGTCACTTAATAATGTAGCTGAAGTGCACAGTCGGCTAGGGAAGTATACCACTGCCAGTGAATATTATAAAGATAATCTATCAATGTTAAGAAAGATTCATGGAAATGATGCTCACCCAGATGTTGCAAGGTCAATAAGCAATATAGGTTCAGTGTATGATAGCATGGGGGAGCATACAATGGCCAGGAAATACTATGAAGATACTTTATCAATATATAGAGAGATTCATGGAAATGATGCTCACCAAGATGTTGCAAGGTCACTAAACAATATAGGTTCAGTGTATAATAGCATGAGGGAGTATACAATGGCCAGGAAATACTATGAAGATACTTTATCAATATATAGAGAGATTCATGGAAATGATGCTCACCAAGATGTTGCAAGGTCACTAAACAATATAGGTTCAGTGTATAATAGCATGAGGGAGTATACAATGGCCAGGAAATACTATGAAGATAGTTTATCAATATATAGAGATTCATGGAAATGATGCTCACCCAGATGTTGCAAGGTCACTAAACAATATAGGTTCAGTGTATAATAGCATGAGGGAGTATACCACTGCCATGAAATATTACAAAGATAATCTATCAATGTTAAGAAAGATTCATGGTAGTGATGCTCACCCAGGTGTTGCAAGGTCACTTAACAATGTAGGTTTAGTGCATAGACAACTAGGGGAATATACAACTGCCATGAAATACCTAGAATATAGTCTATCAATGTTAAGAAAGATTCATGGTAGTGATGCTCACCCAGATGTTGCAAGGTCACTTAATAATGTAGGTGAAGTGCACAGTTGGCTAGGGAAGTATACCACTGCCAGTGAATATTATAAAGATAATCTATCAATGTTAAGAAAGATTCATGTTAGCGATGCTCACCCAGATGTTGCAAGGTCACTTTACAATGTAGGTTTAGTGCATAGACAACTAGGGGAATATAAAACTGCCATGAAATACCTAGAAGATAGTCTATCAATGTTAAGAAAGATTCATGGTAGTGATGCTCACCCAGATGTTGCCCTTTCACTCAACGATATTGGTGTAGTGTATGAGTGCATGGGGAAGTATACAACTGCCATGAAATACCATAAAGATAGTCTATCAATGCGTAGAAATATTTATGCTAGTAATGCTCACCCAGATGTTGCCAATTCACTCAACAATATAGGTAATGTGTATAATAACATGGGGGAGTGTAAGACTGCCTAGAAGATAGTCTATCAATGTTAAGAAAGATTCATGGAAATGATGCTCACCCAAATGTTGCAAGGTCACTGAACACTATTGGTATAGTGTATGAGAGCATGGGGAAGTATACCACTGCCATGAAATACCATAAAGATAGTCTATCAATGCGTAGAAATATTTATGGTAGTAATGCTCACCCAGATGTTGCCAATTCACTCAACAATATAGGTTCTGTGTATAATAGCATAGGGGAGTATTCTACTGCCTTGAAATATCTAGAAGATAGTCTATCAATGTGTAGAAATATTCATGGTAGTGATGCTCACCCAGATGTTGCCATGGCACTTAATAACGTAGGTGAAGTGCACAATCAACTAGGGAAGTATAAAACTGCCAGTGAATATTATAAAGATAGTCTATCAATGTTAAGAAAGATTCATGGTAGTGATGCTCACCCAGGTGTTGCAAGGTCACTTAACAATGTAGGTTTAGTCTATAGACAACTAAGGGAATATACTATTGCCATGAAATACCTAGAAGATAGTCTATCAATGTTAAGAAAGATTCATGGAATTGATGCTCACCCAGATGTTGCCATGTCACTTAATAATGTAGGTGAAGTGCACTATCGCCTAGGGAAGTATACCACTGCCAGTGAATATTATAAAGATAATCTATCAATGTTAAGAAAGATTCATGGCAGTGATGCTCACCCAGATGTTGCAAGGTCACTTAACAATATAGGCTTCGTGCAGAGAGAACTAGGGAAGTATACCACTGCCAGTGAATATTATAAAGATAATCTATCAATGTTAAGAAAGATTCATGGTAGTGATGCTCACCCAGATGTTGCAAGGTCACTAAACAATATAGGCTTCGTGCAGAAACAACTAGGGGAATATACTATTGCCATGAAATACCAAGAAGATAGTCTATCAATGTTAAGAAAGATTCATGGAAGTGATGCTCACCCAGATGTTGCCATGTCACTTGATATTGTAGGTGAAGTGCACAATCAACTAGGGAAGTATACCACTGCCAGTGAATATTATAAAGATAATCTAGCAATGTTAAGAAAGATTCATGGTAGTGATGCTCACCCAGATGTTGCAAGGTCACTTAACAATATAGGCTTCGTGCAGAGACAACTAGGGGAATATACTACTGCCAGTGAATATTATAAAGATAGTCTATCAATGTTAAGAAAGATTCATGGAAGTGATGCTCACCCAGATGTTGCCATGTCACTTAATAATGTAGGTGAAGTGCACAGTCGGCTAGGGAAGTATACCACTGCCAGTGAATATTATAAAGATAGTCTATCAATGTATAGAAAGATTCATGGTAGTGATGCTCACCCAGATGTTGCCATGTCACTTTACAATGTAGGTTTTGTGCAGAGACAACTAGGGGAATATACAACTGCCATGAAATACCTAGAAGATAGTCTATCAATGTTAAGAAAGATTCATGGTAGTGATGCTCACCCAGATGTTGCAAGGTCACTTAACTATATAGGCTTAGTGCAGAGACAACTATTGCCATGAAATACCTAGAAGATAGTCTATCAATGTTAAGAAAGATTCATGGTAGTGATGCTCACCCAGATGTTGCAAGGTCACTTAACAATGTATGTTTAGTGCATAGACAACTAGGGGAATATACAACTGCCATGAAATACCTAGAAGATCTATCAATGCATAGAAATATTTATGGTACCCCCCTATCACACCAAACTAGTTCTTACCCGTTCTTGCCAGTCCTACAAAAATGTCGTAAAACGGGCTCAATCTGGCTGCGGTCGGGATATACGTCTAAAATAATTAGCTACTTCGTTCATAAACAGTCTTCAATACGTCCATCTCATTCGCAGTTCGTTCAGGTCGCACCACGTCGGTGTGCAACGTAGTATAAACTGTCCCTTAGTCTAGAAGGTCATCATGACCTGATTACAGAACGATACAGTCGCCATCGAATTTTGAATCGATTCAAAATTCTAAATCACAAACCCCGTCCGGAAAAGTCCATAAAGTTCGTAAACAGACCGTTGAACGTTGTAGCTACGTTCATTCAGTTCGAACACAGTTTAAAACCGATTTGGCAACGTTTTGACGATCACCAGAAAATTTTGAGCATGCTCTAAGTGCTGGAGGACCTACTCGTTCTAGTAGTTTCATGAAGTTTGTAAACAGATCCCAAACGGTTTTTAGTGGGTTCTTAGTACGTCAAATCCGTTCGTGCTCAGTTTAAGCCCGTTTTCGAGAACGTAGTGAGAACTAGTTTGGTGTGATAGTAGGGTAAGTAATGCTCACCCAGATGTTGCCAATTCACTCAACAATATAGGTACTGTGTATAATAGCATAGGGGAGTATTCCACTGCCTTGAAATATCTAGAAGATAGTCTATTAATGTGTCGAAATATTTATGGTAGTAATGCTCACCCAGATGTTGCCAATTAACTCAACAATATAGGTACTGTGTATAATAGCATAGGGGAGTATTCCACTGCCTTGAAATATCTAGGAGATAGTCTATCAATGTAAAGAAAGATTTATGGTAGTAATGCTCACCCAGATGTTGCCAATTAACTCAACAATATAGGTACTGTTTATAATAGCATAGGGGAGTATTCCACTGCCTTGAAATACCATAAAGATAGTCTATCGATATGTAGAAATATTTATGGCAGTAATGCTCACCCAGATGCTGCCAGGTCACTGCACAATATAGGTGAAGTGTAAAGACAGCTAGGGGAGTATACCATTGCCTTGAAGTACCATAAAGATAGTCTATCTATCAATGTACAGGAAATGGCAGTGATGCTCATCTAGGTGTTGCCAGGGCACTGCACAATATAGGTGAAGTGTATTATAGCATGAGGGAGTAACAATGCCATGGAATACTTCAATGAGTGTTTAGCAATATAGAGATATGTTTATTCCAATGACAACGACCTCTCTGTAGTGGCAACATTAGAAAATATAGAAGCATGCAAAAAAGATCAGGAAAAGGAGATGAAAGGGAGATGAACTCACTAACAAGTCCCATAATCACATGATCAATACTCGACACTCGACAGAACCAAACAAAATGTGTTTAGCTAAATTCAAACATCAGGACCTTTGCAATACCAAATCAGACATAACCAGATTCTACCATATCACTGAATAGTGAAGGTGAAGTGCATAGACAACTTGGGGAGTATAACACTTCGATGAGAGTTTCAATAAAGAATTTTGTTTGTTCAATGACGCACAGTAAGAACAGTAAAAAACATTGAAAATGTAATGAAGCTCTTGAAAATTAAATTAAAAGTAGTTTGGACTCACTTACAAGTCGCATGATTACAGAACCATGAGCTTTCAATAGATTACTGAAAACCCATGACAGAACCAAACAGGAAGGTCCCAACATCAGGACCTTTGCTATACCAAACCTGACATAATCTTCTTAACATAGACTTTCTACATATTTCAACTTGTTCACCAGTTAGCTTATACTGTACACAAATTAGACTTGTGTTGTATATACTGTAAATATACTGTAATAATCATGTGGGGTTGCAATAGGAAAACTTGTGCAAATATTTCACAGGTACCTCATGATACCAGGAGTTATCAAAACCAAATGCACATGTGTTATATTTTTTTTTTACTCTAGAACTCAATAAGGCCAGGGCTGGGTTGAACTGTCTGTGATTCTAGCGAGGTTAAATATACAAGATCTTCAACTTGAAAACTGTAAAAATATATACCCAAAGATATTGCTCACCTTCAAAGGTTGTAAACAAAATACAAAACAACAAAAATTAGTGAATCTAGTTGTATGATCAACTTTATGGTATGATGTGAAGCCTAAGGTCTGCTAGATGTTCAAAACTTAAGTTGTAGTCTATACATGTATGATTATTTAGCAACTTTACAGAAAATGTGTATCATGTCAGAAATTCGATTTTAATTGCATCCATGTTTAGAATACAAAAAAGTGTTTAGAATACAAAATCTCAATACTGATGTATTCTAAAAATGTATTGTCAGCACAGGACCTTAGATGGTTCTTTAATTTTTTTATTGAGAACTACCTCCTCCAAAAAGTATTTTAAATACAGGGCTAAACTCAAGCATATTTTGTAAAGACTAATGAAAAGGAGTGGTATCAATATGGTGAACTTTTTGAACACATGTTTCTCTTAGACCAGTCATCAAAACATTCTGAAAATTTTACACATCGTCAAATTAATGGTCATCTTTTGGAGGATAAAACTATAATTTGAAACATATATATATCCTTTTCTCTATATTGTTTTAGAAAACACATCAGCCACTTCTTTTGTTCTTGGTATCATATATTCGGAATGAAATGAAACATCTATCCGAACCTCATTGGAACAAAACGACATAAACACAATGCGTTTAGGTCTCTCAATATTGTAATTGTACAAGGGAAAGTTTGGTTCATTTAAAAAAAGTATCTTGTTAATAAAATAAAATGTTTATCTTAATTTTTACCTATTTTGGGGGTTTTGTTCTAAGTTTTGCATACATTTTGTAAAATCCCAAAATTTCAATTGATTTACTGTAATATTGAGAGGTCTAAAAAAATGTTGTATATGCTATTTTGTTTCAACAAAGTTCGGAAAGACATTTTATTTCATTCTCAAGAATTGGTAGAAAGGAACAAAAAAAACAATTGAACTAAAAATCTTAACAAAAACAGTTATATAAAATATATGTAAATAAATAATTTTTGCATTAAATTGTTGTCAACATTACATAAAGGACCGTGCATTAACAGAATGTTTTTAATAATTGGTTTAAGAGAAAAAAATTGTTGAATTCAGTTCACCATATCGATACCTATCCTTTGCCTGAATTTCTGTAAGAGCTCTAAGTGAAAATGTCCTTGAATGTTTTGTATAGTGTAAATAGGTTTATTGTGCAGTAATTGTTGTAAAATTAGATAATAATAACAAATAAAAATAGTGTGCTATTAAAATATAAGGAGTTATACACTAATCAATCACAAATCTAGTGTATTATTTCAAAAGGTTACAATGCTTTTGACCTTAAATGCTGTTTTTATATACAAAGGAGTGGTATCAGTATGGAGAACTTTTTGAACACACGTTTCTCTTAAACCAGTCATAAAAAATCTAAAAATTTAACACATCGTCTTTTGAATGGTAAAAATATAATTTGAAAAATGTATATATACTTTTATCTATATTGTTTTAGAAAACACATCAAACACTTGTTTTGTTCTTGGTATCATGTTTCCAGAGTGAAATGAAACATCTTTCCGAACCTCATTGGAACAAAACGACATAAACAAAAAAATCTTTTTAAATCAACCAAAAATTCCTTTGTATTACTATAATATTGAGAGGTCTAAAAACATGTTGTATATGCTATTTTGTTTCAACAAGGTTCGGAAAGACATTTTATTTCATTCTCAAGAATTGGTAGAAAGGAGCAAAAACAATTGCACTAAACAAACAAAAAAGTTATATAAAATATTTCTAAATAATTTTCGCATTAAATTGTTGTCAATCAGTCAACATTACATAAAATACCATGTTTTTTTATAGAATGTTTTCAATGATTGGTTTAAGAGAAAAACATTGTTGGATTCAGTTCTCCATATCGATACCAATCCTATGGGTTAAAATGGTTAAACTAAGGATATATGTAAAGGGTGCTCTAAAAAGTGGAACATTATCTAAATATTTTGGAGAAGATATATTTTTATATTAAATACAGGTAGACAAAAATTGTTTATCTTCTGTAAAGGTTTTATGAATATATTACTAAAAGAGAATGAACAATCTATCTTTTGTTTTTGCATAGCTTGGTCTAATAGTATGCAAATAACCCAGATGCGAGTAGAAATAATCTTGATTTACGTCATTAAAAATTCAAAATTCAGTCAAAGTAATATCATATTTGAAATCTTCATGTAAAATTACATCTAGAAATGTGGTTTTAAAAATTTTGTATCAACTTTGAAAAATTAATTTTCTTTGAAAATGTGACTTCTAGCTCGGGGAGATTCCTCATAGACCCCATGCTATAAAATCACAAAAAATGAAATATCTTTTCTTTTAGTGGACAGATAATATTTTGCTTTACCGGACATATTTCTATTAGTATAAGTATTAGGCACATAAGGGTTATATGAAAATTGAGCCACTTAAATAATATTCAAGTTTAAGGAAACTTTCTTATATACCTGCCATGTTAATTGACCCGAATCAGCCACCTGGTGGTGAAACTGGTAACTACCTACTCGCATTTGGGTAATTGGGCCAAAAAAAGAACATCCATATTTTTTATTTTGATATAATGTACAGGAAAGCTATTCCAAATTCTTATTTGTAGTTAGGAAAATCAGTAAGTTTCTTGATTGATCCCATAAATTATATAACTTGTTTCTTCAATGTATACCATTTCAAAGGTAAACGGAGAACTTAATTTTCACCCAGAATGTAGCCTACCAATTCTGTTCTTATTGATGTTGAATCAGTCTATCAAATCTTCCATATTGGTCTCAGTATGCTTCAATACTTCAATTTTTATAACTTACCTGGTTATATATAGATGTCAATGCATGTGGAATAGTGATGTGAAAGTGTCATACAGATTCTATATCCTACAGGTTGCTTATAGAGGATATATTTAAGTCACTTGGACCAATCTGAACACTAGAAATTTCACATAGCTGTAGCCTAGTGAGTAGCTATAAATTCATGTGAATACGTACCTCTGATCATGTGCGAGAGCCAAGGAATGTATACGTGTGTCACAGGTGGGGTAGGTGTATAGAAGGTTAAGGTCATGTGTGCGCCACACCTCAACAATTCCATTGTCTCCTGCCATCATTAAGTATTGACCATCCCTACTCATAGCAGTACACTGTAATACAAGATAATACAAGAGTTATGCGTGTGTCACATGTGGGGTATGTATATAGAAGGTTAAGGTCGTGTGTGCGCCACACCTCAACAATCCCATTGTCTCCTGCCATCATTAAGTATTGACCATCCCTACTCATAGCAGTGCACTGTAATACAAGATAATACAAGAGTTATGCGTGTGTCACATGTGGGGTATGTATATAGAAGGTTAAGGTCGTGTGTGCGCCACACCTCAACAATCCCATTGTCTCCTGCCATCATTAAGTATTGACCATCCCTACTCATAGCAGTGCACTGTAATACAAGATAATACAAGAGTTATGCGTGTGTCACATGTGGGGTATGTATATAGAAGGTTAAGGTCTTGTGTGCGCCACACCTCAACAATCCCATTGTCTCCTGCCATCATTAAGTACTGACCATCCCTACTCATAGCAGTGCACTGTAATACAAGATAATACAAGAGTTATGCGTGTGTCACATGTGGAGTATGTATATAAGAGGTTAAGGTCATGTGTGCGCCACACCTCAACAATCCCATTGTCTCCTGCCATCATTAAGTATTGACCATCCCTACTCATAGCAGTGCACTGTAATACAAGATAATACAAGAGTTATGCGTGTGTCACATGTGGGGTATGTATATAGAAGGTTAAGGTCGTGTGTGCGCCACACCTCAACAATCCCATTGTCTCCTGCCATCATTAAGTATCGAGCATCCTTACTCATAGCAGTACACTGTAATACAAAAATAATTTGAACATATTTCAATTTCAACACAATATCTTTCATTTAAATACATAATATTATTACATATCGGTGAATAGGTGGCATATAAAATATGCAAATATATGATGGCTTGTACAGTAAAACCTGTAAAATTATAAAAATATATTCCATTTTCTAAAGTTTGTGAAATATAAATAGTTGTTATTTAGCAATACATGTATAACTTTTTCCATCAACCACTTACCAATACATTATCATTGTGTTCCATCGATCTCAACAGCTTTCCTGTTAACCCAAACAGACAAACATTTCCTTTTTCATAGTTGGCAACAATGTAACCCTCTCTGTTCATAGTGATAAGTTTTGGGGACCTAAAGTTGTCTGGGGCATCGAGTGAACGTAGCAGTTCCCCTGTCGTGGTATGAACAAGTATTGGACCATCTGAAACACAACATTGAGGTAATATAGGCCACATTCTCATTTCCATCAATTAAATTCTATTCTGTATCAAATTGCACAAAGCTTTTCTAGCAATTTTCCCAAGTAGTACAATTAGCTGTTCTGAAAATTTAAGAGGTCTGTTTGGTTGAGAGCTGGACGAACTAATGCAATGTTTATACAGTGAAACCTGTAAAGTGAAACAAACACTTCTACAAGTGGAACACCTCTGTTAGTTGAACACTTGTCAGAGTCCCAAGACCAACTGCCATAATGTTAAATGAACCTCTTAAGTTGAACACCTCCCAAGTGGAACACTCTTTTTGTGTTCCACTTAAACAGCTTTTATTGTATTAGCAGCCACTTACTGTATGAACCAGATATGACGATACCAAGTTCAGCAGATACGACGATGCACGTCACTTCCTCTTGGTGACCTGTCAATGTGGCCTTTGGGGTCGGGTTCTCTACACCTGGGGGTACAAAAATGCAAAGTAAACTACCTGTAAGGATGCTTATGACATACTGAGCTAGTAATAACGAATAGAAAGGGTGGGGGTTGGTCTATATGGTCATATATGAAGTCATAAAGAATTGTTGCCAGGCATGCATTAATTTATGTATAAGTATATGGGCAATGAAAATATGACATCAGAAATTGTGATACATGTGGTAGACCTATGATTAAAACACTCAATATTTATATGTAACAAAGGAAAAGCTTTTAGGTAAAGGGATTATAAATCGTGTTGCATGGACTGTTTTCTTTTAATTTATTTATTCTACAAGATGATCTGAAAATTTAGCTTCACGTGATTACAGTCAATGTTTCATAATTGATTCTCTACACAGATGTCATTTTTGGAATTAAAAATTGAATTCCAAAAAAACTTTCTTCCCACCAATGCCCATATAATTGGCCATGACTTGAAGATTTGATGGTTTGAAATTACAATGCAGCCTTGAATACAGTCAATTACCCAGTCACCAAATATCAACACAAATATTTCAGACTGAGAATCACAAAATAGATAAACAAACAAAAAGCATGAATGTACACATAAACCTCAAAAACTTAAATAAACCAATAAAAATAAATGTTTGATAAATTTTTTTAATTAAATTGTGTTGTACACTGCCTGCATATCGTATGTTAAAAGAACTGAGCTTAGAAATTTTGTCTTGTTTAATACTGAATAGGCTGATTCAGAAAATAAAAATCTATTGGTTATCATGTTATTTGTATAGTTTCAAGGCAGATATGGAATTCAATTATTGCTTAGTTTTCATAATTGGCTTTTGTTGACAAACATTTATAAGTATGACATCAGTAATTTAAATACCCCTGTTTACTCGATCAACCTCCATTGGGAGGTTGTGGATTCATTCCCACGAGATGGAGTGGCTTCCTTTCGTATCCCATGTTTCAAATTAACCACCACCTAATACTGTAATTTCAAAGGTGCAAAACAGTGCTATATATTTCTCAAGTTTTATAAATGTGAAAATGAGTCAGACTCATATTAAAACACCAGAAATCCCGAAATAAAAAATGTATTCCTGAAAATATTCCATTACCACACAGAAACTGACTTACCCCCGACTGTATGGGCAAAATGAACAAAATATAAACATGCATAAATTCAAGAATGTGCTTAATATAATTGACATACACTGTATAAGGATAGAGCACATCTTGCACCATGCCTCTAAAAACCTCTCTTATAGTCTTTCATCAAACCCTTTTACTCCCTAATTCTCTCTGGATATGTCAAGAAGACAATTAGGATGTTCCGTTTTTATGGCTTCTGATCAAGTTTTTAGTTTGGCCAGTTGGTCTCCTAGTGGTAAAAATTTAGAGAAATTTTCAGATATTGTTGTGAGAGGGGGTGTCTAAACATCAGCTGATTTTTTGTACTGTTTCCTCTACCAGGGGACCAACTGGGCAAATGACAAGCTTCCTAAAAAGTTCTTAAAATGGAACACACTAAAGAGAATGTAGGTGAGGGATGTAATAGCATGATGTATAATTTCACTTTTACACCTCGTTTTAGGAACCTGATGCAAGACTATTTCAAACATGGCATTTTTTCATTCGTATGAACAATATAAAAGCGCAATAAGCAAAGTACAACTTTAAATAGATACAAAGAGGGATTAGCAAGGAATAAATACATATGTACACATATGAACTTCTAAATTATACTGAAATACAACAAAATCAGGTACTTCATTTAAAAGTTGAAATTAGCAAACATTTGTGAAAATGAGTGAAGTGAAAAAATAAAGAAATATCACAAATGTATGTATATTTAAACTGTCCAATTTGTACAAATGTGCCAAAAATTCAATTAAATTTTGGAGAAAAATGAACAAAATTAGAAAGAAATAAAATTCACAATTGTTTAGCCAACTGTGTAATTTCTACAAAAATGCCAGAAAAACTGACACTTCAGTCAAATTTTAGAGAGAAATTGAGTAAAATAGGCATGACATGAGCAGACGTTTGACGCCAAATATTTAAGAATTACTTACTTCCATTGTCTCCCAGGATAGCTCCAGCCTTGGAGTTCCAATGCCATACCATAGCTGTACAGTCTCGGGAACCAGTTACGACGTAACAGTCTTGGTTGACGTTGCACTCGGATCTTGCTAGGCACGTAACCAGATCAAAATGGCCATAAACTATCTGGACAAATTTGGCTAAAAATACAATATTTATATTATGAGTGAGAAAGTACAAAAGGTACAAGTCATTAACATGCAAAATGCCACCACCTGCCATTTGTTACAGATGCTGTATGCCGAAACGAACTGCTGAACATGCATGTCAACTTCTGGTGGTGAAATAAAAGTGGATATATCCATTAGTTCAGAAAAATGGCAGTTTTAATAGTCTGAAAACTGTTGGCAAATGGTTAGAAAGAAGGACAGACGAATGGATAGACGTCTGGCTGAGTGGGTGATTGCATAGGCTCACCATGTGGGCAAATAAAGCCTACAAGTACGAGATTCACTAGTTGTGTACATACAATCAGTATTGAATATAGGGTTTTAAACCTCAGCCAGCAAATATCTTCTCTTGGTCCTTGTTTTACTTTAAATCTTTATTTTCACATAATATTTTACAAACAAACATGAGAGATTGAAATGTTTTGAACTTGAAGAAAAAAAACACCAGTGACATTCACTTTTTGATTGTAACGAAACATAATGACATACTAAACTTTTTAAAATAGATATCACTAACTATCATTAATTCAATTTAATACTTTCAGGTGTACAACTACCTTAACTGTTAAATAATAAAACAACCCACTTACCCGAATCCGTGGCAAAAATGCGGAAACTTTTATCCCAGAATCCACATGCCATAATGTTCCTATTGTCAGCAGTTGTCAGGAATGAAGTGTGACGGAATTTAAATCTCTCATCAAAGTTGTTGCCAAGGTTACGTCTGTGTAATCCAGTTCCATAAACTGTAAATAGATAGCGAATATGTCAAATTGAATATCAGACAGCTGGAACTGATCATTTGAAAACATAATGCAAAAATTAAATATGCGAGCTAAAAATGAAAACAATATTTGGATATTAAATGCTAACTACGTTGAAAAACTTTGAAAATATGATGACTGAAAAGAAAACACTGAATTGATTCTCGATTCTGAAAGATAATTCTCAAAGGAATGTTCAGATATGTTGTTATCATGTTATAACTGTGATATTTACACGCAACCAGATCCTAACTCTGTTGTGCCAGTCAGGCAACTAAATATTTATGGAATATATACAATATGCATCACCCACTCAATGTAAACTTTTTACATACAACTAATAAATAAATAATAAATATAGAAGGGCGCTTGGAAGACTAGGCTAGCAGACAGCTTTTACATATTTTTTTACCAATCTTATATAAATTAGGTCTTTGTGGTCATAGATTTCCCCATGTACACTAGATCAATACATATTTTGGAGGGAGATGAGGGGGGGGGGGGTTAGTCGAATCGATTCTTTAAAAGTGTACCAGTTACATGATTGTGCTGAACAAAAGTATAAATAAAATATTGTCTATAAGGCTGAAGACTACAATGCAAATACATTATTTACATGCACAATGTCAAACAAAGCAGTCTATAAACTGTATACAAAGCTGTATAATGTACATAGTCAAAACTGTAAAATGTGCATCTTCACCATCACATAATTATTATAGACACTAGATTGATAGAAAGATGGCGCTGCAATTTGCCTAATTATTACATTTTAACTGCCATCTTTCTGTCAATGTAGTACTTATTCTGACTTTATGGCACTTGGGAAAATTGACTTATGTACCTTAGCCCACCTTAGCAAAAAGCAGGCAATGTCCCTTCCCAATAATTTCTGTCACTTTGTACTACACCAAAGAAGCTACCAGGCTTGTCAGATGGGGGAGATGCAGGGTTGCATCTAGCCAATATATCCCAGCTTCTTCGGCATTGTAAAAAGTGATAGGGTTATTACCAATAATATGACATGCCTCCCTAAAACAATGCATTTTTATATAATCCTGGGTTCTCTTAGTCTAATCCTGGGTTCTCTTAATCTGATATGGCAGGCAACCCCAGATGAGTCGATACAAGTATATTATGTAACATATTTTACCAATTAACTAGCAAGACAACATGATAAAAGTCAAAATTTGGATCAATTTAGGGTCAGTTCCTCAAAATATCATAAAAGGAAGATTCTCGGTTTGGAGAACAGTCTCCTGGGCTAATAATTTTTTCATGAAAAATATAGAAATATTACCCAAATTAAACTTTGAATATTCAAAAGAGGACATTTAAATCTACAAGATGTAAAAATAACAAATTGGTCTGAAGCAGGGATAATGCTCAATTAGACCTATTTAATAAAATACAAGTCTCGATTTGGGGAAAGAAGTTCATCAGTGTACTGTGCTAATATTTTTTTGCGAAAAATCTAGAAATATTACCCAAATTAAATTATGACTATTCAAAAGGAGACATTCAAATCTATATTATGTAAAAAAATCAAATCTGTCCGAAGCAGGGATAATGCTCATTTAGATTGATGAACTTCGTTCTCCAAACCGAGAATCGTCCTTTGATTCTTGATTTTAAGTGTTGCTATAAAGCAATATGAACTTAAATAAAGTTGCCATAGCAACATCAATTTTCACAATATTGCCATAGCAGCAACAAACAACAAGAATCACGATTTTCAATTTTGTTTAAAAATGTTCAATGTCTGATGCTATATAGGCTTTCAAGTTTTTCCTTTTGTAAACAGCCTGGATTCATGGTTTAAAATGAAAAGTTATGGGGAAATCACTGCAAACTATCAACTAAAAGTCTCAGGTATGACACCATAATCAACCCAATTTTTAATACAGCCAGTCACAGTCAGAAGTTGGACAACATTTTTCCAAAACAACATTTTCAGAAGTTGTGCTGAAGAATGAATTGTATTTCTATCTACAGTATATAGAGTATAGTATCCACAAAACCATATTTTGCAAGAATTTATACACGCCCATATATAGAATTACCTGTGGGTTTGCTAGGGGCTGAAAGTAAAATAAAAAAAATGATTGGCATAAAAAGTTTTTAAATTAAAAAATATAAAATCATTTGATGTACATACATGTAAATGAAACAATTTTGTATTTAAACATAAATAAAACGGAAATGCAAGTGAAACAAATTTGTAGATGATAACATACAGGATATAAGATGGTAACTCAGATGATAACATGGACAATATTAGATGATAACACAGTCTATTGAATAAGTTATCGATATCACATCAGGTGGGGGAAGGACGCAGCGGTGGGAACTCAAAGAAATTCAAAGGACCATGTGAGGTATTGCAAGTGATTTTAGACAGTTGTATCTTTCACTATGAGTAGTTTCTGGCCATAAATACAGTGGTTTTAATTAAAACAATGTGTTTCCTTTAAATTGAAGTCCACATGATAGTAAAATATCGATCTAACTCTCTGAAAAATTGTGGATTAGGACCCCACCTTCGTACTTTTTAAAAAATTCTACTTTTGAAGTTTTAGATCTCTTGTTGAATAATCTTTTCATGCAATAAAAATCAGAAAAAGAAGATCCTCTTTTGAGTAAATATATTCAACATTTTGGAAAAATTGTTGATATAAGGTCCCTATTCATAATTTTTCAAAATGTTCTATTCATATTTTTAATCATAATCAGAAAACATATTGTTGTAATAAAAACCACTGTATGCCCAGAAAGTACTGTTGCTGAAAGATGACTGTCTGAAATCACTTGCCATATACTACACATAGACCTTTGTAATTTCTATTTATGTTGATAATATCCTTTATAATTTGGGTCTTTCTTGAGTTACCTGAACTATTCAAATGGTCTCATTAACAGTGATGAAATATAATTTTAACAGTAAGCCTCTGGATAGGTCAATAATTATATTTTGTATACTTTAGTGACCAGCATGGCATTGATTTGACATAAGAAAGGCAACATAAGACTCGTATATAATACATTTATCATATTGAATTATAAAAATTGTAGATTCACCATTATGCTTTGTTAAGTAAATTGCAGAATTCACTAATAGAGGAAAATCACTAATAAAGGAAAATCACTAATAGAGGAAAATCACTAAACAAACAGTCAAACTGAATATAAGAGTTATGAGAAATACAACTCTGTCCATAACCAATGCACACTTTGCCCACTCCATCTTAGAATTCAGACCATTCTGTTGCTTGGCAACAGCATCCAAATTACGCTGTTTCTCAGTTTTCAGAAACTGTAGGACTTCCAAGGTTTCATCTCTTGTACTATTGTGAGCGTTTGTGGGATCAGAGTGTCCATAACGATTGGACGTTCTCGTTGTGGCCTGCGACTCTGCACCATTGATAAACCCAAGATTGATCCCTTGTTCGGAAACTTTCTGAACATATTTCTCCTTAGTAATATTACCCTGCATGTGGCTCACTGGGCGAACCCCCAGAACTCTGCCGAGACGTTGAATGATATTCCGCTTTATAAACTCAGGGACGGGTTTACCATGTGTGCCATTAAAGTGAATGTTGAGGCTCCCGATGGTAAGGCACACGGACAAGCACATAATAAAAATGATAAAGCCGAGATATTGGCTCAACATGGGGATGACATCTGATTGTGTCGGGATACTCTCAGAAATAGTCAATTGCAGGACGATCATTGATAACAGAACCATAATGGATAAATGTGCTCGTGCTCCAGCTTCGATGGGCATGAGAAACCCAACGATGCTAATGGTCATTAACAAGGCACAGGGCACAATGATGTTGTAAATATAGAACATAGGCTTGCGTTTGAGCACTATCGTAAATCTAAGATCCGAAAATGAATCAGGACAGCAAGCGTATGTTTTAACCCTTCTCGAGACAGGAAAATCAATTAGTTCCCATTCGCCGTGAAGAACGAAGTTTGATTTGTCGCCAGTGGCGTTGAGTGGGAATATATCTAGCTGGTCCATTGCATAATTCCATGATCCTAGGAATATATAACAGTACTGCGTGTCAAATGGGTAATATGCAATATCAACATTGCATGATGTAGCTGCCACGGAAGGTACGAGCCATCTTGCATTCCCAGAATGCCACACTGTGATGTCTAAATCACTGAAATGTTCAAGGTCTGATGGGTCATCACCTGCATTGTTGAATAACGTAATATCAGGCAGCCAAATTTCATTTTTCTTAAAACGCATTTCCTCAATATTCCCATAATCGTTTGGGTCCCATCGCAGACGGGGATCATTCCAAAATGTCCGGAACCAGAGAAATGAATGCAAGGCACGATTACGGACATCCAGTTGCCTAATTTGGTTAATCGCAATATCCATTGTGATATTAGCTATCGCATCAATATCCAAACCCGGCCGAGATGTTGGCAAATAATACCGCAACAAATCATCATGGAGTCTTATATCATGGCTTTTGTTGTAAACTATAGCCGTTGCCATTTGAGACACCACAATCAACAGGAAACTCTTTACACCGAAAGAAATCATATCTGTCGTTCTAAAGAATATTATATGATGGAACGATTACTGTAGTTGGACATGAATCAATAAAGTTGTTTTTATCGATACATAAATAATTAATAATCTTTAACATAAGTTCATCGTTTTAAGTATAATGTTTCACTATTTGAGCATCGCAAACTGACTTGGATGTATTCTATGACTGTCACACAATATTGTGTTTTGAAATATCCATTTCTATGTCTTCCTTATATGGCCATCAAATCCGATTAGGCGAAAAGCTCATAAGAAATAAGACCCAATCTTTGTAGCGAGCATTGAAAGATATGCTCTATATAAGAATACTTGTGTGTTATATTACGAGTAATAGAACGAGCTCATACCCTGAGACTTGTTTTTGAGATCCAATGTTTAGTTAAGCATTCTCGAGTAGGTAACAAAAGTATGGCGGTACACAATGCATCTCTAACTCAAACATGACTTTTGCGTGTTTTTATGATAAGCATTGTCGTAGAATTCACGTTTACACAATTTTTTATATAGCCTTCACAGTTTTTTCATCAAATCATCGAAAATGTTAATTTGATCTGAAATTTATCGCAAACTCCAAACAGAATATGTTTACTAAGCTTTACAAAATGTTCATTCCTACATTTCCTACAAATCATTTTTGTTGTGTTTATCCATTCCATATATGCTATAAATAATCTGAAAATATTTTGTATGAGAATATACTTCTTAAAAATGATAAATCCTTTAAGTTGATCCAAAATCAAACTCCATTAACACTTTCATGTATATTTCCTGAAAATATTGTGTGCATTGATATACTACTTTTAAGAATGAATCTTTAAAGTTATCTAAAATCCCAAAAGTTCCATTAGTGGTCTTAGCTTCTTGTGTGTTCTGATACTACTTTGTGCATTAGATAATCTATAAAGAGACCTGCTGTTACTGCAAAAATCTATTGAATCTTGGCATTACTTGAGCAATTAACTTTTGAGTTAGCTGAGTAAATATAAGTATTTGTATTGAAATCAATTGTTCCTGAATCTAGGTTTTATCTTAAAGAGGCACTGTCTCTGATAAAAATGTGAAAATTGTGAAAATGTTTGGAAAATATTTTTCTTTTCTGTAATATGTGGATAATTCTCACTCCTATTTTGAAATGCAATAAAGCTAGTTAAAGCTATTAAAATGGAACAAAAAAAACAAATGATGCACCGATTCGTGCAATGGGTTATTTTATTTAGCATAACAAAACATCTTATACAGATAAACTAAATGATGGGTCAGGGAAACTGGGCATGTAAAACATAGCTGCAATGATGATGGGAGGGAGTCAGTTCAAAAATACCTTAAATAATACAAAGAGTGCCACTTTAAATTAACATTAGTAGCAAAAGTAAATTAATCTTCTAAACAACAAAGGCACATTGTCTTTCCAAAGAATCCAGAGTGCAGCGATTTTTATTAATTGGCAGCCCTAATTGACTAATCTAATTGCATTGGTGGATCTAAATCAAATATTGTGAACTACAAGTTATGGTCATCAATTACCCAGGCACCATAGAAAAACAAGTCGTAAACATGCATGCCAGGAACTTCACAAAAATAAAATGTTACTCAACAGACTCACAATTGTCTACAAAGTAATATCCTCACCAATTTTAGTTAAATTATTTACAAGTTGCAGACATTTAAATTGCATGTGCTTGGTAGTTTTATGAGTTTTTTCAATATTATTTTCCTAATGAAATTACATAATCTGGAGGATTAATTCAATTTAGACGTATAACCTGTTTGTCATTACAAACTTATCTCATTCAGGCCCGTAGCCAGGATTTGCCAAGGGGGGGGGTTCAGTTTTCGAAAATTTCCAGGGGGGTTCACATTTGACAATTTTGGCCCAAATATGGCTAAAATCACTTGAGAAGTGCACATAATGGTGAAAAACTGCATGATTTTGAAAGGATTTTTGGCCAGGGGGGAGGGGTTCACCCGAACCCTGGGAACCCCCCCCCCCCCCTGGCTAGGGGCCTCTTATTCATGTCTATGTTTATAAGTGTTTTTTTTTTTTGTTTTTCAATGTTGCTCCTTATGTTGCTCTCTCTAGAGCTACTTCTTACAGAAACATTATCTTTCTTTTATATTCATCTCAGACAAAACATGACTACCAATATGTATATTCGGAAATGAAAATCGATATGCATATTTCTTTGATCTTGTGTAAACCTTGTATTTTCTTTAGCTCCATGAATACCAGATCTATTTCGGATGTATTCGCTATCTATCTTTATATTTGATGATTTGTTTTTGTGATATTAGTGAACATTCATAAAATTAGTATACACTTTTTAATACATGATTTGTGTATTGAATTGACTAAAATTTGTCAAAGTTAGAGCCATCAATGGGTAAGTGAGAAATAATATGACCAACATACAACTGGCATTTGGATATACAAGAGGTCATTCTTTCCGACAGATTCAAATTAGAAATATTTTATGATGCATATATCAAAGATTGCTGGCTTTCGAATTTTCTGTATATTTATTTCAACAATTAATCATCAAGTAGTGCAAAAAGCACCTGTTTTTTGCAGAAACATTTCACAAAAAATTATCAACACCTTGCCATTATTAGGTGTTCCTTAATGCCTTTCAAATATTTCAAATCTTACAAATGTTTGTGTTGTAAAAGTTTCAAATCTAAAAGAGTGTGAATGTTTGGTAGTAGATTATATTAATCAAAACCTAAATAGTTGTTATTTTAAGCGATTGATCCAGAACTTAATTGCAGCTTTATTAAAAAATACATTGCAAATATTGGATTGTATTATCATATACTAATGGATGTTTTCATTAAATATTCTATCAATCCACAAGCTGTATTGTATAAACCATTTGCATTTCTCAGTATATTCGATCCCAAAGAGGCCAATTTCATAATATGACAAAAAATGAAGCCTTTTACAAACCATGGCATATTGAATGCACCTTTACCTGAGTGTTAAAGGTCCTAATGGAAATGCTATGGTGTTATTTGCAGATGCCATTGAAATAAATTTATTTAAAAAAAAATTGCAGATGCTATATGAGAGAGTTTCTATGCATTACATATCAAAGACTGATGCCCAGAATTAGTACAAATTCATTAATTCATTTATCATACAGATGTGACATTTCAAAGTAGCAATCAACACAGTTACGCATGTAGAGGAAATCTGAAGTGTTTGTTCTTGGTTGTTTCTGACAACTTGCAACATTTATCATTTATTCAGATTGCTTTGAATAAAGAAATGAAATGCAGTGATCTGCCCAGCATTAAAGCAAGTGGGCGCAGCGCAGCAGCACCCACCTGAGATTTTGAAAATAGGCTTGCACCCACCTGAAAATCCATTTGCACCCATTTGAAAATGAGAAAAATTATGAAAAATTGGTACATTTTGACAGATTTTGGTCTGAATTGTGAAAATGAGAATTTAGCATCCACCTGAGAAAAAATCCTAGGGAGATCACTGAAATGAGTGCCTAACAGGTGTAAAAATATGACGTTTTTTAGTAATATTGACACTACCATTGTGTTTGCCCTGAACTTCTTTAAATTCATGAGATCTCCCAGAAAGAACAAACTGTCTATTTATGTTGTAAGTTTGAATAAAGGGAAATAACAATTACATGTAGGCCTATGTCCTCATTGTCTGAACTATATTGTTGAGTCACATATTCCATATTCAATGTGGCTAGAATATATCATAGATGATCTAAATCTTTAACGGTGTACCTTATTCATATACATGTGTGTTAATTAAATATATTCAAGCAAGGCTAGAATGCAACCAAAATGTCAAATAAAATCATATCTTTAAGGGGGCAGCTGGTCAGTTAGGATGACATAAAATCTGACCAGCTGTATTCATTAAGCTGTAATGTGATAATCCATGCAGTTATTATAAAACTCATATCAAAATCAAACATATTCATGAGCTTAAGGTAGGTGGAGTGGAGCAGTTTTTGGACTTGTGTTCTCATTCTACTCTTCCTTCCTTAATTGATCAAAAATAACAAACTTATAAAACTTATAAAATGCTGCACTGTTAAATTCATGGGCAAATAATGAAAAAGAAAACGAGTGGAATTATTGGATATTAATAGTTACCTAGCAACTGGTCCATTGATAGAGGGAGCTGTGGTGTATTCTCAGATTTGTTCTCATAGCTTGGAGCTGGCGTAGAAGCACCTAAACAATAAAATATATCTGTTGTGTATAATTTGTGAACACCCATACTGTTCAGGATTTTAACAGCAAATAAATTCTCTTTCATTGAATTTACTGACACAGACCTTTCTTCATAATACCATTTTTTGAATAATTTAATTTTATAATATTAATTGTTCTATAATAATGATGTCATTATTTGTATCTCAAGTATTTTCAAAATCATGATAACAAAATATTTTGAGAAAATTATACAAATTTCCAAATATTATAATTCTATTGAATAGACACGAGGAGCGTATAGGTCTCAAACTCGCAACCTCCTGGTTACGGCACCCATAAACCGACCTTGAACTCGACAACCCCAAAAAAGTTTGTTATATTAGTTGATCTGATAAGAGGCAGCAGGTGTTAACGCTCGAACTCACAAAGGAAGCGCAAAATAAAATATTTCTTGCAATATTGAATAGACAAAAGATGGCGACAACAATACATTTAAAAAAGTGTAACAAAAACCAATTTCCTTACCTGTATTTTGATTCCATTTATTGATGGAGAAGTTATGGTTACACGTGATGGCTGTGACGGAGGGGGACGGAACTGCCGGGTGGGTATTGCAAGAAAGATGACATACAGGAGAATTTGAAAGAAACTTCATAATCATACAAACGTCATCCTGTTGCCCAGTGAACATCATAGGACTCTGAAAAGAAGAAAATATTTCATTTTAACCCATTAGTTACCCAGAGTGACGGAAAAACCAGTCACAGAATATTTGATAAATTTTGTTTAATTAACTCCAAATAGTTTGTATTAAAATATGTTTAGTAGATCGCTATTAGTACAATAACGTCATTTCTAAGGACAATATAGTGAATTATTGGACCGAGGGCCAGTCATTAATTACATTATTGACTGCCATTACGACGTCACATATTGCTCAGGTCGATATTGTAAAATGAATGCCTTCTAAACTAGCACTAAAACCCCTAGAACTGGCCCAGCAAGGTGGTAATTATCAATAATATTAGCAAAATAAATACGAAACATTGTGTAATAAGATAAAAAATATTCAATATATCTGTAATGTTATCTGACCCGAGATAGTAATATAGTGGTATCTTCTTACACAATAGGGTAACAGGGATTACTTTAGCAGCAGGCAACAGGCAATTTTCACAGGTTGTTTTCACAAAATTGCCTGTTGTTTTAGGGACTTTTCAAGTTTTCCATTTTAAATTTATGATTTACATTAATTTTGCATGTTGTTTTCATTTATTTAGCCTGTTGTGAGAAATTCTTGTGAAACCCGATTCATAATTACCAATTTAAAGCCTATCAACTTGAGACTTTACAATGTTCAACCTACCACATGCATGGCTGAGCTTCGAGGTGGGTGGGGTTCAGTCAGCAACTGAGAGGGTGTTTGTCCAAAACAACGAATCTGGTTTTCTATAGCCTAAAACAAACAAATATCGCAACACCATAAGAAGAGTTAAAGCTAAGGGGAAAAATGTGTAAGAAAATATTAACTTGAGAAAACAGAAAAAAGAAAACTTTTGAGACACCCTTTATTTGGGAACTATAACGAATTATCAAAAGAATAAAGGAGAATGCCTCATTAAATCGTATAAAATGCTCACAAATAAAGAATTAAGTATACTGACATCTATATTAATGCATTGAACTATTTCTTCATAACATGAAACGTGACTTATTTTTGGCATTTCTAAAATCTTTTTCTCAATTAAGTATACATGTTCATCACATGTCTATGTCGATAATCTGCTCAAGGTCACATACCGCTTTCATAACAGGATCTGTCATTTTCTCCAGGTCTACACTTCCCTCGTATGTGAGATAATAGAATACATTTGTAGCCCTAACCGCCTCTGGTCCTTTCTGTTTATAGCCAAAGATCAGGTCTATCCAATGATGCAACTGGCAAGATATGAACTCTGTCTCTAATGCCTGTGTGATATAAATGTAAGATAATAGAATACATTTGGATCCATTTTTTGCTTGTTTTCAGAAATCATTATGAACTTAACATTCAATAAGAATTGCATAATATGGAAAAGGTAATAAAATATCTATAGACTTTAAAACTCACCATTCTGTTTATGCGTACAAAATCCTCTGGAGTTTTAGCCCAGGGGGGTAATTCAACATTGTCTACAGACACACCATCATCCATCTTGCCAAGTTTGTAACTGTTGTTATTCACAAACATATCCGGAAGGTAGAAAAACTCTGGGATCAACTCCTATAAAAGAGGAAAAAATACCTAAAAAACATACTGGCCTGAAATTTAAATATGACATCTCTATATTATTATGTTAACAAGACATTAACATGCAAAATGTCACCACCTGCCTGCCATTTGTTTCAGACACTGAACACAGAACGTTCATTAACCACTGAAAACCAACCGCCAGACACCAACTGCTGAACACCATCCACAAAAAAGTTGGAGATTACAACAATATGTCAACATTTGTCGTGGTGACATCATAACTAAGCATCACAATCAGGTTAATGTTTCAACTGCCATCTATTGAATATTTAAGGGAAGAATAGTAACCAGTATTTTTAGTGCGAATATAGCGTGTTTCAATTAATGTATTCTTCAATGAAACAATCGCCATATTTTTCAACAAATCATGGAAGATGAGAATGAAATGCTCCCTGATGCTCCCTGAAGCACATTTGCTCATAAAGCACATTTTACTCCATTTATGCCTCGATCATATAAGCTCTGATTTATCCGCCGGCGCCTGGCCGATTGGGTGTTTTGTTCAGAATTACATTTCATTTTCGAACAAAATTCTCAATCAGCCAGGCACTACATACAGAGCATTACATACCTTGACATCACTGGTATCTCTTTGACAATTCTTCCAGGACTGAGCTATTGAATGGAATGTACGGTCAGCATGGTCAAACTTTCCCCCTTGGAGGTTTAGGAACATGCTTGTGAATGGCTCCTGTAAGGTTAATACAAAACATGGAATATTAAAACATTTGAAAACATGGAATATGAAAATATGGAATAGTGAATAAAGACGCGTAACATGAGTGTTTGTGCTATTGAATAAAATGTAATGTTATCAATCGATTTATGCAGGGTGACCCAATAATAATGCAACTCATGAATAAAAATAACAAGGCATTAACATGACAAAATGTCACCACCTAGTTGCTCACAATATTATGAGTTCAAACTTAAGTCAGATTTGAATTTCTGAGAACTTGTAAAGTCAAATTTGAACTTCTGAAAAGATGTAGATGATTTTGAAAAAAAAATTTGGTCAATTTGAAGCAAGTTGAAAACAGACCTTTTTTGACCTTGAGAAGGTCATTAAAGGTCAAATGTCAAATCTAAAGTCAGATTTGAATTTCTGAGAACATGTAGATGATTTTGAAAAAAATTAGTCAATTTGAAGCAAGTTGAAAAAAGACCTTTTTGACCTTTTTTGACCTTGAGAAGGTCATTGAAGGTCAAATGTCAAATCTAAAGTCAAATCTAAAGTCATATTTGAATTTCTGAGAACATGTAGATGATTTTGAAAAAAAATTTAGTCAATTTGAAGCAAGATGAAAAAATACCTTTTTGACCTTTTTTGACATTGAGAAGGTCATTGAAGGTCAAATGTCAAATCTAAAGTCAGATTTGAATTTCTGAGAACATGTAGATGATTTTGAAAAAAAAAATTAGTCAATTTGAAGCAAGTTGAAAAAAGACCTTTTTGACCTTTTTGACTTTGAGAAGGTCATTGAAGGTCAAATGTCAAATCTAAAGTCAAATCTAAAGTCATATTTGAATTTCTGAGAACATGTAGATGATTTTGAAAAAAAAATTTAGTCAATTTGAAGCAAGTTGAAAACAGACCTTTTTGACCTTTTTTGACCTTGAGAAGGTCATTGAAGGTCAAATGTCAAATCTTAAGTCAAATCTTAAGTCAGATTTGAATTTCTGAGAACACGTAGATGATTTTGAAAAAAAAATTTAGTCAATTTGAAGCAAGTTGAAAACAGACCTTTTTGACCTTTTTTGACCTTGAGAAGGTCATTGAAGGTCAAATGTCAAATCTAAAGTCAGATTTGAATTTCTGAGAACATGTAGATGATTTTGAAAAAAAAATTTAGTCAATTTGAAGCAAGTTGAAAAAAGACCTTTTTGACCTTTTTTGACTTTGAGAAGGTCATTGAAGGTCAAATGTCAAATCTTAAGTCAAATCTAAAGTCAGATTTGAATTTCTGAGAACACGTAGATGATTTTGAAAAATTTTTTTAGTCAATTTGAAGCAAGTTGAAAACAGACCTTTTTGACCTTGAGAAGGTCATTGAAGGTCAAATGTCAAATCTTAAGTCAAATCTTAAGTCAGATTTGAATTTCTGAGAACAGGTAGATGATTTTGAAAAAAAAATTTAGTCAATTTGAAGCAAGTTGAAAACAGACCTTTTTGACCTTTTTTGACCTTGAGAAGGTCATTGAAGGTCAAATGTCAAATCTAAAGTCAGATTTGAAGGTCAAATGTCAAATCTAAAGTCAGATTTGAATTTCTGAGAACATGTAGATGATTTTGAAAAAAAATTTAGTCAATGTGAAGCAAGTTGAAAAAAGACCTTTTTGACCTTGAGAAGGTCATTGAAGGTCAAATGTCAAATCTAAAGTCAGATTTGAACTTCTGAGAACATGTAGATGATTTAGAAAAAAATTGAAGTCAGTCTAAACAGTATTTGTTAAGTTATAGGAAGTTGTAAGAAATTGTTACAGACGCCGGACGCCAACCTCCAACCACCAACCGCCGGATGCCAACCGCCGTCGCAAAAAAACGGAGACCATAACAATATGTCACCACTTTTGGTGGTGACATAACAAAAAAACGGAGACCATAACAATATGTCACCACTTTTGGTGGTGACATAAAAACAACATTTTGGGGTCACCCTGTATTACAACAATGAAACAAACATGAACGGATAAACTTACAATCCTGAGTAGCCAGTTGAGAGTAAAGGCGGAGGTTGAGTAATGCGTCCCATAGTGGAATGGAGGGATCGTGTCATTCTCCCAACTGGTGTAGCGCTCATCAAAGAACGCTTTACGGCTCGGATTCAGGGCTCCAATAGGCTGGAAATGAACATATAATGTTTTAGCCATAACTGAACAAATGTTAAAGCAATTATTATATACACTGTATTAAAAAAACTTTTTAAAATTTGAATATATTGTAAACCTTTGCACTGAATTTATAGAGGCTTGTCTCAAAAGACAGTGGAAATAACAAAACTTGAAGTTTCCTGATACTAAACTTCTTGAATATGATTTTCAGCTTATTTTGGTGAACAAATATCCCTAACAAAACTTGTAGTTGTAACATGATCCAACTTTTAACTATTTTCACAATATAGTGTACATATGTAATTTTTGGGATTTTCATGATATGGTGTGACAATAATGAAGGAAGAAACAGTTGCTTTGCCTCAAATGCCAGTGGCAAACGAAAAAGTCACCAGTAAATAATATGTCACCATGGCAACATAGTAAAACATTTCCCATACCTTGGATAGATCTCTAAAGTTACTAGGCAGGCTTAAGTCAAGTTCTGCAGACTCGTAATTGACAATGACCCATGGAAACACGGGGTATTGGTTCAAGTCATTGTAGGAACGTCCTGCAATATATAAATAAACATTTAAAAACATATCAAATACAAATATATAAAGATGTCCTGAAATATATAAATCAATTAAATAAACATATTTCAAGGTTCATAATGATCCCAGACGGGAGTAAATTGCTAATCCCAAGTTTGGAAAACATTTTTAAAATGCTGTAATTGTAAAATATGTCAAGGGGGAGGATGATGAAACCGTATCATCGGTGGCACCCATAATAAGTATATGTAACATATTTAATATGCAATTGACCAATCAGAGTATCCATTAGATTTTTTTAAATATCAATACGTCTCCAAAAATCTCAGTCAAGTAAAAAGTACATTTTAGTCCATTTATTCCAATTTCTGAGTCTGATTTTGAAAGAAATATTAAAAATATAGTCAATTTTAGTTACGCATACCTGCAACTGTGTTCAAGTACATGATATAGTCAAAGTTGGAGATTTCTCGTCTCTGCCATTTTTGCATCATTCCTGACTGTTTGAACAACTGCTTCGGGGACGCTAGTGAGGTACGCCTAAAACACAATAATTAAAATAGATAATAGTAGAACGTTCAGATTCATTTTTTATTCCTTTGTAGAAAAGAGTATTGTCAAACAGTACAACTGCTACTTTTCTCTAACTGCAATGGTATTATCATATTGCATTGTATAAAATAAGATAACACAAACTCATTTATCCATTCACAAAATAAGATTACACAAACTTATTTATCCATTCATAAAATAAGATAACACAAACTTATTTATCCATTCATAAAATAAGATAACACAAACTTATCTATCCATTTATAATTTTTCTAGGTCCCTTTGACCACTTTTTGTATATTCACAATTTTGTGTTCCAAGTCATTTATGGATTACTGATTTGATTTTGATTTTTCTAAATTTTAAAACCATGGTTAATCCTAATATATTAAATAAACTACTACTACACTATAAGAGTAAAAAAGGTAAATAAAGGTTATTTACTGAGAGGAATAGAATATCAAGATAAAAAAGGAATACCTTGGTGTTTCTTTAGTTTAACAGGATATAAAATGAAAAAAATATGTTTTTAAGAGGCCTGATTAACTCTAATAATTAACCCTTTCATGATGATAGGCTCAATACGGAGCCCTATTACATAATACCTTTCATGACGATAGGCTCCTTTTGGTATCACAATTTTTATTTACAACATTAATGAAATGGCAATATCTCCAGTTCTATTCAGTATTTTTACACCAAATTCCAACAGGTTGTTGACAAATGTGATAATGCTTATTAGAAATTGTATTTTAGTGATAAAATTTAAAGTAAAGATCCCAGGGTATACGTCATTTTGCAGTTTTTAACCTAAACCAGAATAACGGCAACGCCAAAGCGTAGCGAATCCCATCGAACAGAAATGGCTGGCATTTTTACAAACAAAATATATAGCAAATATCGTAAAATAACACCCATAAGAAAGGCCACCATTTTCAAAATGGTTGCTCACTAGCCAAGTTGTCATCAGAAGAAGTAATATGCTTTTAAGTAGCCACATATAAAATTTTTAAAAAATCGCACATACATACATGTAAATGCTGGCCATTTTTTGAAATGGCCGCCTACTACCCAAATAGTCATATAAGACAGTATGCAATCCTTACGAGTATTCGCATATCAAATATGAACAAAATCGCTCTATTACTTTTTGAAGTATAATAAAAAATGTAAAATAACACACATGAAAATGGTGGCCATTTTTCAAAATGGCCGACTACTCCCTAAAGTTTTATTAGACAATGTGCCATGCTTAAAGTATTCAGATATCAAATATGAACAAAATCGCTCCAATACTTTTCGAGTTATAGTAAAAATGACAGCCATTTTTAAAATGGCAACCTACTACGCGAAGTGTCATGAGACAGTGTGAAAGGTTCACAAGTATTCACATATCAAATATGAACAAAACGTAAAAAAATGGTGGCCATTTTTCAAAATGGCCGCCTACTACCCAAAGTGTCATTAGACAGAAGAGGAGGGAAAACCCCATTGTTCAATTGATGATATACAATTTCCTCCTTCGCGCACCTCCTTTCCCGAAAGTACGTATATTTGTTTACAAAATGGCGACTTTCATAAAGTTTTCAAATTGACCTACAAGTAGTTTTAAACCAATCAACGATCGACTCGCTAAACCAATCAGCGACGATGTCATCTCAATACAGATTTACATTACAAGGCATTAACATGACAAAATGTCACCACCTAAAACAATTTGTTCAATTTAAAGCAAGTTGGAAAATACCTTTTGACCTTAAGAAGGTTTGATTTGAACTTCTTAGAACATGTAGATGATTTTGAAAAAAAAATTCGTCAATTTGAAGCAAGTTGAAAAAATACCTCTCTGACTTTTTTTGACATTGAGAAGGTCATTGAAGGTCAAATGTCAAATGTAAAGTCAGATTTGAACTTCTGAGAACATGTAGATGATTTTGAAAAAAAATTAAGTAAATTTGAAGCAAGTTGAAAAAAGACCTTTTTGACCTTGAAAAGGTCATTGAAGGTCAAATGTCAAATCTAAAGTCAGATTTGAACTTCTGAGAACATGTAGATGATTTTGAAAAAAAAAATTAGTCAATTTGAAGCAAGTTGAAAAAGACCTTTTTGACCTTGAGAAGGTCATTGAAGGTCAAAGGTCAAATCTAAAGTCAGATTTGAACTTCTGAGAACTTGTAAAGTCAAATTTGAACTTCTGAAAAGATGTAGATGATTTTGAAAAAAACAATTTGGTCAATTTGAAGCAAGTTGAAAACAGACCTTTTTGACCTTTTTTTACCTTGAGAAGGTCATTAAAGGTCAAATGTCAAATCTAAAGTCAGATTTGAATTTCTGAGAACATGTAGATGATTTTGAAAAAAAAAATTAGTCAATTTGAAGCAAGTTGAAAAAAGACCTTTTTGACCTTTTTTGACCTTGAGAAGGTCATTGAAGGTCAAATGTCAAATCTAAAGTCAAATCTAAAGTCATATTTGAATTTCTGAGAACATGTAGATGATTTTGAAAAAATTTTTTAGTCAATTTGAAGCAAGATGAAAAAATACCTTTTTGACCTTTTTTGACATTGAGAAGGTCATTGAAGGTCAAATGTCAAATCTAAAGTCAGATTTGAATTTCTGAGAACATGTAGATGATTTTGAAAAAAAATTTAGTCAATTTGAAGCAAGTTGAAAAAAGACCTTTTTGACCTTTTTTTGACTTTGAGAAGGTCATTGAAGGTCAAATGTCAAATCTAAAGTCAGATTTGAATTTCTGAGAACATGTAGATGATTTTTAAAAAAAATTTAGTCAATTTGAAGCAAGTTGAAAAAAGACCTTTTTTACCTTTTTTTGACTTTGAGAAGGTCATTGAAGGTCAAATGTCAAATCTTAAGTCAAATCTAAAGTCAGATTTGAATTTCTGAGAACACGTAGATGATTTTGAAAATTTTTTTTAGTCAATTTGAAGCAAGTTGAAAACAGACCTTTTTGACCTTTTTTGACCTTGAGAAGGTCAAATGTCAAATCTTAAGTCAGATTTTAATTTCTGAGAACACGTAGATGATTTTGAAAAAAAATTTTAGTCAATTTGAAGCAAGTTGAAAACAGACCTTTTTTGACCTTGAGAAGGTCATTGAAGGTCAAATGTCAAATCTAAAGGCAGATTTGAAGGTCAAATGTCAAATCTATAGTCAAATCTAAAGTCAGATTTGAATTTCTGAGAACATGTAGATGATTTTGAAAAAAAATTTAGTCAATGTGAAGCAAGTTGAAAAAGACCTTTTTGACCTTGAGAAGGTCATTGAAGGTCAAATGTCAAATCTAAAGTCAGATTTGAACTTCTTTAGAACATGTAGATGATTTAGAAAAAAATTGAAGTCAGTCTAAACAGTATTTGTTAAGTTATAGGAAGTTGTAAGAAATTGTTACAGACGCCGGACGCCAACCTCCAACCACCAACCGCCAACCGCCAACCACCAACCGCCGTCGCAAAAAAACGGAGACCATAACAATATGTTGGTGGTGACATTAATAAGCGTATGTCATCTTTGAACCCTGGGGTTTCTCCTCTTATTAGACAGTATGCCATGAAATTGTAAAATGACGTGCAAAGGCAGCCATTTTTCAAGATGGCTGCCGTGAGTTCTTCTGTATTTACATTTTTAGCTTAATCAATGTTATATATAACTTTTTTACATTTAAAACATATTGCTATTACAGTTTTATATGCAGTACCTAAATTACTGTAAAATCGGCGCTAAAATGGCCGCCATTTTTAAATGAGTGGCCATTTTGAAAATCGGTTTTCGAGCAGAATTTCTACCCCCATTGGGTATATGTGTACAAAATATGAACAAAATCGGGGCAAAAGTATTCGAGTTATTGCATGGACGGACGGACGTACGGAGCCGTTCCCTATATCCCTTCGAAGTTCAAGGGATAAAAATGTTCTTACTTATCCAACACCAGGCCAACATTTTCCTTTTATATTCATGTCGGGAAAGGGTTAACAGAGAACTAGAAATTAAATGGAGAAATTGTGTTTTTTAAGAGTTCTCTTAATGCTAGCAGTCTTACCTTGCCTGTGGCAATCCATACTTGACTCCTACTCCAACCCTGGGCAGGCCATTCACAACCTTCTTTACTGTTGCATGGTCCGGAAAGGCAAACATCACAGCAGCTGTAAATACATAACAAATACAGAATGAGAGTTACATGACACTGTATCCTTGCCGGGCCAGTTCTAGGGGTTTTAGTGCTAGTGTAGAAGGTGTTCATTTTACTTTATCGACCTGAGAAATATGTGACGTCATAGTGGTGGTCCATATGGACCGGTCTAGAATATATTCTGGACTGGCAAATTTTCCCCGGGAAATTAGATATCGTTCAGTGCGAAAGATTTTCTTGCTATTTCAGCCCTGGTCGTTAACGGTAGTAATAATACTAATAACGACATTTCTGCGTGCAATATAGTGAAATATTGGACCTTGGGCCCTCGGTCCATTATTTCAGTATATTGCCCTTAGAAATGACGTTATTGTACTAATAATGTGATTTATTGTGATTATATCACTTTCAGTCCATTTGTAGTTCAATGACTTGGGTGTTTAGTGTTGATATACAGATTATGTACAGTACTGTAAATCACCCTTGCATACAATTCTGTAATACTGTAAATCATTATTGTTATCACTATGGAATCGCATCAGTTTTTATACTTTTGTGAATATGTGGTATATGGTATACTGATAAACAAGATATACAGAAAAACATTATGAAAACTCATAATTCAGCAAAGATGAGAATGTACTTTATTTGTCAAAAATCTAAATGAACAATTTTAACCTTAATCATCAAACACTCAATCATTGACGAATAATGCAAATCTCAGGAAAACCTGTCTAATCCGAAAGCCTCTGGGACCAGCCAAAAGTGTTTGGATCGGTAGATGTTCAGATGTCAAGGTTTTCTACACATTTGAGTCAATGGGAGATAAAAGAGATTAGGATCAAAAAGTGTTCACATTGAGAGGTGTTCAGATTAGAAAGGTGTTTTGGTATACAGGATTAATTGTTAATCATTTACAGTACGTTTGAGTTCAAATTAAATAATCAGTTTTTGATTTATAATCTTTTAATTCAATTCTCAAAATTTGTTAGACTATGAATGCCGAATTCCAGATACCAACTGCCAAACACCATCTACAAATAAGTTGGAGACTATAACAATGTCACCACTTGTGGTGGTGACATAAAAACAATGATTGATAATATCAATTGCGAACAGTTATGTATATTAGCTAAATGGCTGAAAAACATAAAAACGGTAAAATATCCAGAAACCATAAGCTCATGGTGAGGGTACAACTTTTCAAACATTAGTTGAATTGACACTTTTGTTTTTATCTAATCATTCACCATCAGGTATCAAGTCAAAATTAATCTATTAAAACAATTAGACAAATGAGAATATATAAAAAAACAGCCATTTTTCTTTCATAATTGAACTTTATGAATTACTTTACTTAGTTTTCCATGGCTCAATTTACCGTAAATGGCCATTACTAGGCAATTACTTCAATTAATAGAAAGAGTAGGTGTTCCAAAAGATAATCATTAAATATTTATGTACTCTTGATAACTTCCTAATAGTTGGTCAATCCTCTAAAACTAAAGCAATAATCTGCTGTTCAGAAAAGTAATTTTAACTGTTTTATTTCCCAGGTTGGCAATAGCACTTTTATAATCGATGCCATTAACACCAAGCCCCCGATTGCAAAATACCCTTTAAAAGCCCCAGAAAAGATCAAACCATACATCAAAATAAGTCATAAATAACATATGACCCTTGTGAAAATAGATACATATAATAGTTTATCAATTAAAGGCTTAGTTACATTAATCAATCATAGATGACACTAATGGCCGTAATGGGAAGTGCACTTGATCCCTGAAAATCTAATCAAGAAAAGTGACCTGGTATAATTGCCCAAGGGAAGAAGTTGGGTATAAATATACTGTGATAACATTTAAGACATATTTAGAAATTATTCTTGGGAAGAACATCATGAATAATTTCTCGAATGATTCAAACTTAATCTGCTTTTCAGTATTGAAAAAGTTTCATATGAAGGTGAGCTTAACATTTGTGACTGTGAAATTTAAACACATAACAAAAAGTGATCGAGGGCCAACTGGAAAAAAGGAAAAGGTTTTAACAAATAAAAAGTGACTCAAAAATGAATATCTTAAGAGTAACATGCTTCATGTTTTTCATATGTAAACACCTTGATGTAAAAGCAGAAATTGGCAATACAACTGACAAAGTGAATATTAAAAACAGAGGACAAATTGACCATAATGACAACAATACTACAGAAATAACATCTATTATCAGTCCACATCGGGTAGAAAATGAAACCAACCATGATGGGATCTATACTGAAACAACTGGGCAAAATGACTTAATTCCTGTAACCACTGATAACCAAAATCTAGAGAATGAAGTGAATAAGACAATAATTGATACCACAGCAAAACTGATGGTTTCGGCATTAGATGCTTCAACTGAATCTGTAGCGACAACAGCAGATTCCTTAAACTGTAGAGATGAAACTTGGGTACCAGATATACCAGATTGCACCAATGGAAACACCTCAGCAAAAGCCTATGCCTATACATGTGAAAAACGTTGTGACGACTCCATCCTGAATGCAACTGAAGGCCCATATTGTTCTTGCAATCCAATTTGTATACTCTCTAAAGATTGCTGTAAGGACTTTGAACAATTTTGCCCAGTACTATATCACAAAGGAAATGAGAAATATGTCACACTGGCCAGTAACAGTAACTTGGAATGTCGTCATATATTAGGTCAAAATTCAAATGGGGAAAGATTCTGGATGGTTTCAAAATGTCTTAAGAATTTTGATGATTTGATTGTTAGACGCAAATGTGAAGATGAGACTGAATTATCAGAAGTTGTACCCGTGATATCACAAAGCACAAATATCACTTACAAAAATGTGTTCTGTGCTAAGTGCAACGATGTAATTGATATTACACAGTGGTGGTTTAGCCTGGCATGTGCAGAGAACATCTCAATAGGCAAAAATGACTCGCTATATGATTTAATGGAAACATGCAAGACAGAATATAAAGCCCCATTTAGACACAACTGTCTCGACAATGAAAATGCGTTGTTGAAAGCTCCAAGTTGCTTTGACAATCAACATGGTTGTATGCAGTCCTATGTAGACCTCTGTGAGGATGGACCACAAGAGCCAATTGTACGTTCTACTACGACATATGGATTCAAAATAGAAGCTGGGTTTAAGAATGTGTATTGTTCTGTATGTTACACCAATATCCCATACACAATTAATGAAATAGAATGTGAAGTCAAACAAGGAGACCCGTGCACACAACAGGCTCCATTTCCATCGCACATAAAAAAGAGGGACTTACCACCAGTTCCTGTAGATTGCGGACCAACTTTTAGAAATCCCATTAGTAAATATTCGTTTGGAATTCTCATTGACTTTGATGCCTCAGAGGGGGACAAAGTTGGATTTGAAGTCAGTTCTGACATCATCGATGAATCAGTATGCACTTTGTCAGAAGCACAGGGTCAGGAATGTACATTATTTTGCATGAGTGGGTATACACACATTGAAGGAGAATGTGTCGAAAATACTACAATGAACTTGACTGACTGCATCAGAGAGAGGCTCAACGTTGATTCCGTTGAATTCCTTCCTGATGGAAGCATAATGGTGAATCAAACACAGGGAGTATTCAATGAGGGCGACCACATACAGGTTGGGAATTTTGTGTATGTTTGTGCGAATAGCACTAGTACATATAGATCAAGATTAGTGTGGAAGTTTGACTTTGAGATGGGCTTACTTACAATCATATGTACCGCATTGTCATTAGTGTGTTTATTTATCAGACTCATTCTTCAGCCTGTTGTCCCACTCTTTCAGAATTTCCCTGGCAAGTTGCAATTTTCTCTTGTTCTGTCGCTTTTCCTAGCAGGTGTTTTCTTTCTGATGGGACCCAATTGTACTCATATAAAGGAACTATGCGTCACACTTGGGGTTTTGATCCACTGGAGTTATTTGGCTGCATTCACATGGACAGTGATAATTACAAGAGACATGTTTTGTATATTTCGGCCAACAAGTTTTGTCAAATCATCGGATAGTGGCAGGTCAATGTTTATTCGATATTCTCTTATTGCATGGGGTTTTCCGACTCTGGTAATAGCAGTCGCTCTTGTGTTACACTTCTCTGACATAAATCCTGCATTTAAACCTATGTATGGCCATGGTACTTGTTGGATAACGCAACGCTATCCCTTGTTGATATTCTTTGCCACTCCTATTGGAATTGCGATCCTATTGAATTTTGGCTTCTTCATCCCGACAGCCATTACTCTTTGGAAATCAACAAATCAAAGAATGAAAACATCAAATCGAAAGACTGAGTACCCGTTTGGTATATATGTCAAGCTATTTTTGTTGATGGGGTTCACCTGGATCTTTGCATTCATAGCACATTTCCATACTGCCCTCTGGTACATATTCATTGTTCTTAACTCGAGTCAAGGAATTTATATATTTTTCGCCTTTGTCACCCAAAAATCAGTTTGGAAGTCAATCAAATCTTACAAAAAACCAAGTAAAAGTACAGAGAGTAATAAATCAACTTCAGTATCTACAACAACATTATCGCAGCAATGTTCAACTCAAGTTGACAAAAGTCAATGTTATGTAAATGATTGTACAAATCCTACAAATTCACCAACAAATGAGGCCCAAGTTTAATTTCAAGTAGATACACATAATAGTTCTCAGTATAATTATTATAAGATACCATTGTACATATACAGATATTGTAAATACCATTATGATATAACACATTACATGTTCAAGGGGTGATTCAAAAGTAATGGACAAAATTTTATAGGCATACTTAATATTTACTGTAGATGTCTTAATTTACGCGGGGTAAATTTTCGAGCCTTTTATAAATCCGTTAATTTCGCGTGTTTATATTTTTGCGCTGAATGCACTTATCAAGTTATCTGTATAAACAAAATAAATAAACTTACAAAAAATCTTCATATTCGCAAAGCATCTTGGGAGTTTTCTGTGCACTGACAAAAACGTTATGA